CAATCAGTTTTCAGTGTTTCCTGTTTTATTTTGTTGTAGTCAATCCTTGTGTCTAGTCTTGTTTTACCTCCTCAGTTTTCCCTTCTTTGTTAATCACCCATCCTAGTGTGTGTATATAGTCCCTGTCTTCCCCTCTCTCTTTGTTGGTTCATTGTATGTCTCTGTTAATACCAGTTAATGTGTGTTTGAGCTCCTTGTGGCTTTCCCTAGTGTCTTTTGTTTCTTCTAATTTTGAGTCTTCATTTTTGGGTTCTTCTTCCTTTGTTTAACCCTGCCACACAAATGTAACTTTAGAAATATGCTTCATCTCTACAGGGATCCACACCGTATGGTCGAAAGAACATCTGAGAATGTCAGTGGCAAAAACAAGAACTTTGTGTAATATTCAGTCACAGGTGGAAGTTGGCGGTTTATCTGCCACTGAGACTTTTGCTGCAGGAAATGCATTTCTAAAAACACGAGACTTAAAAAAAAAAGGCATAGACTTTGTTTATTGCAAGGTTTTAAAGTTTAATTCTCGCACATCCTAAACGTTGCCTCAGAAGAGAAGAATCGGGAGCACTTCTATAAACCATAGTTAAAAACAAACAGAAAAAAAGATCAGTGAGAGATACGAGTTTGGCCAATGGAGGAGTGGACCAGAGTGACTGAATAATGAAAAAGAAAAAACTCACTGACAGTTCAGAGCAACTTTCTGAAAGTTTTAACAATAAGCAGAGAAATAAAAGCTCACATGTACAGCAGCTGACTGATGAATCTCTGCAAACGAGGCCGAAGGTAAGAAATCTGAGAATCTGTCTTCAGAGAGAGGAGGAAAAATCAGAGAAAGTAAAACTCTATGCAGAGGTAGAGTTCAGTGCACAAGGCTATGACACACACTGAGCAACCAGCTGACAGGACAAAGTTTCTGCTGTCCGAGTCCTTCTACCACCTCGTATCTGAGTACGTTTACCAGACTGCACTGTACGCCGCACACATACAATAAATAAGATATACAATCTTTGAGAACCTCTAAACTCACAACAGCAAATTCGGTAACTTTCCTAAGGACACATTTGACTCCTTTAGTTTCCACTCATTCAAACAACAACTCTTCCAAGTCCAAACAGCTTTTTATGAATTCTTTATGTGCAGGATGACGGGGTCAGAACGACTCCTCTGACAGGAGCCTCACTCATTATTTCTCAGTGACTTTGGTGGAGCTCCTACTCCCCCCCCCCCACCCCCACCCCCCACAAACACCTACTGCTCAGGTAGGAAATCTTACTGGTAGGTTAACAGAAACAGACTTTAACAGATGTGGAAGTTGGTGACTGAAGATTCAAAATAAGAGAAGCTTGAAGGAAAGTAAATCAATATCATCTTAGATTTTGACCTTTAAGGTAAAAAATGCAGTTCAGTGAAATTATATCTTTTTCTCAGATTATATCAGAATAAACTCATTTTAACCTTAAATGTTATGACCTACAGAAGGAAACAGTGAAGTCCAGTTAATAAGAAGGAAACTAAAAACATTCTGGTGAAGTTAATACAGTAAGAAGATGATGCCAGAATTTTATCAAGTGAACTGAACCAATGACAAATAATTTAAATTTCCTACCTCTGATTTTAAAAAAGAGAAAATCCAGAAATGGATTTGACCACTTCCAGTTAATGTCTGAAGCAATGGAGCCCCAAACTGACACAGCTTAGTACAAGAAAAATAATCCCCAAAAAGTGGCGTTTAGTGGGTCCATACACACCATGAAAGTTTCTGTTTTCAGGTTAATGGTGGTACTTATATTCTAGACAGAAATGCTCCCTTGCTCACCCCTCCCAACAGTGAGGCAACGGTGGCCTCTGAGGACAAGAAGCTCCTGTGCCATGTGATAAGTATGGTCCTCCATTACTCTGGTTTTATAATCAAACATGTCCATCAATACCAATTAGTTTAAACAAAACAACTCCCTCCCTTCACCACATTTCATGTGGTCTCTCACTAAATACAAAATCACATATGTCACTATTTTGTCCATTCTGTGCTCCTGTAGAAACAAGATAATGTAAGAAGAACTTTATTGATCCCTGAAGGAATATTCTGTCTATTTGGAAGGAGACCTGCTCCTCAAAGAGATAAAAGATTTGTTTGAAGGGAACAAAAATACAATGAATTTTATATTGGGGTGATTTCACATACTTGTATTATATCCCATTTTTACAAAGTCTGTTTGGCTTAATGCTGCTGAATTCTGTACACTGTACCTTCAAGCTTCAATCAGTTGATCCAATAACATGCCAATAATATCGAGCATCACTAATGATTTTCCCCAAGGGGGACCAATAAATAAAAGAGAGAGATGCAGCCTCTGAAAATGTGCAGAGATGTTTTAAACTGCACATCTAAATTCTTAACTATAAGAAAATACTACGAATATAAAACCTTCACAGATTAAATTTGATCAGAGGTAGGGTGCTTCTTTGCAGTTTTGGGAAAAAAAGAGTGCCAGATGACAAAAGTGGAAATAAAACAAAGTGGCAGGACCCATAAAAAAAAGGAGATGTATCTTGATTTATAAAGCAGACAAACTATCTCATGCACCAGAGTGCAGAGAGAAAAATGTGAGCTTTAAAATGAAATGATCTGATGAAAATCCATTAAAATAATCTTAAAATGAAAACATCAGAGAGGCAGTAAAACTGTAAAGCTGCACTCTATTCAAATACATCATCCACAAGAACCTGATTTTTGAAAAGAGACTGTATGATTGATTTTAATTAACACAGCAGTTTGGGGCTCCATTAGAAAACGGACACATTTGAAACTTTCCTCAGAGTTCAGTAAAAATTCTGAAGAAATGACAATAAATCCTGGTGTCTGAATGGTTTTGTTTTATCGAAATATACCACATGTGTAACTTAAAAAAAGTATGTCACTTTCTGTAACAAGAAAACAGAACTCTAAAGTGGTGTCTCCCATTAAAATCCTCAAACTTTCCCGTCCTCTTCACCTGATTTGTCATCAGAACAAGGATTCAAACATGTTCGTGGTTCCCATCACGTACAGTGAGAACTGAGCCGATATAAATACTCTAACATCACTCTGTTTTTACAGTACGACCTCAGTCTACAGACTTCGCACAATGGCACTGTATTTACACTTTACAGGTACAATTTAGCAAAATGTATACAATCTTTCTTTGTGAAAGCACAGTTGAGTTAACGCGTTTTCATTCATTTCAGTCCAGAACAAAAATGAACCCTGAAGAGTCATGCTGAAAGTGGCTCCTAAATGTTAATAATCTACTTGTGCTGTTGGTCTGTAAGCTGGAAGATCCGTACAAAATGTTTAATAACAATTACTTCAAATAAGTTTGTTCTCATCCTCCAGTAGAAAGAGGAGACGTGTTAAACTAGCTTATTACAGGCACCACAGGTCAGGACGATGGCAGTGAATCTGAAGTACACCATATGAACTCTACAGTATGTCTCATATCTGACGCTGTTTCCCAGTCAGTGTCCTCCCGAGTGTGCATGCTTCATCATATTTTATCACTAAAATAAAGCGATGCATGGATATTGCTTCATGTGAGCAGCTGTTTGAGGTGGGTCTGGATGGCTTTATGTTGAACCATGTTCAGACCAAAAATGAAGCTCAGTCTTGCTTTGCTCTCTAACCTGCAGGATTATTTCCTTTAATTCACGTCCGGTGGGCGCAACATGTGAGAGTTCTTCTTTCCAGAGCCTCTAACATCACCCAGAGGTGCTCTCAGGTCGGCACATTTTCTTGCTGTTTCCATGAACTTTGTCTGAATAAACCTTCCTTCTGGTTGGCTGACCTGCGCCCTGCTTGGTGACCTGTTAGACTAATTAAACCATCAGACTTCTCCAGAGGGACACCAACCATCTGTGTTCTTTCTTGGTTACAGACTCAGAGTCCGAATGTCTCTGCTGAGCCACAGTATCCAATGAGTCACACATTGGCTGAAATCTGGCTGACTTACATGATGTAAAACACAAAAACAGCAAACCTGGGCCTACCATTTGTGTCTTTACAGGGCCTTTTTGTTTAATCCAAGCATGCAAAAATGTCTTCACTTCATTTTTGGTCAGAACAGACCTTCAATAATTCCTTCAGGAATAATTCAATAATCAGACAAACTTAACTTCCCCTCAGTGAGGAGACACTAACCCTCTCTGTAATTATTACAGTGACTGTATATGGCTATAATGTTGATGAATACTGAAGACTCTGCCATGATATGTAGTCCAGTTTATCAGCTGTAAACTCACAACAACAAAAGCAGTGGAATGTACATGTCGTTGCTTTGTGTGTGATTGGATGTGTGAGTAGAGGTTTCTGCTAGATGGGAATGCAGAGGAGCTGAAAAACACCAACAAAAAACACTGAAAGAAGGAACTGAGCGTTTGAAAATTCACAATGTGCCAGTAAGCTGTCAGAAAAACCTCCTGCCTTAGCTGAGAAACTGAAGCAGGAGATTAAAAATAAGGGAATGTACAAGCAGGTTCCCTCAATCAGCTGTACACGCCAACTGAGCCTCAGAGGGGATTATGGGATGTTGTCTTCTCTCTGTCGTCGTCACATAGTCTCTCACATCGCCAGCTTCACTTCTGTTTGGCCTCTTTTTTCTTCTTCTGCAGCTTCCACTCAAACAACTTTCACTCACGCTCCTCAGTTTGGTTCAGCTCAGCTCTGTTTGGTTCAGTGCAGGCACCCAGTGGGACTTCTTTATGTACAACAATCTCAGAGGGTGCAGTCACACTTATCAAAGTGCCAGATTATGTGTATGAGTACATGTGTATGTTGTGTGTGTGTGTGTGTGTGTGTGTGTGTGTGTGTGTGTGTGTGTGTGTGTGTGTGTGTGTGTGTGTGTGTGTGTGTGTGTTCCAGATAGACACGCTGATCCACAGGACTGCAGCCCACCTGGTTTAACCTGCTGGCTCAGCAGAAACACAGTTCAGTTTGTGTGACAGGTGCATCTCGGCGCTGCAGGTGGTCGCTGTTAGGAAATGATGGCGGGACACCACCGCACCACCATCAGGTTGTCTGCGCTCACTGACCGCTTCTTGGCTTGTTTCCTCAAGTCCTTGTATTTGTCATCACACAGCCGAGAGATGGCCTGAGGGACAAAAGGGGGCAGGAGTGAGATGCAAACAGTGAGCTGCATCCTTTGGTGGTAAAAACAGGAAATATTTCAAAATCACACTCGGGTGGTGTCACCTGGGAGTGAGAAAATCAAGCTTTATAATCCCAGGAAGTTGGCTGAGGGGACACAGGATTATCTATTTTTGGGTTGGCCCTTTGGTGGTGATTGGATTTAAGCCTCTAAATAGTTTCCCACAAATTCTTTACAGAGATTTAACCAGATTTCTCCATGACCAAGTCTTTATTGTCGGTCCTAGGTTGGAGCTGCTGTGATTTCTACGCTGTGAATGTTTGTAAAATGCTGTTTGAAATGAGCATTGACCCGTTTATCTCTGGTTTGAATGATCATTATTTCACCTTCACAAAGAAAACAATTTGTTCCCTCCTTTAAATCTGTCCTAAACTAACAGATCCTCTGTGTAGTTTTGACTTGCATGACATGAATCTTTGGGGGCTGATACTAATAACCAATAATGACCTGCTCCTGATGGCTGAAACAGAAAAGGTTACCATGATCTTGTTTTTGGCATTTTAGTTTTTTTTAAATGTCTTTTAAAAAGGCCAAGATAAATTGTTCAAAAATACAATGATTACTTACAGACTCCAAATGAAATCTCTGTTTTAAAATCCCAAGATAAAGACCAACTCTGAGTTTTAGTTGTCCTCTCTTGTGCATCAATGATGTCTTTTTCATGTTCAGGTCATAAACCTGCCAAATGGGCCATCAGATTGAGCACACTCCCTGGTCTAACATCAAAAGTCAATTTTTTTGTCATCAAACTTCTGCCCCTGATGTTGTTGGGGTTCAGACCATGAATGTCTACTTATAGACTGTATAAAGAATGGACAGCGTCTGCCTCCTTGCTGGGTGAAGCCACTCTGAGAACAGCACCTTCTGTTGATGGGCTGCAGTATAGGTCATAAATCCCGCCTCCGCCAGCAAAGCTTATGGGGCTGTGGACAAATTTTAGAAATTTATTACACAGAACATAATTTTTTCTCCCCCCTGCTTGTGATGTTGACATGTAGTTACAGTAGGACTGGTTTGTGCTCAAGTCCTCTTTTTTTCTGTGAAGCTCCATTTTTAAAAGTTATTAGGGGGTTCATATTTTCTATGATTGACACTTGATACAGCCTATGGGCGTTCAAGGATTGCGTAGCTTTCCCTGGGGATACGCTGTTTGAGCCGAGCGTCACCACAGCGACTCTCGGCGACTGCGCAGCCGAATGCGCACATCGCTACTGCGCAGTGCTGGTTTCAGGAAATAAAGAAAAATCCTGGAAATACCGAGAACTATTGGCTTCAAATCCGTATACAGGCGGAAGGTGGAACCAAGTTGTCCATAGTATATACAGTCTATGGTCTGCAGAGATCACATCATACAGAGTGGGTAGAGACACGTCTGCAAAGCAGCAGCAACGACAGCAGCGGCTCAGTGTTCTGTTCAGACTGCCGGCTCAAATCCCTAATCTGCTTCCTCAAAAATAAGTTCACCGGTTTTTCATGAACTCCTTCAACTGTGGGTCATCTCTCCTAAACTTTCTGCAGTTCCCAACATTTTTATGTTTTGTCTGTTGCTCCATGCTTGTTCAGTAAGTTCCTGTTGCATTGTTGATTCTTCTAGAATGTGTTAAACGTTTCTTGCCCTCTGAATATTTGTAAGTTTCAATCACATTAACCTTGTTTGAAACAACAAAACACATCCAGACTGGTGACACAACTTTCACTTGAACATCAGCATGTTGCTGCTGTTCCCTGGATAGGTATTAGGATTGTTAATGAGTTCAAGGATTGTTAAAGCTTTCATTTCTTGTTGTGACCACGAAAGATGATATTATCCGAAAAACAAGTTGTAATCAAAAATTCCTTTTAACAGTGGATATGCCATCAGGCTCTCAGAATCAATATTTATGGCTATAAGAACTGAAAATGTAAAATAAATAATTAAATAAATACATACATAAATAAAAGGCTGTCCTTTTTCTATTCATTTGTCCTTGAATGTAAACCTTTGTCTCTTCAGGTGATCTCAGTCAGATGCAGAGTTTTACATTTCAAGGACATCTATCTTAAAAAAAACAGAGTTTCTTCCAAACTCAAACAAACAATGTTTAACAGATTTTAAAGGTTACAAAAAAAGACATTTTTCTTGTGTAACAACACAGTATGCACAAAAGGCAGCTCAGCACACCATCATTTCTGCACCATTAATATGTGGCTGGCATTTTCAAATGTGCCTAAGTGCTGTGTGGGCGAAGTGGACTTGACTAGATCAGCCAGAGCAGCTGAAAACACCCGAGACACAACGAGAGCGGGCAACAGCAGTGAGACTTCATATACAACATGAGGGTCTGAGTGGACGACAGCTATGATACAGGCTGTGCATTAGAGCTGCCCGCTGCTTCAAATATTAGAATGAGTTCTCTGAGACGTCTTCTGTTCACAGTTAATTATGGATCTGCCACACAGAGATCATTACTGCTCCATGGGTTTGTTTGTAACGCTAACTGCAGTAAAGCAGATGGGTGGAGAAGAGGAAGAGACAGATGTAGAGGCAGTGAAGCTAATTACACAGCAACACACCCCTGCGCCCGTCCTTTCACCCTGCTGATCATCCACAGGCTGTTTATGAGCGTCAGAGCAGAGCTGAGGCGACAGGCAGACTCAGCTCTGCATAAACTTTACTTTCACTTTACATTTTCAGATTTCTTTGACTCCGTTCCTCACCTCTAGTTTCTGTGCTTTGTCCCTGCTGAGAGGCTCCAGAGGGAAGCTGAGGTTGTTGGCCTCAGCTAGCGAGCGCAGGTCAAAGTAATACTTGGCATAGACGCTGGACGGCACGTTGATGTTGAACTGCAGCAGCTCCAGAAACTGACGCTCCAGCTCGTTCCTTTTGTCACAGAGAGAGAAAAAGGTCTGAGTTTGACAAGCTGAGAGAAATAAGACTTAGGAGGAGGTTAGACCAGTAGGCTAGGTCAGTAAGATGATTCAAATGAACTGTCGATAAATCAAGGATCTAATGATACAGTCAACCCAGGGTTCACAAACCTCAGCTGAAGGTTTATTATGTCTGCAGTTTCTTATAAACCCAGTTGATACTCAAGCTTAGAGGAGATAAAAACTCATAAAACTGGGAATTTTGTTGCTTTATTTCCCTTTTTTCTATCTCACACCCCAGTTGCTTTACACTCTGTTTTGATGAGTTTGTGGAGACTTTCAGTTTGGAACAAAGATCAGTTTAGGGGACATCAGTTTGAGGCTTTGAGATCCTGCGATTGTGATAAAGAGCAAAAGCAGTGAAAGACAGCGCCCTCCGCTGTTTTAGAAAGGACATCAACTATCATTTTTCATCTCATGGACTTCAATCATTACGTGCTGATTTTCAACTGTCTCCTTGCAATACACTTACAAATACGCTCCATATGAAGAGACTGAAGAGGAGACAAAGACGTTAGAAGCTCCTGGGAGCAGAATGGCAGATCCATCAACCACACACAGATGGTGGGTTTTATTTCCACATGTATGACAATTCACATGCATCCATAAAATCCCAGGTACACCCTCCTAACATAAGCTTTTCCTCGTCCTGGAAACAAATGAAACCTAGAGAGACATCTCTCTGTGATCCCCTCTGTGGTGCTGTGAGAGCCGGTTTTCATCTTCACTCATGGTCCATTCATTCTGCACTGTAACCCGCAGAAGAAGAGCTATCCATCCCCTCTTTTCAAGCCTTTGTTTCCCTCCCACACATTAACAGGCATGTAGCAACAGTCGAGCTAAATTTAGCCAAACGCTGCCTAATAATGCTGCTTCCTTTAAATCTCAGCGTGACATCCATTCAGCTACTCTCTCTTTTTCTTCCAATGTTTCTCCTCATAGTTTCCACACAGATTCCGAGGCTGTTATTTCAGAGTCAGGCTGTCTGAATAGGGAGGGGAATTCAGGAGGGCTAGGTTCCTGAGCCTGGATTTAAAGAGGCTAAAATTGATCTTCCGTGGAAATCTCTGGTCAAGCTCTGACTCAGAGTCCAGTAAACTGACATATGGCAGCACAGCAGAAGCACAGGCTGCTTGCTGGAGAGAGCCCTGAACAGGTGGATCAGGCACTGCTGTGTAAAATCCGAGCCCAAGGACAAGAATACACAGCCACTGGTGCAGAAGGGTGGGAATGCAGCAGGGGTCAGAGTTCACAGCAGAGGCAACACGTCTACAGCATCCTGTTTCCTCTCAGAATAATCCAGCCAAGATTTAAAACGGATGTGGTTTACAGTTTTGGATACTCTAGATGCTTCTCGGCTCTCTGATGCCATCATATCAACAAATTAATAGCTGTAAATGATACCACCTTTGAGGGGAACGCTGGTATTTTTGGACGGAGGCATTTTGTTGTAATTATGATTACGGCCTCTCCAAATACATGCTGTGAAAAACGGATTACCTCTATTTTTTGCACATTTTCCAGACTTAAAAGTTCCAGATCATCAAACAAATTCTAATATCAAAAAAAGATAACCCAAGTAAATACAAAATGCGGTTTTTAAATGATTATTTCACTTATGAAGGGAAAATGCCATCCAAATCGACCTGGCCCTGTGTGAAAAAGTAATTGCCCCCCTTGTCAAATTGTGAGTGAACTGTAAGTAACCACATTTTTTTAGTTCAATTTCACTAGCCACACCCACACTCAATTACTACCAGACTTGTAAAATCAAGAAATCACTTAAATAGAACCTGTCTGACAACATGAAGATGGCTAAAAGATCTCAAAAAGCAACACATCATGCCGCTATCTAAGGAAATCAGTGAGCAGATGAGAAAGACATTAATTGACATCCATCAGTCTGGAAAGGGTTTCAAAGCCATTTCTAAGGCTCTGGGACTCCAACGAACCACTGTGAGAGCCATTATACACAAATGGAGAAAGCATGGAACAGTGGTGAACCTTCCCAGGAGTGGGCGGCCAACCAAAATTACTACAAGAGCGCAGCAACGACTCATCCAAGAGGTCACAAAAGATCCCAGAACAACATCTAAAGAACTGCAGGCCTCATTTGCCTCAGTTAAGGTCAGTGTTCACGATTCGACCATGAGAAAGAGACTGGGCAAAAGTGGCATCTATGGCAGAGTTCCAAGGCGCAAACCACTGCTGTCCAAAAAGAACATAAAGGCTCGTCTCACATTTTCCAAAAAACACCTGGATGATCCCCAAGACTTCTGGGAAAATATTCTGTGGACTGATGAGACAAAAGTGGAACTTTTTGGAAGGTGTGTGTCTCGTTACATCTGGCGAAAAACTAACAAAGCATTTGATAAAAAGAACATCATACCAACAGTCAAACATGGTGGTGGTAGTGTGATGGTCTGGGGCTGCTTTGCTGCTTCGGGGCCTGGATGACTTGCAATAATCAATGGAACCATGAATTCTGCTCTCTATCAAAGAATCCTGAAGGAGAATGGCCATCAGTTCGTGACCTTAAGCTCAAGCACACTTGGGTTATGCAGCAGGACAATGATCCAAAGCACACCAGCAAGTCCACCTCAGAATGGCTCAAAAAAAAAAAAAAAAATTAAGGTTTTGGAGTGGCCTAGTCAAAGTCCGGACGTGAATCCGATCGAGATGCTGTGGCATGATCTTAAGCGGGCTGTTCATGTACGAAAACCTTCCAATGTGGATGAATTAAAACAGTTCTGCAAAGAAGAGTGGGCTAAAATTCCTCTCCAGCAATATAAAAGACTCATTGCTAGTTATCGCAAACACTTGATTGCAGTTGTTGCAGCAAAGGGTGGCACAACCAGCAATTACTTTTTCACATTGGCGATTTTGGTTTTCAATAATTCTTTACTTTTAATAAATGAAATGATCATTTAAAAACTGTTTTATGTCCACTCATTGTCGTTCTCTTAAATTAAATTTTATTGGATGATCTGAAACATGTAAGTGTCACAAAAAAGCAAAAATAGAAGAAATCCAGTAGGGGGCAAATACTTTTTCACAGCACTGTATCTCCAACTAAGGCACCAGTTTTTCGCACTGACAGGTTCAGCTTACAGTAACTGTGACAAAATTACTAAAAGGATCTATGCAGAGTTTGTCTTTTATCATTTTGCTGAAACAGCTGTTAAATCCTCAGTTTTAAACTCTCCTGAGAGACTCCAAAGAGAGGCTGGTCTTCTTTGAGACAAGCTGGTGGAGCTCCTCAATCATTACATCTTTGCAGCAAATGGTAAAGAGCAGTACTTTTTGATGCATATGCAAGCTCCTTTCAAATATACTTTTCCTATTGTTCTACCAGGTCTTCATATATGCATGCATGAATCTGCAATTTTCTGCACATTCTGGTCAAGAGATTTTCAAAAGTTTGTGCGACAGTCCAAGTGTCCCTGCCATGGGTATCTTTCACATCTGTGGAGGCTCCATTAATGCTGAACAATATCTACAGGTTTAGGAGCAACATCTACTGACATGCAGACAAAGACTTTTTCAGTGACCTTCATATTTCAGCAAGACCATGACAAACCACATTCTGACAACAGGGATTACAACAGCATGGCTCTGTAGGAGAAGAGTCCTGCTGCTGAGAAACTGGTCTACCTATAGTCCTGACTTGTCCCCCATTGAAAACATTTGACTTTTGGACACCAGAACCTGGTTTGCTGGGTTCACTAAGGTTTACAGTTGACTTGCAAATGTTCCAAGTAACAAATTTGTTTGACATCCAGTATGTTAATACACAATTTCAGTGATTCAAACAGAACATGGTTCTAATGCTAAAATAACCCCACAAGCACATGCTCAGCTCTTAGCTCTCTTTCACAGTCAGTGTTTTTTGTTGTTTTGTTCTCAACAGACTAAATTATGTGATGAAAATGGAAAAAGCTATAAAGGCTATGATATTAGGTACAATTAGATTCAATTTTCATTCCCAGAAATACTAAAACACATTGTCTGACACTTTATAACTGCAGAGCTTAATTATCTCATTGAAGTTTCACACTCAGTGTTTACAGTTATACAGGGGAATTAGAACCAGCCTCAAAGTAAAACATTTCAGCAATACAATACCTGAAATCTGCCGACTGAGAGTGAAAATTACTGAAGCTACTGCACACTCTGCCTTCTGACTTTGTACTGGATTTCTAGGCATTATAATCACTCGTGTATTTTTCTGCTTGAATATCAAATAATTTTTGAGTTGTTTGTACAAAGAGTCTGGAGGCTGTATGAAATATCGATTGAAATATGATGGTTTGGAAATCATCTAAACACCATCTCTGATTAAAACTAGTGCAAAGACAACACATCAAATGTTCACACTTAAGCCATTAAAAAGGTCAGAACACGTGATTGGACTCAAAGTTCTTTGTCACTTTTTTGTCACAACTGCTTTTATGCCAAGCTGCAGTGCTTATGGCAATTATTTCAGTCTAAGCTGCTCAGATGTGTTCAGAAATAATACACCTTTAGTTAAGCACAAACATAGTTTGTTCTGATCCTTGGACTGGTGGAATGGACAGTTGACCTTGACTGTACTTTGGCTGTGTATCTTCTCACTCACATGTCCTCCACAGTGATATCCTTGAGAATTTGGCAGTAGTCCACATTCCAGACTGCCTGGTCGTCCCAAACCTTCGACGCAAGCAGGATGGCTCCCAACACAATACGCTTCCAGTTTGCAGGGCAGATGTCGATCTCAGCGTAGGTCAGGAGCCTCTCTAGATACACCTGTGATAAAGATGAGTGTCACATCGAAATATCAGTCTCTGTCAACCTGTAAACACAAACATTTTACAGATGAAGTCAGATCACTTTGGAGCTCGTCTTCTGAGCCGCTACACTCAGAGTATTCACATTTGCAATGGTTTGATCATTTTCTTGCAGCAGCACCACACTGCTTGTATTGGTGTATGGGCATCAACCTCAGTTATATATCATGCATTATATATGCAAACAGTAGGTCTCTGTCTCCAGCTTGGACCCACAGATTCAGTCGGCAGCCCTCCTGTTTAGCAGTCTCCTACCTGCTCCTCCTCCAGGTGAAAACCACAATAACAAGGTGTCAATGGCTGATGAAATCCAGCTCCCCTCAAGCCCGCTCATTAAAATATACACTCCATCTTTCCACCTGCCTGTCTCCCACTTTTCATTCCTCTCCCCATCAGTAGGCAGAATTCCCACAGTCTGCAGATCACAAAGCACAGAGAGAGCCTGCAGGCACCTGTTCCTTACAAGATGAAATACTTGTACAGAAGCTCCTTCTTCTGATCCATCTGATCACCCCTTTGTTAGAAGTGGGAGTGTATTCTGTTGGATTTTACAGCCTCCATTGAACATGAAAGCTGCACACAGTGATCTGCTGCATGCAGACAGCTTTATGCCTCTGCAGCATGCCAATGCATACCTCACATTTATTTCTATCATAGAGTCATTTATCACAAAACACCCCAAAAAATTAGGCATATTTTTTATCCTAAAGAGTTTCAGCATGAATTTGATGCTTTTGTTGAAGATATTTCATACAAGTTTCATTTCAAATGTTACAGTATGATGCTTTTAGGAGCCCAGGTAGAACAACAGACCAACTAAACATGTCATTTGCAAGCTTTTGTAACTGATACAGTCTGAACGAGCCATAAATCTTACTCTTGTTCCAGCATTTTCCCCGCAGCTAATGGGGGATCTTCAGTTTCTTTTGCCCAGAAATAAAACTGCTGCAGGCTTAACTGAATCCACACCAGCTACAGCAACTCCAATCTTTGAATTCTGTCATCTCAGATGACAAGTCTGACAAAAATACATCTAGTTTGCAAAGATGTTTTTTTTTTATGGCAGAGGGGGATATACTTTTTTGAATTCTGTCTGAAACTGCTTTGTGCCAGAACTGTAAGTTTTATGTGACAAAAAAATGTCGTAAAATAAATCCAAGAAGAGAGCTGAAAGCTTGATAATAATCTGTTCATTTTAAGTTTTGATCCTCTAATCACTGCTGCCTTGTAAATAAGACAAAACAGGGGGACAGTGAAGCCAAATGATGTGAAAGAGAAATGAACTATCCTCTCATTCAGCCCAGTTTGACTTGCCCTCTGGCACAGATCAGTTGGCTAATTGGACGAGTCATGCTGGGTAGGTCTTTGTGCCTGCAGGCGATGCTAACCCATCTCTGTTGTGGCCCAGAGTCTGCCAACAGAAACCCCATACACACTCATCTGGCTGCAGACAGCAAACAGCAGCTTGGAAAGCCTGCATAAATGAGATCCCGACCGCATGCCGAAGAATATGAATACAACAGCAGAGAGAGAACAACACAGAAAACTCAACAAAAGGTTTCAGAGGCAGGGAGGTTAGCAAACAGCGGCCAGGGTTTGACACCAGATTGATGATGAATGATTAAATTTGATCATCAATGGTTCACGTCACCTGGATTTAGGTACAAAAACAGACACAGAAATAGTCTTTTCTCTAAAAATGGGGTGCTTAAAACTGAACTAAATACTTGGATAAGTGCCAAACCTTATGATATATCATCTTTATATTTACAGTGTTTGACATTTAGTTTATCTGCTTCCAGATCTTTTCATTTTGGTGTAAATTTATCTTGAAGTATGGACAGGTACAGCTTAATCCAGCCAGACAACTTTAAAAATAGTTAAATGTTTTATGTACTTGATTTCAGAAAGTGAAAACTTATAATGGTCTTCTTAATCCAATAAACAAAAATACTCAAAGAATTCTTCTATTGTAATATTGAGAGTTGTGGTCTGTCGCTAAAAAATAAAACCACAAATCTCAAAACTTTAAATGTGTCTAAATCAGGAGGTACCAGATGGCGCTGACTGCTGCCATGACAGGAGTCCAGAAGGAGTCGATGGTTGGGGGATAATTTGGTTGTAATTTTGGCGCGGTGGGCAGGTGCAACATCAAACATATCATATATCTCATAGTCTACTTCACTTTCATGGTACAGACTGCTGACTTGGCAGAAGTCCTGAGAGGGATCATGAATGGAAGGTCACTGCCGCAAAGTCTGGCTAACCTCATAACCACCAGCCAGAGGCTCTGCTCAATTACAGACAGCATGCTGGGCTTTACCCTGGGGGCTGGAAGAGGACGGACATGTGCCAGACTGTAATATGTGTCTGATTAAGCACTTGAGATGATGTTGAACCTGACACATTTTGTTTCAGTGTGTCTGTACAGGTGGGGGTGGGGGTGGGGAATGACTTTGGACCGAGCATGCTGAAGATGTTTTCATTCAACTTTTAAAAAGAGCTTAGAGAAGAAAAACAAATGTGGACTGAGGCTGTTCTGAGTTAGTCCCCTCAGACCAATCACTGATTGTACCACATGAACAGAGAGCTGATCGCTGTGCAGGCTGATCTGTATCTGTGTCATATGACTGCAGAATGTAAACATGCACCCAAACTGAGACATTGCTGCAATCACAGAAACACAGAAAAGACATTACAACAGATATTCAGTCAGACTTCCATCAGATCTGCAGTCAGTCTGTCTCTGCTCTAACCTGGTTTAGCTCCATGCCCCCTTATCACCCACCACCTGTGTTTTCAAAGCACAGGTGGTGGGTGATCATTAATTTTGTACTTAACCGACGTTAAATACAAAATCAGTGGTTTTCTACCTCTACCATAAGCATTGAAAACCTCTGACCCGTTGTTTCCAGGTCTGGCTCAGCCCACTATGGCGGTTTGTTGATCTAAAATGAAAGTAATTACAATCTCAGCAGGAAGTGCTTCATTCTTAAAACTTTTATTTTTTCTGGATGCGACTGATACCAGTGTCTAAATGGCTGATGGTGACACCAATGGGAGAGCAGGTTGGCCAGAGGCTGGTACACTCTCAAAATGTTAAAATCTTACACATTTTTTGTGTTATTATATTTTAACATTTGTTATGTTATATTTACACATCCTGTGTTATTATCCTAGACACACTTTTGAGTTAATGCTATTTTAACACATTAAATAGTTATCATGTGAATTAAACACAACACATGTTAGCCACTGCTAGGTCAAAGAGGTTATTAATGAAAACACCTGCCAGGGTTATTTTTAACCAAGCAGTGGCTTTATTAATTGTCCTACTTTTGAATAATTCTGGAATCATCTTTTTTTATAAATTCTGTAACTTTTTTCTTTATTCATTTTTAATTTTTTGGAGGGAGGAAGCCCCTCAGCAGGGGAATCAAACCTCCAAACACCCAGTCTCAGGGTGGACCACAAGGCCACTGAACTGGTATCTGAGACCAGATTCTTGAGTAGCACGGTGCCCTGAAGACAGGAGTATACCTTTCCTCACACACAGACGTATGGTTCTCTTAATTGACTATGGTTTGGGTTGTACTATTTTAACTCGAGAAAAATAAAATATTAAGTTCCATTTCGGGGGGAAATAAATCCAAATATATAAGTCCCATTTCTGTAGGACCCCCAGCTGATCTGTCCACTTTATTCAGACACCTGGATGGTCCCTGGCTGGGTGACCCTGGGTCATGGAAGCTTGTAGCTCTAACTTAGGGGTGTGGATTGGAGCAATGCACTGAGAAAGTTGCCACATGAACCAGCTCTGGAAAAAAATCATGTTGTGTAATCCCTTCTTTGATCCTCCTGGGGGCAGCACTCGCCACTGCCTTTGATGGCTTTAAAATGCAACAATGGCAGCTGTGCTAACAGCTACAGGCTAATAATTGAGCTCGCTGAGGAGTTGGTCCGCACTCACAAATGTGTGAGAGGCACATTTACATTTGCAACTCAAACTACACGCCACGGGAGTAACGCCGTTGTAACCCGGCCCAGCGCACAGCCTCGAGCCACATGGGACGGTTGTTTGACATGCCTTGTCTGTATTTTAGGTGTTCCATTGTTGCACTGATGGTTTAAGAATGAAATGTTTACAAAATGTTTAATGCTTATACTCTGTGTTTGCACTATGTTTTGCTCTCAAGTTTGTACTTAAGTCTTACAAAGTCCAAGATTTTGCGCTGCTGCCTGAACCAAATAAATTTTATAAAAGTGACTTGAGATTCAAGCAATTGTTTATTGTTTTTAGTGACCAGGTTTGGTGATTTAGCAGATAATCGCAGTAGCTCAGGAGGTAAGAGCGCTCGTCCAATAACCGGAAGGTTGGCGTTTCGATTCCCCCCTATCCCAAGTCTGTCCGTTGTGTCCTTGGGCAAGACACTTAACCCACCTTGCTCCCAGTTTGTGTCCTCCACTGGTGTATGCTTGTGATTGTGTATGGTGGTCGGAGAGGCCGTAGGCGCAAAATGGCTGCCACGTTTCCGTCAATCTGCCCCAGGGCAGCTGTGACTACTAAGGTAGTTTACCACCACCAAAGTGTGACTGTGTGAGCGAATGAGTGATGTATCCAATGTAACACAATTGTGTGTAAATCATATGAAAATAAAACACTTTTGTGTGAAGAACACATAACGCAGCTATGTGTAAATTGCATGAAAATATGACACAGCTCTGTGTTATCTTTGTGTAAACCCAACACAGTTGATGTGTTGACACATTTAACACACAACATGTGTAAAATCTGTCAACACAAAGTCATGTGTCAAAACAACACAGTGTGTGTTGTCCTTAACTAGACACACGGATGTGTTAAGAAATAACACATGATGAGTTATTTCTAACACATTCGTTTTGAGAGTGTATATATTGCTGATATCTAAGTGTGTGTGTTTTCTCTCTTTTTTCTGCAATCAGGAAAATACCCCAAAAATGCTTGTCTCAGCACACTGTTTTATTTCGAATATAACCATATGTTGTTTCATTGTGTCTGACATCCTCTCTCCCTTCATCTGCTCTGTGCTGACAGTGCATCATACTATGGTTTCTAGTTGTGCATACCTGCTGCAGAGTGCTCTGGGTTACTGGAGCAGAAACCTAATGCACTGAAGCCAGAGAAAGCACATTGATCAGAGTGAAACTATCTGCTTTACTAGTGTGGAGAAGGGAGACGGACCACACGTGTTCTGGAGAAAGTTTGGGGACTGCACCAGTTTAACCTTTCTGCAGAAACAAACCTCCTTCACACTGAAGATATTCTAAAAGACAGCTGCAGAGATCAAACTGATCTTATCAATTTCACTGGACAGACTAACTTATCATCAAGAAACCAAATGAGAAAATGGAGTTTAAAAAGTGAACAGGAGGAAGGAATCTAATGAAGACAACAAAAGAATGTGCATGACAGTGAGGAGAAGCAATGAACAACACTCCCTCCTGGTGTCAGCACTGAATCACACACACAGTCACGCACACACACACACACACACGCACACTTACCAGTGTGACGATGGCGCACTCAGCAGTGAGCTGTGCAGCGCTGAACAGCGTCCTGACAAACCGATAGATCTGTTTCTGCTCAGGATCGTGTTTGTCGTAATCAGGAGGAACTTCTGATTTCTAAAACACAAAAATAACCAAAAGTTTAAAAGACTCTCAGCGCAAGACATCTGATCTGAATCTCTATAAAAAAGATTTCTTATGGGAGGTTGGTCTGAAGCATAAGGGAAATGAGCTAAATACTTTTTTACATTGACTCTTTGCAGTTTAAAGGGTGTAAAAACTGGATAACCAGCATCTGAATAATTTTTGCAGCCTCTAGGAGTACAGGACAGACTCCCCCTCTGACTGATTTTGATTTGCTGCTGTTGTCTTTGTCTGATGAGTTTGAACAAAACTTAAGATTAGACATTATAACTTGTCCCAAATTACAGCCTTACTGAGAGTGGGTGCAGCTTCTCATCGAAAATGTCTAACAACATTCGTCCGTCGACATCCCTGAAATGAAAAACAGAGAGGAAGAAAAAAAGAGGAACAAAAAAGCAGCAGTACAGGTGAAATAGTTCAAATGTCACTTGATCATCATTAAAGGTGGTAAGTAAGTCATAATGATACGGCTTATTATCACTTTAGCATCTTCCACGAGAAAACATAAATATCAGCTTTGACTTTCAGCAGTTTAATCAAAGTTTCAAAGTCTTAAATGTTTCTAGGAGATGCTGCTGCTGCAATGTTGAATTCAGCATTTTCTCCTTTTGTGTCTCCTTGTATGCAAAAAATCGGACTCCTCAGAATAGCAGCATTGTGAGCCTGACATAGTGCGCTGTATTTGTTGTGTGTCTGTTAACACCTGCAGGGCTGGACACATGTTTTCAGCTGTGGAGGTATGAATGGAGATGATTCATTAAAACATGACCCAGACAAAGTCTTTACATGAGCTCAGCCTTAAAGGTGGGCTAGGCAGGATCTGAGGAAGTGCCAGTTTTGGGGAGAAATCTTTTCATGGACTGAGGCGCACCGAGGTCAGCCAAGCTGGGCTTGGTGGCATGGCAGGGGGGAGGTGTCGACAGAATCAGCTGGCGCGGTGACATTTTCGTGCTCGCCGGTGGCGTGTAAAGTGCACTGAAAGCTCGCCGATTCAAACCTGGTCAGCCTACAGCCCCGGTCAGAGCGCAGCTGGTCTAGAGGTATTTTGGTAGACCGGCGCCATATTACGCATGCATCACTGATGCCTCACCAACAGGTTTCCACAGTCTCAGGCACATTTCAGTGCAATAAATAATCAACAACAACCAATATTCTGAGTCAGCACATACATTTAGATCTATATCGATATATTCTGATCTATATTTGATCTGATGAGCGCGTTTGGCACGCGTTTGGACACTCCACCTGACCGAATTAACACAGCTGAAACCGCATTAAATTAAATATCCAGTAAACAGTCACACATGATGAAGTTAACAAGATATGTAATTCGTCTCCCTCCCTTTCTTCTTCCTCTTCTCTTATTTCAAGTATTGGATCATGACAACATGTCAAATGGAACAGCAAACTTTTGTTCTGTTTTTAGATCTTTAAAAAATGCACATACAGAGGTGTACTTGGGTATATAAACTCTACAGTAAGCTGTTAAGGTAGAGAACATTATATTTTCGGGGCAACAAATATTCCGAATCAGAGGGCTATTGTTTTCGGCATATCTGAATAGTCTGAATGAAATCATTAAAGGCACACGCTTTTGAATCCACCAAACAGTAAGGAAAACTTGGATTATTTCGCCTTGTTATGTACTTTCAACCGCACTCCCGTCTGGGGGTGCATTCTACGGCAGGGGTGCATTCTAGGGCACAACACCTGACGTGTCTCCGTGTCCTCTCTACGTCCTGCTGCTGCTGCGGTGGCACGGCTGACCAGATGATTTATTTTAGTGATCAGATGAGTCATTACTTCGAAAATTTAAATAAAATAAAATAAAACAAACTTTCACTCAAAATTACCTGTTTATCTGATTTCCTCACATCATTAAGATTCTGTAACTATTCAATCCGGAGTTAGGCCCACATACGAATATTATAATATTCAGTTTTGTGAGCCAAATTTATTTTACATGCCAACATCAATGAAAGAAAGAGCCAGGCCATGGAGCGCGATGCGTCATTTACGCACAGATGGTTCCGATTTTAATGCCATTATTGGAATTTATGTTGTGATCTGTGCGCACAACCCACCTTTGTCACGTGAGGTTTAAATATATGCAACTTTATGTGAGTGTCTTTATTTGTGGAAAAGGATGTTTGTCTTACCAGTGGGTCCAACCTTACACACGACCAAATCCATCTGTGCTTATATAAGAGAGTGTGGAGGACGCCCTCTGCAGCGCTTACAGCGACACTTGTTGAGGGGCTGCCTTCTGTCACCATTGTGTGGCATTGCTGTGGTCTACCTCCGTTTTAAGCGCCCGTTATTCCACCAGAGTCTCCTGTATTTACTTCGTTTTCTTGCTTGTGTTGGCAGTCGTGGCTAAAGGGGTATTCAGACAATTTTCTGTACTTTCTGGTTGGTTTCTTCTGTACGATATTGTAGCACGCTAACTTTGTTTGGACTCCTGAACGACACGGGGGAGCAGCATCTGCCTCACAACCAATCAGGTTGTGGGAAGTGGGGAATGGCTTTGTTTACAGTCAGAAAGAGCGGAGCGCTCTGAAATTTTAAAATGTTGACTACACAGACACAACAAAACACAGCGATATCGTTATATTACCAAATGTCATCAGTGACTAGCAGCTATTGACTTCATACACAACCAGATAACCTGCTCAGGTGTCGACCGGTTGCAGGAACACAAATGAATAAAAAGAAATAAGCCAGAGCACTGAAGAGACTCGACTCTGACTTTATTGTCACCCATCCCAGTTAAGGGGGAACCTGAAGAAGCTTCAGTGCTCACGATCAAATCACAGTGAAATCATTTCAGTATGTTAATTTCTGGTTTTATAAAAAATATTTGGCTCAGCTACATCTGACTTTATCTGAATTATTACTAAAGAAGAAAAAACTGAACATTTTGATGTTAACATAGTGAGAGAGAAAAAAACTGACACAGCAGAAACTTGTGTATTAATCCACTATTTTTAGCCAGTGACATAGTTTGGATGGATTTAGAATTAATACTGTACATACAGGGTTATGCTATAGATTTCAGATACTACTTTCAGGAGTGATATTGAACTGCATTACGCTCCCTTAGAGCAAATTTGACTGGTAAAGCATCATCCAGAAATCACTTCAGGTTTGATTTTCTGTCATTCAAGATGGCAACGTGTTCTCAGCCTTGTAGCTGGGGATGCAGATTGTTTCACAGAGCCATGAATCAGCCCATTTCATGGGTCCATCTCCACTTCAGTTTGTTGATTGTTGTTTCATTTGTGCAGCAAGTCCAGAACTTTCCGTCTTATAAAAGTAAAAAAACTCAAAGACATTTTTCTCAGTTAGAAAATGTAATGATTCAATCATTAATTCACTTCTGACTAAAGTGAATGGCACTGACTTGAATCACAATTTCTGCATCTGCAGAGGAGTTTTGCATACACCGAAGAAATACAAAATTCTCATCCCCCAGCTCAGGATCAGCTAAGGATTTCTGTTGTACCACAGAGACAATCTTAAGTTGCTGAATGCACAGGATCCTTTTAAATCTCTTTTTTGCATCGCAGGTGCCTCACAAGGTACATCTTTACATGTTCCTCTGCAGAGTGATGCCCAGCTCACTGAAGCTGCACATTCAGTCGGCTATCAGACAACACCTCACAGTAACTACAGCGCCTGACATTTCTACAGAGGCCTCCAGGGACCAAAAGCGACATCTTTTCATGCAACGTTTAGCTTTCCTGCAAACCCCTGGCAATGAGGTTTAAGTCGAGGATGTGCAATTCAGCTAAAGACACAGGATATAGAAAGTCATACCTGTTCTTGATGTGGTAGTATATTGCCAGGGCTACGCTGTAAAGACAAAAAAAGAGATAAAGACATTTCAGAGTTAGACACAGGAGGGTAACGACCCGTAGGGGATATTGGAAAATGAGATTTCATGGGGTTACCATTTGATGGTGTATTTGAGGTTGGGCTGACTGACGGTGCTGTCATCGAGGAATATGGTGGAGCAGGAGCTGTACTTTCGTCTAACTTGGCCTGGATGATGCTGAAGTTCACACACACACACACACACACACACACACACACACACACACACACACACACACACACCAATGTCTATTTCTGTCTCACTCTCACTCAGCCAGCTGACAGCAGAGAGAAGTAGGGCACCTGTGCGCCCTAAGACTGAATCAGACTGTCCTTTGTCAGACACTGTTGCATGCAGGGATGACATTTATGGAGGAGTGCATCTTCAGGAAAGCCTGAAACTTGATTTAGTTCTTTAGTTATAAACTGAAATACTTTGTTTAATCTCAAAGAATAAGTTCAGGGGAAGCTCAAAGATGGACTCCATCCGTTTATCATGAAATCAAATATTGCTTCTACATTTCTACTGTACTAGTGTTGAGACTAATACTTAGTTTTCACTTCGCACATATTAGGGAGGTCCCAATCCTCATCTCAACTATCAGAGCCAATCTGAACCTTTTTAAACTTATTGAGGATCTAGGTGATCTGGGAAGGATCTAGTTGCAGACACAGCGGAGCTGCATAAATGCATCAAGAGAACATTATACAAAAACATCAATTTTGATCATCTTTCAAATGGTTTAAATTTGTAGGAGTCCCTATTATTAATTATTTTCCACAATCTCAGGACAGTAGACAGAAGAGTTCAGGAAGAGCTTAGGTCAAATAGGGGGAACTCCCGAGCATTTAACACCCTTTTACATGTATAGAACTGATGGAAATCATGAAGAGGTAATGAAGATACTTGATACAAGCCATCTTAAGAGATCTGTAATCACAAAGTATTTGATATAAAATTCCCGGATGGATGCAGGAGTTTGGATGTCTTTTGGATCCATTCAGACACTGACTTACAATAACTGTACAGCAAAGTTTGTGACAAACAAATGAAGGGATTTTAAACATAATGTGAATGCTGTGTGTTTAAAGGCAGAGATTTGGAGCTCCAAAGTTTGTCTCATGTTATTACTGAGCCTAGCTGCAGACTGTAAGATTCCTCTACATGGAACAAGCTGAAGATGTCTTTTAAGAAACACAAGAAACAGATCAGGGATCAGTGTCGGCAGAAACTCAACATTTATAATGTCAGATCAGGGTTGGAACCGAAAAGGTAAAAGGGACATCTCTACGTACACACATAACTTAAACTGTTTATGAGAATTAGGTTGAGGGATGAGGAAGGGAGATAAAAAATATATTTGCAACTGTTAAACTTTACCTTGTTCTCCGAAATGTGTGTAAACTTGCAAAAAATACAAGACAGTGAAATCACAACGTGCAGAATGAGAATATTCTCAATTATTCTTCAACTTACATCATAAAACCAACATTGCTACTGTTCTCTCTGAGTACATCATAAAAAAGGCTCAAACTTACATGGTTGATGTAAAGGCTTTTCCGTTTTTCTCGAACTGAAAGAAAGATGAAAGGATAGATGTCAGAGCAGCGCGTGAGTGCAGTACCTCACCCTGACAGACAGGGAGCAGTATTTACCCAGGGTTTATGCGTGCAGCTTTTTCTGTAATTTTTCCAAACCAAGGACAGGGCAGTTTCAAAATACAGATTGGAGCATCATGAGACCTGTGAATGGATTTTTTTCTCCTGATGCAAAATAAACTGTGTTTTAAAAGAGTCAAAATGTGCTTTAATACCTATTAATGCCTCAAACTGAAGTACAATGTGAATCAGGTGAGATTACGGTAACGGTTTGATTCAGGACGGGATCTCTTCCCTTTCTTCATTTACATAAAGCAGTGTGTGTCTGTGTGTATATGTTTGTATCTTTGTGTGTTTGTGTTTACCCCAGTTTGGAGGCAACACGTGGGGAGAGGGAGCAAACTGGAGCAGATGCAGAGCGCTGCATCACACAAAGTGATGCTGTCTGGCACCTCTTATCCTGACACTCTTTATCTCCCACCTCACTGACATAAACACACACAGACACACACATATACACTCTAATGCATGTGTTCATTGTGAGCGCTGCTCTCTGGCAAGAAGCTGCAGAGTTGAATATTCTGTAATTTTGCACATTTGAATAAAAACACAGCAAATTCACAGTCCAAGCTGCTGCAACTTTGGATTTTGTTTTTTTTTCTGCTTAATTATGACTAACTGAATAATGCAGATCCCAAATCCCATCATAAAGAGTCCTGCTCCTCCTCACCTCCTCCTTTTGAAAGATCTTTGCACAGCTGCACGTGTTACTTAAAAGACTACAACATCCTGTTCAGACTGTTGCAACCTGCAGACCAACATGCACAGAGGCACACACACGCGCCCACGCACCCACGCACCCACGCACACACACATAAAGAGACGGCAGCAGCTCAGCGGAGAGCACGTCCTCTGCTGACAGAAACAAAACAGCTGGAGACTACATTTAAAGCTGAACCCGCCTGCTGACGACACACATGGACATGCTTACCTTTCTTGTTGGGCACAGCAACTGAAAAACACAAAGTCCAAGTTGTCTCTATCGTTGTTCATGACATAAATGTACAACTAACCACAATAAACCACAGGAATTGTACTTATATGGGCTGTATTTTTAAACACAGTGGAGTCTGAATTTCTGTTCATTGATAGTTTGTTGATACTCCAGTCGACTGAGTCAGCTGTGAAACATAAATAACTATGATTTGAACCCTGAAGAGGAACAACCTAAACACCCCCACCACGACAGGCTTAGTCTCATAAACAGAAACAGCGAGATCTTCACAGAAACAGACCTGTCATTGTATTTCTGTGTCTCTGAAGCCCAGACGGAAGGAACACATATGTGTTCTGTCTGCAAATATAAGATAACCTTATAGAGCAAACATGCACTCACTGACATTAATGTTTTGGTCGTACTTTTATTACAGTCAGTTTGAGTATGTGGAAAAAAAGTCCCCACATATGCAGCTGTAGAAACATCTAAATATTCCGAGATGTTTGAGTTAGCACACTTCTCCTGAATCCCTGGAACCAAAACGACAACCAACCCTCAGTCAAACCTGTAGTATCCCAAATCTCCTACTTCTGCTCAGAGAAAAAAAGGATTGAGGACAAATGCACCTCATCTACAGATACAGCAGGTTAACTTTGCAGAATATAAGATATTCAAGCCAACCAACAAACTGATTGCTGCAGAGTAAATTGACTGTCAACTTGAAGTATATTTACTAGAGATGCACCGATTGCAATATTCTTGGCCGATACCGATTTCTGGTTTTAAAGGAGGTCTGACCTGCCAAAACCGGTTTTTCCGATTCCGATTTTCTATCTAAGAAATAATTATAATCATATAATAGACACCATATTTGTTTGGCTTGAGTACCCATTCCCAATTTTAATTTAAGTACCCCTCTCCCAGACAACATTTTGCTTTACTGCAATTAAAAGCACAACTAATGGTAGGCTATATGCTATCATAACCCCCCTTTTCAAGAATAAAATCTCACAAATAAGAAATAGAGTGAGAGTTTCAACAGTGCCTCCTGAGCAGATTTATTTTCAACACTGACCATAATATTCAGTCCAGTTTACAGGTCAATAACTAACTTACATTCAAACAACATTCAAAAACGTCCCAGCATTTGCCTGGTACAATGTAATTTATTGACTACCCCTCCAGTACCTCTCTCAAACGACTCTGGCAGCGCTGTGTCAGAAAAGTACCGCCTACTTGGTAGTTTGTACCAATCAACGCCTAAGACATTTGGAACAACAAACTTAATACGCCACTTGGAAAAGAAGCACACAGGCTTGTGTAGCAAATATAAGGAATACACTGCCGCTAAGAGGAGGGATGCCGCAGAGTCGCAGCGACCATAACAACCCTCCGCCGTGGCTCCTATGTTCGACATCAACACTGAAAAGTCCAAAGCCACCACTCGGAAAATAATGGAGTTCGTGGCACTGGAGGACCAGCCGTTTAGCGTAGTACAGGATAAAGGCTTCGTAAATCTGATGAAACACCCTACTTGGTAATTTGTACCGTGGACTCAGGTGTTTCGTCAGATTTACGAAGCCTTTATCCTGTACTACGCTAAACGGCTGGTCCTCCAGTGCCACGAACTCCATTATTTTCCTAGTGGTGGCTTTGGACTTTTCAGTGCTGATGTCGAACATAGGAGCCACGGCGGAGGGTTGTTGTGGTCGCTGCAACTCTGCTGCATCCCTCCTCTTAGCGGCAGTGTATTCCTTATATTTGCTAAACAAGCCTGGGTGCTTCTTTTCCAAGTGGCGTATTAAGTTTGTTGTTCCAAATGTCTTAGGCGTTGATCCTCCACGGCTGACTTTTGACTTGCAAGCATTACAAAGAGCGTGTTTTGGGTCGCTCTGGCACACAGTGTCAAATCACCGACATGTTTTCCTCCTGAGTCTTGCTAACTTTTAGCAGTTTTGCTCTGAGCTGATACGCACCGCGCATGCGGGTCAGTTTGCTCGGGGAAAACCGGCAAATTACGACAGTGATTGGCCGGTCACCGGTTTGGGCCGGTTGGATATAAAACCGGCTTTTTAAATCGGCGGCCGATTGATCGGTGCATCTCTAATATTTACTTCTTCATTTAAAATCAGTCGTGGTTCGACTCTTGAAAACCTCACTGAAAAAAAGGGAGTCACTGGTCTCCCAACTGCAGCCTCAGTCTGAGATTTTTATTGGTTTATTGTTCTTTCTTGATATCTTGAATCCAAACTCGTCATTCCATTTAAAACAACCAATCAAGGCAAAGAAAAAAATCTGTGTTTTTGTTGACAGAGTCTGACGTCTTCAAAGAGGGTGATGTAGAATAAAGGTCTGTGTCTTTTGGATAACAATCTATATCATCAATATCTATAAAGTAGATATACTTGATAAGCATAGTAGAACAGGTGCTCTGTCTAAAAGATTGAACATTTTACCTAAAGCAAATTGGGGGCTGTTTGTATTTTCAAGTCATTTCAGTTCTAAAAACATGTAAAACCAGGGCCAAAGTAAATAAAGGGCCAGCAGACCTTCACACAGCCCTTTGAATGGACTAATTAAAGAGCATCAGCACCAGATAATTGATCAATACATCTGCCTCCAGGTGGCAAACTCGCCAGCTGAACCAGCTTTTACTCCTGAGCGAGCCAAGAGAACAATATTAAGCCTCTTATCATCAAAGTAAAGCGATTATGTCAAAAAGAAAATAATCTCAGAGAGGAACTTCATTACATTTCATTTGATTACAGTGTATGAATGTCAGTCTGAAGGGTCTAGACTGCTGTGGGATCACTCAGTCAGCCTGACAGGAACGATCAAAACACCCCGCAGAGTCTCAGAGTCAGCTGGTGTGAACATTTTCCACTGGAGCCTTTGCGCCAGCGAAAACTCAGTTCCACGTCTGAAATCTCTGCGCCACAGAAACAGCCAGAAAGCAGATGGTGTACGTCTGTGTGTTGACTGTATGGGTTTAGGTCATGAAAGACGCTTTAAGATGATTTCTGCATGCAGCTGCGTTTCAGCTCATTGTGCCATCTGTCACTCTGTTCTATGAATGCAACATCTCAGTCAACTGATAAAACAAACATTTAACACAATGGTTTAAAGTCAGGGCTGTGATAACTGTGGAGAAAGTCTTCTGAGTCACCTTTCAAACCTGTACGTGTGACTGTATCCAAGCAGTTTACTCTACAACACACCTGTGCTCGTTTCATGCCATTGTAGGTATTGGATTACAGGTACAGGTACATTTAGGTATGTTCATGTTGTCTGATACTGTCTTTTACAAAGTCTTTTACAAAATTCAATCAAACAAAGGCAGATCCCCCTGCTCTTTATTTTAACTCTTATAGTTTTGGAATACTTTGTTTCTTTTCTCCAAAACAGTTTTTCAAATATTAAGCTTTAAAAAATTGCTGGAAACTGAACTATATGGATCCTAGTATCCTACTATTATATTATAGACTCCTGCCAGAGCACAGGCCTACTGAGGGAGATAGCATTTCTAACCTCATGACACATTTCGAAATCTCAAAGCTACAGTAAGGAGATTTTAGTTTGGGTACTTTTGTAGGAAGATTTTTATTCGACCAAATCGCCCATCCTGCTTTCTTTAAAACTCAAATGCATCACAAAATAAATCTTGGCCATGAAAATGTAAAACTGGCCTACCCTAAGGTGTACAATTCATCACTTTTTCTACCAACAACCAACCGCCTTAATATCATATCATTTCTCAAAATTGTTTTTGGGGACTCTTTGCCTTTTTTTGAGAGGACAGCTGAATAAAGACATGAATTTAAGTGTGGGACTCTTTAAAAAATATCAACAGAACTGGAGTCTTGCAAACTTTACCGGTAAGGATATCAGAACTCTACTGTAGCTCTGCGCCAAGGGCAAGGCACCCTGCACATGTGCTCATCTCAGTGGCTGTCTGATAGGATTTTTGCTTTACATGCCAATCTCTGAGCAAAAGATGGTTAAAGTTGACTCTGGTGTTGCTGTGTTGAGGACTGTAGCCTTTTTAAACACGTGTCTGGAGTCGAAACCAGCAAAACAATAAAGATTCCAACTTCAACTTCCCTCAGACTTAGTCAGCCTCAGCTGGGCAGGTCTGCTTGGTCCCTGTTTTTCTAAATAGTCCTGAAACAAACTTGGTTACATTAATTAGCTGTTAGTGGAGAGGTTCATGACGGTTTCAGCTCACCATCAGTCTGCGACTTGCTGAGGAAGATGGTGCTGGCCCGAGGATGATCTGAGGGGTTATACTCCATGGGCAGATCTGAAAAAAAACAAAAACAAAAAAACAAACAATATGTAAAAGGTCTGATTTATAGACTTTTGAGTTTGAAACACCAGGATGGATTCTTGCAGAAAATGAAATACACCGTTTTTACATTTTTTTCAACCTTTTATTTTTAGGTGATATGTGCCTTATTTGTCTCAGGTTAACCACCTCTCCTGAAATGGACTGAGCTAAATGGAAAAACAATCTGCCCACTGACGGTTTGCTGCTGCAGTGCTGTGTAAACGGTCGTTTGTGAATCGATGTGCTAAACAAACACAGCAGAAAGGTATAGATTTGTTTTAGATCATTGTGTGTACACAGATACCACCCAAGATCAGCCAGCAGAGGAGACGCAAGCTGGAAAAAGAAACTGCAATAAATTAAAGGAGGATGGCCTTTGAGGGTGTGATGAGGCGATGAACTCTGACGCAGCTCTTCACTTTCACAGCAGTTCTGAAAATTAAGGGCTATTTAAGGACTTTAAAGAGAGGTTTAAAAAAAATGAGACAAAACTTCAACTATCTGTTCGAAAACCAAAAATGTGAGTTCAACAAGGGGTAAATTAGAGACAGATATCACAGGAAAAGAGTGTATACCTGCATCGTAAGAATTTTCAGACTTTATGTTTTCACACACAACATGTGCTTCCATCAGCGCAGAAAAGTGACAATTTTATACAGCTTCATTTAACCGCAAACATATTTATTTTCAGGTTTAAGCAACTTAATTCTATAAATGAAACCATCATTTTCTCTCAGTTGGTTCTAACTTTCCTTTAAAGATTTTAAAAGTCATTCAAGTCTTATTTCTATGTTAAATGACCCAGAACTTATGTCTTAGGTACTACTTTTCAAGGAACCAAAAGATCCCCTGAGCTTGGTTCATGCTCTCTCCCCAGCTGTGCAAAATCATTCATAAAATACAGGGTTTCCCTTACATGTGTTTGATGACCTTTCTCACACTGTCCCTTGGCATTTCAGGCACACACCAAAACACTCCTCCTCCTCCCCCTCCTCTCACCTCCTTCTCCTTTCCCTGCTCTCCTCTCTCCTCCTCCATCTCCTCTCCCCTCTCTCCTTCCCCTGTTCTTCTCCCTGCTCCCCTCTCTCCTTCTTTTCCTTGCTCTCCTGCTCTAATCTCCCTGCTCTCACCTCTCTTCATCCTGCTATCCTTTCTTCTCCACCTGCTCCTCCTCCTGCTCTCCTTTCTCTCCTCCTCCTGTTCCTCTCCCTGCTCCCCTCTCTTCTCCTCCTTCTTTTCCTTGCTCTCCTGCTCTAATCTCCCTGCTCTCACCTCTCTTCCTCCTGCTCTCCTTTCTTCTCCACCTGCTCCTCTTCCTGCTCTCCTTTCCCTCCTCCTCCTGTTCCTCTCCCTGCTGTCTTCTCTCTTTCTCCTTTCCCTGTTCTCCTCTCTCCTCCTTCTTTCCCTGCTCTCCTTTCTCCTTCTCCTCTTCCTGCTCTTCTTTTCTGCTCTTCTCTCCTCCTGTTGCTACCTCACAGTTTGTACTGCTGTACATGTAAAAGATACAGCAATGTCCAATTAATCTCAGAGGTGTAAATCTCAGTTTTAAATCAAATTGAAGCATTAAAAAAACGGGGCCCTTAAGACACATGCCCTTAAATTTTATATAGAAGAATCAATCAGTGTCCTGGTCCTGGATTCAATGTGTCTGAGTTTGGATGATTCTGTACCACAGCTGAGTAATGTGCTCATGTGTTAGTCCAGTGGAACACAAAAGCAGAATTGTTTGAACAGTAGAGCTGCTATCACACCTCCAGCCTGACATGAACTTTATGGTGGTGAATTAATTTAATATCCCTAACAACCTCAGGTGAATCAACTGTTGACAAAAGGCTGTGGTCAATATCCTATTCAGATCAATCAAACTCCACACACACACACACACACACACACACACACACACACACACACACACACACACACACACACACACACACACACACACACACACACACAAACACTAAATAACAATGAGCAGCCTTCTGGTTTCTAAGATGACGTCAGTGAAACAGGAAGGGTCAGAGAGGACCAACACCCAGATGGACTAATAGAGAGAGAGAGAGAGAGAGAGAGAGAGAAAGGCGAACACGAGAGAGGGCTGATAACGGGAGAGAAAAGGGCAGGAGGGCAGAAAATGAAGAGATGAGGGTGACAGATTTCTGAAGTGGTTGACGGAGAGCAGACAGCAGAGATCAAAACAATGAGGACAGAGACTGATAAAAGAAAATTGAGAGCGGAGGAGAAGAAATGAAAAAGATAGGAGAGGATAAAAAAAGATAAGAGCGAAGCATCAGTGACTGTAAAAGGGAGTAAAGCAATAAAAGTTGTGGATAACTAATTCAAACAATTTACTAATCATTCAGATTTACTTAAAACAAGCACATCTTTTGAAAACTACTTCAAACTGACATAAAAAAAAAAAAAAATCTTCATCTGTAAGAAATTGCGGCTCAATTAGCAGGAACAAATACCATCTCTTTGAAATAAAACACCCAGACTATAAAAACGGCATTAAAAACACAGCACAGGGGTACAGAAAAAAACAAAAAGTTTATGACTCTTGTTTTATTAGTTTGCAGAAAATTTTCTTGATTTCATCCACTGCTCTTGAAAAGAAAGATGCGAGTTTTGGATATTTATGTTTAAGAGTGTCAGCCAGTGCATCAATTTCTTGGCCAAAACTGCAGTACAGGGGGAAAGGAAAAGTTTAACCCTAATGATTGCAAGCAAAGCATTAGAAATGAGCTTTTTCCCCATTTGAAATGTGAAATATGAATAGTTGAATAGTTTAAGCTACTGCGTCAAAGGAGGGCTGGGATGCCCCAAAGGGAATTTAAATTCTGACTTAACTAAAAAGTCAAAAAACAAAGAAACCATTGAGCACCATTTATATAACACGGCTCAACACAGGTCCCAGATGGGGCTGTGGCTAGCACTAGCAGATGCAGCACCACCAGCCTTCAGTCATCCTTGCAGGTTGATGTCCACTACCTGAACCGGTTCATAATTGCGTCACTCGAGTGGTTATATGTTAAATTAATCAAACACCTATCCTCTAGATCAATACACTGACAAGGACCATGATATGAGATGATATCCGTTTTCTGTGCTCGTTTACATCAAGCTAATAGAGCATTATAGCATGGTATGCTTTAACTCACGAGTGATTCTGATGTAGACTAAGCGTTGACCAAAAAAATGCACATCCCTGGTCCATATCATGGTGTAATGGCATCTTTGCAGGTGTGATTAAAAAAATTTGTGTGAATGTGTCCAAATAGGCCTGTCGCGATAATCAATAAATCGCTCGGTAAATAAAAACAAGGCTGGCGCACACACGCACACAGACTTGGAGACACAGTGCTGCAAGTGAGCGTCGGGACTGAAAAGCGAGCAAACGCAATGAATGATGAAACAACAGCTTTGGTGTCTAAGCCCAATGTAACAGCCCCAGTTTAGGAACATTTCGATTTCAAACAAAATGAACGAGGTGAGCCCACGAACACGGACGAGCCGATATGTCGCATTTGTTCGAAAGTTGTGGTGACAAAGAAGGGGAATACAACCAACATGCATGCGCACCTCAAGCACAATCATCCCCGCCATTTTTCCCAACTGAGAAATAAAAGTACCGCTGAAGCGGTAATAAAAGTGCTGCTGAGCCATCGTTCAGACAGGTAACGCTTACTGGTTTGGTAAGCAAAGCATATAAACAAAACAGAGCAAAATAATACGCGCTGACAGACAGCGTTGTTCACTACATTGCAAAAGAAATGCAACCGTTCAATACAGTCGAAAAGCCAGCATTTAGAGAAATGTTACAAACATTTGTCAGACAGTACGAATTGCCTAGATAAACTTACATTTCACAAACGGCAATTCCTGGACTCTATAACAGAGTGAAAGAGGATGTACTGGACGACATAAATAACATTGCATTTTACTCCGCCACCACAGATATGTGGTCCAGCTCAAACATGACCCCCTACATAAGTCTAACCATACACTACATAACTGCTGACTGGACCTTGTCCTCCAAGTGGTGTACTCGCATTATTATGCCATATATTATCATATATTACCATATATTATCATTATCTATAATTTAAAAAACAGTGTCAATAATATTGTAGCACAACTATCATCCAGCAAAGTTTGTTATCGTTACAGGCCTATGTCCAAATATCCTGGAACTCAGAGAAGAAAATCCCGACTGAGCATACTACACAACTATTGCTAGTTAGTACCTGTTGAAATAAGCTTGTCTTTTTTAAAGATAGGCATGACAGCTACATTGGTGCAATAACATTCTCGTGCAACATTCATTGTAGTGCAGCAATCAGGTGTGTTCATGGAGCAATAGCTTTTTGTGTAATACTCATGGTGCAAAAATCCCCTATGTACAACTTGGTGCAATAAGTTTAATGAAACACAGAGTGAAACTGCACTGATGGCTGCACTGCAGGTCTGGGTGCAGAATAAGGAACAAAAAGCTTTTAAAAAATGTCATGCTTGGCTGAAAAACTTCCTCAGATTTCTCTTTTTGCCTTCTAAAAACATGATGCAGAATAAGAGGAGAGGATGCATCTTAGAAAAGCTCAGTCCTCTCTCTAAAACCTGATGAAACTTATCAGGGTCAATAAAACGTTCCTGTCAATGTCCACAGTGTGATGGTCACTGCCGCTCCTTTTCCCTTTTTAATAAAGGTTACACCACAGACACAGGCATTGTGTCCAGATCCTTTTGAACTTCTGTCTGTTTGTGTTTGAGAGCCACTTGAAGAGCCTCAAAGGACACAAGCACATACCTTTTACACACACACACACACACACACACACACACACACACACACACACACACACACACACACACACACACACACACACAGCCATGCTAAAGGAGGAAATGACACACAGTGCTGAATAAAAGATGTGTGTGTGGGAAGAAGCAAAGGAGACCTGAAGGAGGATTAATGAAGCTGCAGACAGCTCAGCTGCTGGTCAAGTATACAGTAAACACATCACACACTCACATACACATCCATTAAACATGAGTGAGTAATAAGAGCTGTTCTTAACTGTTACTAAGTGTAGTAAGACATTTCGACTGCATGTTTCTAACACTGCTTTTCTTCACTCAAACACACCTTTACCTGGCAGCTGCTGGAGTGACGTATTTTGTTCAAATAATATAAAATAAAAACTTTTACAGGTAGACTGTTCTTTGTGCAAAAGGAAGTTAATTTATCTAGCATGGTTATCTTTTACTGATGTCATCTTTATGTTGTTGCATGCAGAGTAATATGCGGTGATAACCTACAGCAACAAAAGTCAGCAAGGGGCTTTTCTTGCATGATCCTTTTCAGAGTGATCTAAAATAAAACTGGAAAAGCCAGAGCATGAATTGCTCAAATCTTTTGAATTTAAAGTTGTTCAGATTTTGGGGCTTTAGTATATTTAAAGATGCTTCAAGAAATAGCTTCACAACAAGCTAAAATACTATTGCAGAGACTTCTGTTTTTATTGCAGAAATATCCATCAAAACACTTAAACCTATTAGGGCAATTTTGTACCTTAAACTAAAATATGAATCCTTCATTAAATCACAAGTCTAATGTAAAATGAAAGGCATAATTACAGAGTCATTAATAAAAAATAAAACAAAGCATGTGCAGTGTTCAGAAACACTCTGCTAGAGTTTCTGTTAAGCTTGTTGTTTAAACTGTGCTTTAAAAAAATAGGTGGATTGATGCTGTATGTGTCATTTTGGAGCTGAGATGTACTCTTTCTGGGAACCTTAACCATTTAAAATACACCATGACATGACATGGCCCTGTCAGACTGATTCCCTGTCAGAGGTCTGAGGCTCGTTTCCTGGTGATGTCACTTCTCTAACAGGAAGCTGAATGTCCTTAGACTCAGGGACTGTCCTGGATGGCTGGTTTCAGTGACCTTTAGGACTACCCCACCCTCCTCCAGTTTCTCCCTTTCTCAAACCTGATGGAGACTAAAAAGCACCAAACTTCCCCTGTTCCAGGAAGCAGGGAGGAAATGCAGCGAGGGGAGGTTACATATTGTTTGGAAGGCCGGCTGAACAATGAGCAGCATGTCGGGAGAAGGTCAGCATGTGGATTTAAGTTTCACCAGTTACACTTCTTCAGAAACGCTGCTGAACACATGCAAAGAGACCTTTTCAAAGACAGTAATTAGACAAAAGACACGCAGTGAAGCAGCAAAAAGGCGCCCCTCTTTCCTTTGTTACACTTTGATAAATGAACACACCTCTGCCCCCGATTCAAGCGAGAGACCTATTTACACGTCCAACTGAAAGCAAAAGAAATCCATCACAGAGGCACTGTCTTGTCAGCGGTGGTCATGTAGAAGAGCAGGTACATGGGATAGTTAATAGACTGAAGTGTTGATCAATCTGATGAAATTAAGTCCAAACACAGGTAAGACTAAAACAAAAGTAGCTCATCACTTTAATTACAGTTTTAAAGGTGATGAATTTATTAATTAGATCAATTAATTTGATTTGTTATGACATTTGTTGTATTGCAGTTCCTTTTGTTCAATTGTGAATTCATATTAGTTTCTACCTGCCAAAGCTTTGATTTATCCATTCCTAATGGAGGCACAGTCCTTTGAACACACAAAGTAGGCAATGCCAAGGTCGGCCACCCAAGCACATTACAAGCTGCTCATGTATGTTTTCAGCCGCCCAATCATATTGTCAGCCTCAAAAGTACAGTTTCAGCTGTCCAGATTATAATTCATGGCCCAAGTGTATTTTCTGCTGCCCGAATATGTTTTTGGCCACCCCAGTATATTTGGCTGCCCAAGTATATATTCAGCTTTCCAAATATACGATTAGCTACACAAGTATATTTTTGTCTATATTAATATACTCTAAGTCACCCAGTTATCTCTGAAGCTACTGAAGTATATTTTTAGCCACTCAAGTATATCTTTCACTGTATATTTTCAACTGCCCGGGTAATACTTCAGTTGCCTTATTCAACTTTCTGAACAGGTTGTCATTTTTTTTCTTTTTTTGATTTGCAGAAGCTTTTACCATTCTGGATAAATCTGATAAACTCTGGTTAAGAATCTTCATCACTCTCCAGGAAAATATCGGTCATTAAAATTATTTGAAACACACCTTACTGGAGGATTAGCTTGTTTGGGTTGAACACATTGGGCTCTATTTTCGTTCGCGCCGGTGAGGCGGCGGAGGGCGGCGAGCCCCGCGCAGTTGTATTTTCGTCTGGCGGAGCCCGGCGTAAGGCGAGTTTGGTATTTTCGTGGACTGAGTCGCACGGAGGCGAGCCGAGATCCGCCAAGCTGGGCGTAGTGGCGTGGCAGGGGGAGGTGTTGACAGAATCAGCTGGCGCAGTGACATTTTCGTGCTCGCCACCGGCGTGTAACGTGCGCTGAAAGCTCGCCGATTCAAACCTGGTCAGCTTTCAGCGCAAGGCGGAACGCAGCCGGTCTAGTAGTATTTTGGTAGACTGGCGGCGTATCGACATACGTCACTGATGCCTCACCGGCAGGTTTCCACAGTGTCAGGCAGATTTCAGTGCAATAAATAATCATCATCAACTATTAATCTGAGACAGCACATACATTTAGATCTATATAGATATATTCTGATCTATATCTGATCTGATGAGCGCGTTTGGCACGCGTTTGGCACGCGTTTGGGCACACAACCTGACCGAATCAATACAGCTGAAACTGCATCAAATTAAATTAAATATCTAGTAAATAAACACACATGATGAAGTTAACAAGATATGTAATTCGTCTCCCTCCTTTTCTTTCTTCCTCTTATTTCTCGCACAGCTCGACCTGGACACGTCTCCGTGTCCTCTGTCCGTCTTCCTGCTGCTGCTGCGGCTGAACAGATGAGTTGTTTCAGTGCTCAGATGCGTTATCTACTTTAAGCCGACATACGGATATTATAATATTCAGTTTTGTGGGCCAAATTTATTTTATATGCCAACATCTATGAAAGAAAGAGCCAGGCCACGGAGCGCGATGCGTCATTTACGCACAGATGGTTCCGATTTTAATGCCATTTTTGGAGTTTATGTTGTGATCTGTGCGCTCAACCCACCTTTGTCACGTGAGGTTTGAATATATGCAACTTTATGTGAGTGTCTTTATTTGTGGAAAAGGGTGTTTGTCTTACCAGTGGGTCCAACATTACGCACACCAAATCCATCTGTGCTCAGATGAGAGAGTGTGGAGGACACTTGTTGAGGAGCTGCCCTCTGTCGCCATCGTGTTGCATAACTGTCTTCAGACATCTCTTGATCTCTTTGACTACTTCATGAAAATAGTAATACGCCTCGCCGGTGGCGGATTTAAAGGCAAGGAGAGGAGCTTATTTGATTGGTGGAAACAGGTCTCGGCTGTGTTAAACCGACTCCACGCCCTCTCTCCTCCCCGTCTATGACTTATGCTGCCGGGAGGAGCTGAGTTAGGGAGGGGGGATACTTACGCCGGGCTGCGCGGATCACCAAAATACCGAAATGTGCTTGGGAACGCCTTGTCAGCGCGGCGGATCTGATTGACGCTGCGCTTGCGGCACGTCTCCGGCGAGGCACCAAAATAGAGCCCATTATCTCTCTTGATTACATTTAATAATAGGGATGGGAATGGAGAACCGGTTCTTGTTGAGAACAGGTTCCAAATGGTTCAATCCATCGACATCATTTACATTTTATCTAAACGATTCCTTTCTTCCGGGTGCCTCGAAAAACGGTCTTGCAAGTGCCAGTCTCGAGAACGGGAACAAGGACAGAGGAAAAAACATGGTGGGGATACAAAAAGTAGGCAGAAACTAGCAAAAGCATGGCTTAATTTTACTAAGAGAGATGACAGCAGTGCAACATTTGTTGAGCAGGAATAACATGTAAAGGTGGAAACACCAGCAACATGCTTCAACATTTGTCAATGGGGCACGGCATCAAATATAAGCTTCTTTAAGTGGAAGAAATATGATCTCATATTTAAAAAAACATGAGTATTGGATCATGACATCATGTCAAATGGAGCAGCAAACTTTCATTCTGTTTTTATGTGTCCCAAAAATGCACATACAGAGGCATACTTGGGTATATAAACTGTATAAGAAGCTGTCGAGGTAAAGAAGATTATATTTTCGGGACAGCAAATATTCCGAATCAGAGGGCTATTGTTTTCGGCTTATCTGAATAGTCTGAATGAAATCATTAAATTCACACACTTTTGAATCCACCTAATGGTAAAAAAAAACTTGGATTATTTCTCCTTGTTATGTATTTTCAACCGCGCTCCCGTCATGGGGTGCATTCTAGACAGGGGTACATTCTACGGCAGGGTGCATTCTACGGCACAACACCTGTTGAACACCGGTCGTCAGTCACTGCTGCCCCGTCTCAGCACGGCATTGAAGGTACACTACAGGCCAAAAGTTTGGAAGCAAGGCCAGTACAGGCCGAACAGTTGGGAGTAACGTTTGAGAAAGGCTAGTCTGAAGGGTTGTGTATCTGAAAAAAAAAAACACTACTTCGTCCACAGAACAAGAAAAAGAGATATGGGTGGGCAAAAGCTCACAAAAATTGGACTTATGATGACTAGAAACAAGTTTGCACTGTTTGGTTCAAAACGCAGAGTCTATGTCCGCAGACAAACTGGTGAACATCTGAAAGCACCATGTGTTACACCCACAATTCAGCATGGAGGTGGTAGTTCTATGGTATGGGGATGTTTTGCAGGTGATGGAGTAGGAGCTTTGTTTGAAGTAAAGGGTATCATGAAGAAGGAACAGTACCACTCCATCCTCCAGCACCATGCTGTTCCATCTGGACTCAGACTTGTGGCTCTTAAGTTTGTTTTGCAGCAAGACAATGACCCTAAGCACTTTGCCAAGCTCTGTCAGGGTTACCTAGACAAAAAAAAAAGAGGAAGGTGTTCTTCAAAAGATGGTTTGGCCCCCTCAGTCTCCAGACCTTTCTCCAATTGAGCTTGTGTGGGATGAATTGGATCGATCGGTCAGAAAAACACGGCCCACGAATCAGCAGTCTCTTTTTAATGAATTCAAGAAAGTTTGGAATGCAATCCCTGGAACATACCTTAAAAAACTTGTGGAACAAATGCCTGGTATGCCAAGCTGTTGTTAAGCCAGAGGAGGTTACTTTAAAGAAAGCAAAGTCTAAGCAAGAAAAACTCAAATACCTCATAATTATAGTCAAAATGTCTTCTGATAAGTTACTCTTTACACAATAGTCACGTTTATTGTGTTGCAAATTATATATATGAAACTATGATCTTTTTTTGTACAAATCTGATCTTGCTTCCAAACTTTTGGCCTGTAGTGTACGTATGATAGGGCGACCATATCTCCTCTTTTACCCCTGACATGTCCTCTTTTGGGGGGTGTCCGGGGGAATTTATAAAACATCCGGAACGCGTATCCATTCATTATAAAACAGTGCAGCGCATCAGTGCTCTCTGCTGCTCTGCCCCTCTGCTCACTTCTAAACAAAGCCACCGACGCGACGCACGCATACAGTCTTTGGGAATTCAGAATATGCATTTAACTGAGTTAGAAGTGCAAAAAAAACTCTCGACCCGACCAAAAAATAAAAAAACTCAAAATTGCACCCACAAGTCTACCCTGCGTAGTAGTGTCCTCTTTTTTGGGGATTCAGAATATGGTCACCCTAACATATGTCCTGTGTTTACATAAGCATAATGCATGCCAGAAATGCTGCACAAATAGCATTTTTGTTTGATTATTTTAGACTCTCACTGAAGGTGGCATACATCTGTTTCTGTTATCATAGACTCCAAATTTTGAGTTAACGGTGAAAACCTATAGTCTACTTTTTTCAAATCGAAGAAAGGCATTAATAAGGGGATCATTAAAGAATTGAAATGATAAGCTGAATCAATAATGGCATCAATATAGAGTTCCCATCCCTATTTAATAAGCAGCTTAATTAGCCTGCATTGAGTGTTGGCATGTCAGGGATCCACATTTAAAGTCCCACTCTGATCTTTTTTTTTTTTTTTTTTTTTTTTTTTTTTAACAACTTTAAGTGTTCTCAGTGGTCATTCGATTGTGATTATAAAGTTTTTAGCCAAAATCCCGTCACCTGTGTCATTTTCAAGGACTTTTCTTCTTCAGAGCTCCAGTAGCTCATTAGTAATTTGCCTCTGAGTCGTGAGTGGAGACAGCCCTGCTCTGCACACTCCTCTTCATGCTAACTTGTAGCCTAATATTGCAGAAGTACTCAGAAATGCAATTTTGATCCTACTTTTCCTATGATATGTCCTGTAGCATCAGAAAAAATGCCATATGGACATGTAGACAACAAGAAACGCACGATTTTCATCAGAGTGGGTCTTTAAGAATGCTCTCTGTGAATACTGTATATTTAGCAATAACTATCAATTTCCACCTGCAGGTCTAGAGGAAATTGAAGCCTCTCACTCTGCTGTTAGCCTGTGAACAGGAATATCTGTATTACAGTGGTTAGCCATTAACTGGCACACTGCCTGGCTGCCCTCTGAGTCCGTCATGAGGGCTTTGAGGGTTTAAACATCAGCTCAGACAGGAAGACCTTTTGCTGATTTTTGGCTCCCCTTGCTGAAGAGCCAGCCGGAGGGGATCCAGATGGTGCAGCACGGCACCGCCCGGCTGTCAGCAGCCTGCTATCAAACAGAACGCCCACACGCTGAAGATAAGAAGCACACAGCACATCTTGTATTAGGAGTGCTTGAGAAAAGAGCACATGCTGTAGCTGCTGTTTGAAAATAAATCTGTTAAAAGGGATACTGTTGCACAGTGGTAGTTGATGTGACGCTGGGGACTATTTTAGAAAACTGATTGCAGACTGCTTTGCTGCTGTGGAGATGATGTAATCTGGTTCGGACCACAGCAGACTTCAGATCTGAGATTAATTGAACTTGCATGTAAAACTTTATTTTCAAATAAAAGGCCATGTCTATTGAGCTCCACCAGACTCTGTTTATAACTGATATTTTACTTTCAGGAACAAGAAAAGTTACTAAATTAATGCTTCCTGCAATTGTTTGTGTGTGTGTGTGTGTGTGTGTGTGTGTGTGTGTGTGTGTGTGTGTGTGTGTGTGTGTGTGTGTGTGTGTGTGTGTGTGCGTGACTTTGGATAGTTTGGATTGACCACCAAATGCCATGCCAAAACATGCCATCATATAAAAGAAGGTCCACATCAAAAACTTGTACTTATTATGTATCATGGTGGCTCACAATACCATATGAAATGTGAAGCACAGCATATGATCATGATTTTATCAAAATAAAGCAATGAAGCAATAATCAAAGTTTATATCGGTTTAAAGCACCTTTTTTTTTTTTTTCCTGGAACCAGGTCTGTTGGTCTGAAAGTTTTCCCATCGGTAGCGGATGTACCAATCACAGTCTTTTATTTAACATGATGGCACAACTACAACTCCAGCCTCTGCAGCCTCTACCACTGGCAGATCCTGGATGCACCATGGCTGCCCTTTTACATGAGCTGGAGGATGTATTGTCATCAACACCAAACAGAACAACTGCACAAACAGCATTGATTGGTGATATTGAATTGATGAGTCTTTCTCTTTCCTCTTCATGCCTCTGTCTGTTTACATTTCTGTTGATATGTCACATATTCTAATCTGATTGGCTGTGGGTCTGTGGAATCGCTTCCACAGGCACTTTTGTATTTCCTTGTTGCTAATGCCTCGTGGAAAAATTGAATAAGTTGAGGTGTTTCAGACCCATTCACAGAGATACGGATTAGTGACGCTCGGCTAATATTGATATACTGATGCGTCAACTTTGTCTGACCCTACATGGCTTTTTTGAGCAACTATATCTCAAAATTGTTCTGTTCTTTCAGTGCATTAAGTCTGCAACGTCTTAATGTTTTGTTTTATAACAAGTATGTTAACCCGAAATGCCAATATGCATCATAGCATTTACTCCGAACAGACGAGGGGAAGCCAAGTTTAGCTGTCAGTGACTGAAGCCCTTAAGAGGAGCATCTGCTCCAGTTTTGGACTGCAAATGTTGCTATGACACCTATGTTTAATAAGCTGCCACTACTGTGTCATTCTGCAGCTATCTTACATTATCTTAACTTTGGTGTTGAACTGGCTCATGCCAGATTAAGTTTGATTTGATCGAAACTTTGGGTGCAGTTTTTCCCCACATGTTTGGCAGATGGTGGCTCTGTCATCTGGAATAAGTCTGTGGTCACTTTTGGTGTATCTGAAATGCTCCAACACTGCCAACATCTCTTTGTTAAGCAGATAAAAAGCTTGCTGTGTGGTTAGCTAATGTAGCATAGCCTTTTTGTGTCTCTTGATAAGCATGCTACATTAAGCTGGTACACACAGGAGTCACTTTGTTTTTGCCAGAAATAATGAACAGGCCCCCTTTTTGAGAGTGAGAACAAAAGCACCTCCATGGTTAAATACCTGCAAGCTCTTCCAGTGTGAATAAGACAAGATAAGGTAAAATAAAATAAGAAAAGCCTTAAATTATCCCACGGTGGGAAAATCTTAAGTGTTAACAGCAACAAAGGTTCACAGCAAACAGAAGAATAAGTACACTCACCATGCACAGAGTGTACAGATAATTATGAAACAGTTAACTTAGACTTACACAGAAAAAAAAATGTTATTCAAAAAAGAAAAAAAGTTAGTAATAACAAAGCTAAAAATGGTTTGACACATTGGACAAAAGAGAAGTGGACATCTTATTATTGCCCATTATTTGAGTTGTTATACCTGAGAACAAAGCTGTGATGAATATATTGACTGTCAATACTGTGAAATATTGTCCAGGACAGAGCTAGTCTTCCTCACCAGTTTGTTCACCCTGTTCCTGTCTGCAGTCATTATGCTTCTGCTCCAGCAGACCTCTCCACAGAAGATGGCTGAGGCCACCACAGAGTCATAAAAGGACCTCAGGAGAGCTCCCTGCACATCAAGGGACCTCATTTTCTTCTGGAGGTGAACTCTACTTTGGTCTTTCCTGTAAAGTGAGTTTGTGTTGTCAGTCCACTCCAGTTTATTGTTCAGGTGAACACCCAGAATCCACAATCTCAATGTCCTTCCCCTGAATGTTCGCCGGTGTGGGTCTGCGCCTACAGAAATAAACCACCAGCTCATTGGTTAGTCCAGTGTTTATCTGGAGTAAGTTCCACTGATTCCCAGTCCACAAAGTTCCTATTAGTTCTCCATTCTCCCGTTGGTGATGAGGCCAACAATGGCAGAGTCGTCTGAGAACTTCTGCAGGTGGCAGCCTGCATGGAAAGTAGTAGGTGAAGTCTGCAGTGTACAGGGTAAAAAGGAAGGGAGCCAAAACTGTGCCCTGGGGGCCCCCGTACTGCAGACAACACTGTCAAACACAGTCATGAGCCCTCATGAACTGTGAGAACCCTAAACGGGTGAGAGCTGTTAAGTGGCACCCCTCTGTGCGGCTCAGGAAAAAAATACATAGTAAAAGTGTTTGATCTATGCATTTTAAGTTACTATTTTAAAAGAGAGAGCGTTACCTTTACTATTCAGGCGTTTAAGCACAGCGCTAACCTGTCAAGGAGGCAAAAATGTGCTTTCTGAGCTGGCTTACTCTCACAGGAGGAATTTTAACCTGAAGGATTATGTTGCAGTCGTCACCGTCTTCTGCTGCAAGCTGAAGGTAGAAAGGGAAGAGCCATAACTTTGCACCTTTCAGCGTAAGTTTATTAATGGATTTGCTATAAAAGGTCCCAGCCATACAAGGAACACAAGAATTTCCATATAAGATGACTCTGGCTTTAACCTTCTTCAGGTTAGAATCGGTGTAAAATGAAGCTGCTAAAAAGATGTGATTCAAGGGGCAACAAAAAAGCAACAAGTGGAAACTACCTTCTTTAATTCTAATAAACCTGATTTGAGTCTCATCTCCCTGGTTTCTGGAGTCCAAAGCCTTTGAAGTGAAATCTGATGCAGCAGAGAAAAGCTCCATTTATCTGTTACCTGTTATAGTGTGAACTTTATGACCACAGCACTAAAAGATAGTGTTATACGACCCTGATAACACCTCTGTGAGGGTGTCTGAGAGAGAGTGTGAAATGAAAAAGCACTGCTGCCACACTCAGAGGGCATTGTTAGTGGATAACATACATACTGAGGGGAGAACCTGGCAGTTAATTGGCTGTTACCTGTGATAAAACACTTTGCACATCATAGAGGAGGTATGGTTTTAACTTTTTAAAAGGTCTGCAGTGGCACTAAACCCAGCCTCTGTGGAAGTTTCTTATCTGCTTTATGGCATTTAACTCCAAATTACTCAATGATACAGCTGCTGTGCTTTTATTGGAGCAGCTCATGTGATAAGAAGGAGCAGGGAGAATAAAAACTATACAGACAAGAATTTATGTGGAGAAATAATTCAGTGGAAATATCACATCTGTGCACACTGGAAGTGGTTAGATTACAGAAATCATTTATTATTAGATGGAAAAAATGACAAGAATATGAAACTTTTTTTCCCCTAAATAATCACCAAATTCAAAATTTGATGATTAGCTCTGATTTGCTGAATACTAGACATTATATAAAACACTCATAAAATCCAAGTTTGTACTGTCAAAGGAAGGGCACGTTTACAGTGAACTATCAGTATTTTTACATATTTGCATATTTGAAGCTTTCTGTCACCACCTCCAAGAAAAATCTCACCTTGAAATGGCAGTTTTTAAGCATCAAAATTGAACTCCAAAAAGAATCCTGCCCCCAAAGGATCCAGACTCAGACTCCTCTGTTATTCAGAGGAGGTCTTCCAAAATTTGAACCTAGGATGCTGAGGCCTGTAAACTCTGATGTGCTTAATTTTCTGTGGAAATAGATGCTACCAGCCAACATAACTTCTGAAGAAGACATGGACACCAAATCAGGTGTGTCTCTGGGCATGATATCTGGGTAACAGTAACATCAATTTCTGGCTAATTTTCCTCGAAGATTTCTTTGTTTGCTACCACTCGGAACTTTCCTTGACAGAATCCAAGTTTTTAAAACTCCATTAAAAGCCAGAGTTATTGCAAACTGAGCCAATGACTGGAGAGCACTCCACATCTTTTTTTTCTCTGCACACACAAATTCTATCAGCAGCAACAGTGAAGAAACCCTCAACAGCATCTTCACCGCAGCTGCTAGAGCTAATACATCCCTGAGCTCTTATTGTCAACTGCAAACATCTGCAGACTCGGAGATCAGTGATGTGGACTCATTAGAGGAGAGAGTTGAGCTTTTATTACTGCTACAGACGGAGTCGGATATTTAACTGAGCTTTACAGAAAACATATTTGAATTCAGATACTAGGGCTGCACAATATATTCTTTGAGTATCGTCATTGCGATGTACGTGTGCGCAATAGTCACATCGCAGAGCCTGCAATGTCGGAGGCAAATGAACTCATTTAATTTCAAGGGTAGCTGACTGAGATGCACTGCATGTGACTCTGCATGTGCTGTGCAGCGATACACCAATCACATTTGTTCTTTACTCAGTTGCCAACCAGACTACCCCCTACCAGCTATCAATCAAAATCAGAGAGGAGTAAACCACGCCCCTGCACATGGAGTGAGTCGCTTGCACTGCTGGTGTTGTACCAAGACAGCATGCTCGCCAAGAATTACATTCAGTACATTCCTCATCACTGTTTAGCCCCACAAATAAGAATTGTATGGGTTTTAAATCGAACATTTCCGTGGATGACTCTACTATAAGCAGTACGCATTTCCGCGAGGTGCATGCAACTCTCGGAGGACACGCATTTCTTGGCACAACACCGGTTACAACAACAATGATTGCAAAAGGAGCAACAAACCAGAAAACCACCGAAAATGAAGACTTGTTGCCAAAAAGAAAAATCAATGTCAGTTATCTGGAATTATTTCGGTTACAACAAGGATGATATCGACCAAACACGTGTTCTGTCAGCAGTGCCTTTCATCAGTTGCCAAAACAAGAGATAACAAGTCCCAGCACAATAGAAGTATGCTAAAAATATCTCTAAGACAGAAGCCATTCTACTAACATTCACAAAAAGAGGTAAGATCAGTGCAGGTTAACTGTCCACAACATTTCAGCATAAAGTGCTATTCAGGTCATCTGGTGAAAATTCCTGTATTTTTTAATATCGCAATATCGCAGGGTTGAAAAAAATCGCAATGTTAGTTTTTTCCAATATCGTGCAGCACTATCAGATACTGTTATTAAGACTTATTGTGCATTGTCCATCTGAGATCTCATGCTGCATTTGAGGAACACCATGCTGTTCTGACAGTTTGTTGACTTCCTGTTTTGGTCCAACACAGAGGTCATAACCTAAAGTTCCTGTGGCTCCAAGTCTCAAACTCAGACATTAATATAAAAGGGAAACCTGAAAGTAGCCAAAATATGGCAGGCTGCTCTGTCAGAGGCAAATGCCAAGAGTCAAAAGTCTAAAATAAACTCCTGAAAGTAAAACATCACTTTTATTTCAGTGTGTTGCAAACATTTCTGTGAAAATGATTTATACTTAGAAACAGTCTGAAGGCAGTGAAGTAAAAATCTCCCTGACCAGAATACAAAAATACCTCCAACTCAGCAGAGGAGACAAGGAGACAAGCAGATGTTTGATGGAAATTGAAATTTCACCTTCATGTTTGGGGAGTTTAGGAGTAAGAAATGGTCTTTTTTCTTGTTGCATCACTTTGCCGGCTAAATCCTTTGTTTCCGTGAAAAGAACCTTCAAACTTACCCTCAGTGAAGGTTGCAAAATTATGACTAAGTCAGACTAACACTGAGGAGGTTTGGTGACATTTTTATGAAAATGGGTAAATGACTGATTCATCATTGTCAGTCTTTCTGTTTATTTTACATGCAGCAGAACTGGTCGACCAAGATACATTTTTCAACAACTAATAGATGCTGATATTTGCAGAGCAGGTGAGCTAACATTTAATGCAGATACCACAGTGTTGTTGGTTTTTGCATTTGATAAACCCTGACAATTGAATATACTAACAACTTTAGCATCTAAAATTGGTGTATTCTGGTGTAGATTACTGTTCCAGCTAAGGCTGCACGATATTGGAAAAAACTAACATTACGATTTTTTTCAACCCTGCAATATATATTGCAGAGATGCAGGAATTTTCACCAGATGACCTGAATAGCATTTAATGTTATGCTGCACCGCTGAAGTCTTGAGGACAGTTAACCTGCACTGATCTTACCTCTTTTTGTGAATGTTAGTAGAATGGCTTCTGTCTATCTTAGAGATATTTTTAGCTTTTATTGTGCTGCGACGTTATTGTGGCGACAGATGATCACAGAACACGTGTTTTGGTCGATATCATCCTATTTTTAACCGAAATAATTCCAGATAACTGACTTTTCTCTTCTTTTTGGCAACAAATCTTCATCTTCGATGGTTTTCTCTTGTTTATTGCTCATTTTGCAATCGTTGTTGTTGTTGTTACCGGTGTTGTGCCGAGAAACGCATGTCCTCCGAGAATTGCATGCACCTCGCAAAACGCGCACCGCTTAAAGTAGAGTGGTCCACATTTTAAAACCCATACAATTCTTATTTGTTGAGCTTAAAGGTCATGAGTAAAGTTCCGAAAGTAATTTTCAGTGGACACGTGTTTCTCGGCTCAACACCAGCATCCAGCGACTCACTCCATGTGCAGGGATGTGGTTTCCTCCTCTCTGATTTTGATTGACAGCTGGCAGGGTAGTCTGATTGGCAACTGAGAACTTGGTTGGTGGATCGCTACACCGCACATGCAGAGTCACATGCAGTGTATCTCAGTCAGTTACCCTTGAAATTAACTAAGTTCATTTGCCTCTGACATCGCAGGCTCTGCGATGTGACTATTGCACACAAGTACATCGCGATGACGATGCTCAAACGATATATTGTGCAGCCCTAGTACCAGCTGATGGATGGCTGTGATTAGATGAGGGTGAGTCTAACCAGCCTGCAGCAGAGTACAGATGGGGAGAACCTCTCACACAGAAAACAGGGTTTATGTTCAAAGAGAAAAAGGAGGCGGCGGTGAATGATGCTGCAATAACAGACAGTCTAAATTATTATTGATGTCTCATTTAAAGGGGCCAGTAGCTCAAATTATTTTCCAGCCTTCAGTCAAACTGTCCAGCTTAACGAGAGAGCATTGCAACATCAGATATTCTGTAAAAACTTGATTATCTTTCATCACCCTCAAACTTGAAGTTGCAGAGCTTGAGCAGGCTTCTGTTGTTTTTTCATACGTCTTTACAGACTCTTCAATGATTGATCAAACAATTTGGCCTTTACATTTGCTATTTCAAGCATCCAAAGTTAGATATTTGCCACTAAAGATGAACGATGACTGCAACATTTTAAAGGGGATGTCACACTGGAGCTGCCCAGCATTCATACCTTTGGTCTTCGTGTGGCTGTTTGTTTGCCTCACTGAAAGTGTTACAAAGTGCACTCTGCTTCAACCCTCACAGTCTGACCAGGAAGATAAAGGAAATATCAAAATCAGAGAGAAAAAGGTGAGATGGGACAAGAAAATTTGTGTGAAAGAGTCAATTAGCTCCTTTACTTAACACTCAGCTGTTAAACCAGCCCTCTCTCTCACCCCTCCTCCCCAGCATCCTCTGCTTTCTGTAGCTAGGCAACGCCAGCTTAAAAGGCAGGCTCATCAAAGGCAAAGACAGACAGCCGGGCTTGCTGTCTTCTTCTTCTTCTGTTCTCTTTCTGCCTCTCCAACCTGCCGGTACTCTATGCTGGGCAAATTACTGCTGAGTCTGACTGTGCTTGATGATGCAACATCACAGAGCAGAAACACACAATCCAGAGCATTTCCCAGGACATCATCTTTTCTGATGTAACATGACTGAAAGCTGTTGGCTGATAAATACTGAGCTTTGATTTCCTCAAATTCTGCACAGACAACCAAAATCCCTCAAATCCAATCTGAGATGGAAATGAACAAAGACAAACGAAGCAACCGTAACTTGTTAACACCAACATGTGTGCTGCACTGCTCTGGGATCAGCGCAGAAATGGACCTGGCTGTGTAGTAAGCTAAGAAATGAAACGACTTTTCGATGTTTAAAAGGTTTAAAATGTGTCTCATGCAGACAGAAACATAAGGGCACTAAGCTATCAAGCTATCAAACGCACTGGGACCCATCTGTACACACACACACACACACACACACACACACACACACACACACACACACACACACACACACACACACACACACACACACACACACACACACACACAGCTCTGTAACAGGAATTATGGTGTAAAGAGACAGCTGGGTTGACAGACATGGAGGTCCAACATGTGCTGACACATGGAAAAGAGATGACCATTTAGAGGCAACAGCACCATGGGGAAAGATTTAGAAATAAACTGATGACAGAAGTTTCCAGGAGTGGCTGGGGTTAAAAACAGGAATCCCTAAATGTTGCACCCAAACAAGCTGATTTCCTACAGGTTATTATTCCCAACACATTCCTGAGTTCAGCTGTGAGGGTATGGAAGAGGAAGCAGAATACAGAATGTGAAAGCCATGTTATGTTTGAGAAATAAGATAAAGTCATAAAAGTTCCTTTTGCTTCTCCCTCCTCCTCCTACTGCAAAGTATTAACCATGCCCCTATACCAGAGTGAATTTGTGAATTTCCCAGTTTGGGATCAATAAAGCATATCTATCTATCAGAGGCCAATAAACTGCAACAAAAAAAAAAAAAAAAAAACATCTGTTACTCGGACAGTTAGTAGCGGAGGTGTAACATCTTTAAGATTCATGCAAATAGTGGACAGGGTAAATGAATGCTCACCACTTATGTTTGTGTGCACACAGAATCAGGGATGGGAATAGCACTGGACAAAATAGCAGCTCAACAGCTTTCTTTCATCGAGCAATTCCACAGCTTTTGACCCTCATGCTCATTTTTTTCTCATGTAAGGTCCAGGTTTAATGTTCGAGTTACTCTTTGCGTATAGGAAAAAGTCTGGAAATATGACAGCAGACGGGACACAAGCTGTGCAGGTTTCATGACTCGGCAGGATAACTCAGTTTGTTTTTCTTCAGCTATATCTGTACATCACTACAATAAAGCAGCCATGTCTAACCCTCAATCACCAACACACACCTCTACACGTTTGACTTTTCAACCATGTGGAGCTATTCTGATTTTAAGGTACAGACCCAGCTATTAAAACCCTGTTTCCTGGACCAAAAAGGACTGCTCAGCTGTGATGCATTACCCAACCATTACCCTTTGCTCCTCGCACAGCTTCTTGTTTAATCCAAACTGTTGTGTGTGTCTCTCCCTGTGAGGTTCATCCGGTGTCATGCTGTGAGAGGAGCCGAGGATGACAGGAAGGCAGTCTGTGCCAAGCTCTGTCGCACTCTGTCTGTGTTGACATTTGCCAACAACACATGTGCACACGAACGCTGGCATGCACACACACACATGCTCCCATACAGTCTGAGGCTCTGTGCATATATCAACACTAACACCAGCACATACACAGAACAACAAAAGCTTTATCAGTGATGCACAAACACACACGTGCTGCAGATTTCAGTCAGACTCTGAGTTATTAAGATCACTGATGCTCTTTTGATCAAGCTGTCTGGAAACTGCTTTTGGGTTGCAACTAAAATAGAAAACTGAAGATGAACTCCAGGGCTCTTTTGCAGCATTACAATTCTGTGAGCTTAATGTGAAATTAGATTTAAAAAAATGCTGTTTTGATCTTTTCTGATAAGTAACACACAGCACATCCCCTGCACCAAAACCATGCAACAATAAATCAATACTCTCACTCCAGCTAACTCTGACTGACTCTACAGCTGCATCAGGTGTTCACCCAAAGCTGGCAGACACGACCTCTACTCAAAAAAACTGGCCTCAACCCATCCCTCTGTGCCAGTTTCAGGCCCATCTCAAATCTTCCATATCTGTCCAAGATTCTAGAGAAGGTTGTCTACAACCAGTAGTTACCATTCTTGGAAGACAATGGTATCACAGAGTTGTTCCAGTCTGGTTTTAAAGCTCTCCACAGCACAGAGTCAGCACTTTTAAAGGTGTCAAACGATATTCTCATGTCAACAGACTCTGGAAAGTTTGTTGTCCTTGTGCTCCTGGATCTGTCTGCTGCATTTGACACGGTCGACCACAGCATTTTAATCTCTCGCCTGGAGCCATGTGTGGGCATTAAGAGTGTCGCCCTGGACTGGTTCCGGTCTTATTTAACGGACAGAAGTTTCTGCGTTCAAATTGACAACTCTGCATCCTCAACAGCTCCTCTTCCACATGGGGTCCCTCAGGGCTCAATCCTCGGCCCTCTTTTATTTGCCTTTTATCTACTCCCCCTTGGTTCTTTTTTTAGGAAATATGACATATCCTTTCATTTTTATGCTGATGATTGTCAGATCTATCTTCCACTAGCACAGAACAACTCCAACTCAGTCCAACAACTTACTAACTGCCTTAAGGACATTAAAGCCTGGCTTTCTTTTAACTTCCTCAGTCTTCATGAGAACAAGACTGAAGTAATGTTGTTTGGACCAAGTGGCGGCCACCCCCCCAACATCGACCTAGGCTCCCTCTCACCCTACCTTAAAGAGGTCGTCACTAATCTGGGAGTTAAGTTTGACCCTGATTTTAAATTTGAGAAGCAGATCAGCGGGGTGGTACAAAAAAGTTTTTATCAGCTACGCCAAATAGCGAAGGTGAAGCCCATTTTATCAAGACCTGACCTGGAAAATTAATCCATGCTTTTATCACTACCCGTCTTGATTACTGCAACTCCTTGTACGTAGGGATTAGCCAGGCTTCCCTTGCCCGCCTGCAGCTTGTGCAGAACTCTGCTGCACGTCTCCTGACACAGACCCGCAGGCGTGAGCACATCACCCCCATCCTGGCGTCCTTACACTGGCTCCCTGTTCAGTATAGAATTCATTTTAAGCTTTTAGTATTTGTTTTTAAGGGCCTGAACAACCTTGCTCCACCCTATATTTCGGAGATGCTCCAGCCTTATTGCCCACCCCGACCCCTAAGATCAGCTGATCAGCTTTTACTGACGGTCCCAAATACAAGGCTGAAGCTCAGAGGGGACAGAGCATTTGCCGCTGCTGCCCCTAAGCTCTGGAATGAGTTGCCCTTGAAAATTAGACATGCCTCCTCATTTCCTGTTTTTAAATCCCTTTTAAAAACGCACTTTTACTCATTGGCTTTTAGTACATTGTAGTGTTAATTTGTTTTTTATCATCTTAGCACTTGCCGTGAGCCTCCTTATTTATACACTTATTTATTCTTTTGCATTACTGTATTTCTGCTTGCTTTATCTTGTTCTTTGATTGTTTTATTTGTTTTTATGTGTCACTGTACAGCACTTTGGCTACCCTTGTGGTTCTTTTAAATGTGCTATAGAAATAAAGTTGATTGATTGATTGATATATATACACATATATACATATATATATACATACATACATAAACATATACATATATACATATATATACACATATAAATACAGGTCTGTACTGTATACAGCCGCTGTCATCAGTTTCAAGCACTGAAGAAAGAGTATCTAGACTCATATTTCATCTTTCTAAGTTGATCATACCTTATGGCTTCTTCCATTGCTCTGGTTTGGATAACAATCTAAAGTATTAAATCTAAATCTTGACTTTGGATCCTGTCTTCCAGTGACCAACCCTGACTGAAGGATTTAGCACTTTGGCCTCTCAACTCAAAGACAAACTGTCCCCATTTGTGGAACAAATATACCAGTAATGCAAGTGGCCTGCTGACAGCTGTACCCAAATGATCTCTTGAGCTCTCAAACACCACAACTGATTGCCATTGAGTCCCATTTCCAAGTGTGTGTGTGTATGTGTGTGTGTGTTTGTGTGTGTGGCTGAAAGCACCACTTCAGCTAGCAAACGGACAGATTGCATTATGTAAGCTGATTTCTGATTATATCACTCAAGAGCACTGATGGAAATCCACTCAGACACCCGACCACAGGGGCTCGCTGATTTCTGCTCTTCCTACAAACTCACTCTTGACAAGATGGTTTTAGGGAATACACCCTGAAGGATGAAGTAAAGACTTGGATCACAAAGGCAAACTGGCATTCCTACGCTCCACTACACAGCTGACAAAGAGCTCAAGCTTCACAGTTTGGCAGCTCAAAACTACAACACACAGAGGTCAAGTATCTTTACAGCACAAATCCTCTTGGTGTGCTTCCCTCTCAGCAGTATCAATGCTGCTCTGACCGTTAGGCATGAGGAAAACCTTCATTCAGGGTCCCTCTGGCCAGAGGGAAGCATCATGACTTGCTTGGGAAATTAGATCCTGTTCAAGTTGATATCATTTGACCGTTACGCTTGAAGTTTCATGCTTTCCACTTAGTTCTGCATGTCTTGCAAAACAATGACAGGGTGCATTGCAAAAGACAGTCAGCACAAACCACAACCAAGGAAGTACACATGGTGGACAGAGGACAGGAGCAGTCCAAAACAAGAACATGAAATTTGATCAAGTTATCTTTCTGTTTAAATTCATATGGCAGTCCTTCTGAGATTACACAGACTTTCTGTAACAGCTGTGACATCAAATAAAGTCACATGTAAGTTGCTGTCTTACCAGTGTTACCAGACTTAGTGCAACACATCAAACACAAAGACGTCACCCATGTTAATCATGGCTGCACATCCAAAACCGATTAAGTGAAATATTTCTATCATGCTTCATTTGTAAAACTGCTCTGTGTGAAATTTTTTTGCCTGCTTGCTCATTTTTTTTATCTTTTGGTCCTTTTAGGACTACGAATGGGGGACCAAGACCCAGTTCTATCAGAAACCCAATTATAAATTTTTCAAAGCCTGACAAATAAGAACATTTGTGCTCGTGGAGTCTGCGATCAAATCTTTTGGAAGTAACTGTACTTTGAGTGAATTCATATAATGATACCTAAATCAGACAATCTAATAAAGATTAGGTAAAAAATAAAAATAATTGGCAGCTGACAGGAATTAAACTACAGGGAAAAAAATCTGGTGCTCACTTGTTTGTGACATCCAAAGTTTGGCGAATTTACCAAAGTTAAAGACTGAGATGAAGCAAAACGTAATTTATGTTGCAAGACAAGCCTTGTACATCAAATCAAACCAAAATGAAAAACCTTTGACTGTCTGCAGCTTGAAACTACTCTAATATCTAGCTGCTGCTGCTGCTGTTGCTGTTGCTGCAGGGCTGCCATCCTCCTATTCACCCAGAGCAGCCGGGGTCAACACAGTCAGACTTTACACCAAGTCCTGTTTGTTAAAAATCATTATCCAATGTTAAAATCAGCAGGATAGTGGCGAGGTGACATACGCTGACACTATGAGGTGTTCAAGGTCCAGTCACAAAAACAAGAACTCTGTGAAAGTAAATAAATAGGTTATGATGATGTGTTCAAGTGTCTAAATCATGGTACCAGTGTCAATCAAAATAAACAGGCACTGTCCCTTTTGAGGGCAGCTAAAAAAGAGAGAAGAGATGTGGGGCATAGCATGAGGGATGGGATGCAGCAAAGGGTCAGGGAGGGAAGTCAAACCAGCAACCTTGTGACTAATCATGACGGGCGTGCACCTGATCCCCCAGGCCAACATTTGTCCCTGTGGCTTGATTCTTACGGCTAACTTGACCCCTTAGCTAATAATAAAGTCTGTATGTTGCATTAATTTCCTGCTTAACTGACTGTGGAGCCAGGGCAATAGTCATATTTGGTGGCAAATGCCTGCTGACAAGCTGTTAAACTGGATGAATTTGAGAGGAAAACATGTTTTTGGGATTTCCACAACAAGCTGTGCATCATTCAAAACCAAGTCCACTCATAAAAAAGTGGAGGATTAAGTTAGCGGCATGAAGTGAAGTTTAACTGATCTTAACTGTGAACAATATCCTCGAAGGATGAACCAAAGTTTTATCTAAAGAGCACCTCATGGTTTTCAGAGATATAAGTCTGAAGTGATGTTAAGACCCCACAGGATTGATATTACCAACAGCTCAGAAGAAAATAAATGCATATCTGCCACACTGAGACTCTTTCCATTATTCCAGCGTTTACTGCTGTCCCCTGCCTCTTCATCATCGGCGCAGCACCATTACAATGTGAATTCCTCTGGAGACAGCTGCACTGAGAGCAAACACGCAAGCAGATAATTTACGGGCGGCAGATGCATCTTCCCTGGCGTGCAGCGAGTCAAGCCAAATCAGACACCATGAGACTGTCACAGACAATTGCATTTCCATTAACATTCTATGAATCGCTTAATTTGTTTTTCAAATGGAAACCATTACCTCTGAAATGACGTGTTACTCCTTTTGAACACACTGTTGGTGTTGGGAGAGAGTACTCAAGCAGATGAATTGTTTTTATGGAGCATGGACAGTGAATCAGAGCAGCAAGTCGGATTCAGAGTCATACAAACACCTTATGCACCAGTGTCCAATATTTGGAGCATGCTGCCTACCTGTCTTCTTTTTCAACAGCTCTTTCTCCTATCTTTGGATGATATGGCAAAAATGGGATTATATTAAGGAGTGCACCAGAATGCATTAGAAGATACAACCCATATATGTGATACTGATTATAACGCTGCATGAAATATGATTTATTGTTCAGTCCTGGTGTGATAACCCCAACTCTTCCAAACATGGAGGGACAGTGTAATCCAGACTCTAAGCTGTCTGGATAAAACTCTGAGTTTACTCTGAATCTGTTGCTTTTTCTCTCCCAGAGTCTGAAACTAAAATCTGACATTTGCTGACCTGGTTTCAGGCAGCTCATCAAACTGCAGTCAGAGGTGTTCAGATTCTCTTTGAAGAGCTCAGCCCTCCTTTCTTTTTCACCAAAGACCACATGTTTTTTTATTTAGATCCTCACAGTTACTTGAATGCTTTCAAAACTAAAACCTACGAGCACAAGCTCTTCTGATGCAGTGCTTGATGCTTTGTTATATTAATTTAAAGGACACCAAATGGTTAATTTGTCAGATCCTGATTAATCACAGTGTCAGAGGGTGATGCTGATTAATCCCATTGTTATTGCATGTTTGGAAATCTGTTGTTTTGCCTTTAATGTATGGAAGCGATTGTGACTCATATCTCAAATTCAAAAGCATTTAGCAGAAATACTTTTTCCTTTCAAAGTCATGGCTGCACTATTTGACTCAAAATTAAAAATCAAAAGCAATATTCCAAAATGCACTTTCATTTTCTTCTTCAAGACTGCTCATTTTGTGACTGAATTAAAAAGCAAAAGCAAATCACATTTCACATTCAATTTTCAAACATTCACCAGCAAAAAGGTAACAAAATTCAATTTGAAATGTCAAATTCGAAAATTCAAAAGCATTAGCAGAAATGCTTTTACATTTCAAAGTCATGGCTGCACTATTTGACTCAAAAATAAAAATAAAAATCAATATTACAAAATGCATTTTCATTTTCTTCTTCAAGACAGCTCATTCTGTGACTAAATTAAAAAGAAAAACCAAACTCAGAAATGCTTTTTCGTTTTCGTGCTGGCCCCGCCTTAAGTGTCTCATAATTCAATCTGAGTTCGCAATCTCAAGTGGCGCCGGAAAGTGACGTCACGGACCCCACTCGTTCTGGCCCCTTCTGGCCGATAGGGGGCAGTGAATCCGTGTATCATTCGTTCAATTGATATTCAATGTAATTAGCACAGCCTGTACACCTCGCTTGTTGGTTGAATTCAATGTTTGTGTGGACGTCTCTACAACTATGATCCACGCTTCAAATAAGTAGAAACAAAACACTTGGGGCTCTATTTTCGTGCGCGCCGGTGAGGCGGCGGAGGGTGGCGGGCCCCGCGCAGTTGTATTTTCGTCTGGCGGAGCCCGGCATAAGGCCAGTTTGGAATTTTCGTGGACTGAGCCGCACGGAGGCGAGCCAAGATCCGCCAAGCTGGGCGTGGCGGCGTGGCAGGGGGAGGTGTCGACAGAATCAGCAGGCGTAGTGACATTTTCTTGCTCGCCACCGGCGAGTAAAGTGCGCTGAAAGCTCGCCGATTCAAACCCACTGATAAGACAAACACCCTTTTCCACAAATAAAGACACTCACATAAAGTTGCACATATACAAACCTCACGTGACAAAGGTGGGTTGTGCGCACCGATCACAACATAAATTCCAATAATGGCAATAAAATCGGAACTATCTGTGCGTAATGACGCATCGCGCTCCGTCGCCTGGCTCTTTCTTTCATAGATGTTGGTATAGAAAATAAATTTGGCTCAGTTTGACTTAATTATTTATTGCACAGAAATGTGTCTGACACTGTGCCACCCTCCGCCGCGTCGCCGGCGTACACGGAAATAGAGCCCACAGAGAGTATGCTTTCCGGATAAATTGGTGCATCTCTACAGAGTGCATACAAATCTACAACACAGGCATCCTTCACCTCAGCCAATGTAAAATAAGGGATCATATCCTGCACATCTAGGTCAACTTGTCTGCAAATCATAGTTAGGAGACTCCCCAGGCTCATCAACCAGGCATGAATAATCCATGTCCAGATTTCAATTAGCCTGCAAGCAAGACTCATCAATATGTGTGTGTGTGTGTGTGTGTGTGTGTGTGTGTGTGTGTGTGTGTGTGTGTGTGTGTGTGTGTGTGTGTGTGTGTGTGTGTGTGCTCCAGAAATAACTAACTTTCACAGTGATGAGACAGAGACAAATGTGAGGCCTGCAGCCATTGCTCATTTACAGATGTCTCTGTTAACTAAAACCCAAACAGAGTGAGACGTCCATCTGTTTCATGTTCAGTCTCACTCTCAGAGAAACGTTAAAACTGAGGCCCAAATTACCCTCACTGAGAGCCGCTGTGAAGAAATACCTCAATACACTCTCCTCTGATCAAATCATGCTAAAAATATCTCTGCTGTTTGTTTGGAAATGGTAAAGAATTTCCTTCTCAATCTGCAGAGTCCTTTCAGATCTTTCCAAAGACAACACAGGAGCCAGGCTCACAATAAATGGCAACTGCCATCAAGTATTATAAATCTATATTTGAACAATACGCTTTGTTCATACAGGGCTGCAGACTCTGGGAAAATAATAATAATAATAATGATAACAACCAATACAAAACAGATTCCTTTTATAAAACCTTCTACACCAAAGGCTAAATGCTGCATAAAACCATGAAGTATCTATACTTATTTGAAGCTTATCATTGAATAAGTAAGCGTAATGAAGCTTTTAAGAAGATTTAGGTTGCTTTTAATGCCTGTGATGCAGATGTCAAATCATAAAATAATGACTTCATATAGGCATGATATCAATCAAAATAATGTTATGATGATTTCTGCCATATTCGAGCAGTCAATCCTCTTGCAGCCAGTATGGGGGTCACCTTTTTACTTTTTACTGTCTTACTGCTACAGAAGTTTAGGTTTGGTTACATTTCCTCTTGCTTAAAACAAAAACGTTTCCTTCAGCTTTTGTTGAGTAAAGTTGACAGCCTATCAGCACTGGGGTTTCAATCTGTGCAAGGGCGTGTCCAGACTGCTTTGACTCGGTTGGCACAGCTAAGGTACATATGGGTGACCATGGTGTGTGCGTAGCAAATAACTGGCATTTACCCTCTCTGTGGTCACTGTTTAAATACTGCCCTCAAAGTTTTAAAGAGATGATATTCCTGCGTGTAATTTCAGTATAATTGTATATAGTAAGTGAATGTGCAGGACAGTTTTTTTTTCTTCATTAGATAACTTAATTAATCACCAGAATAATTTAATGACTAAAATAATTGATCACTGCAGCCATGCGTGTGTAGAATGTGTATTTTGCATTATAGTGAGTTTATTTGACCTTTTTCACTCTGTGTGCATTTTTGAAAAGTCACATCTGCATATCTTCAAATAAGAAAAACTTTGCCAGTAAACATCATCAAATTTCTAAAAGCTACCTTCAGTAAACTCTGCGACACGACCATTGTTTTCTTCATGTTAAATGCATTCAAGCCGAAGGCGTCATGTCGTTTGACTCCTCTCTGTGACCACTATGAGCCATCAGCCACAGATCAGGAGTATCTCAATGCTGAGTTCCTCTTCCTGCAAATCGATTACCTTACATCCGTGTGGATAGTAGCCATAAAACTGAACAGCCATTCAGACGTGTTCAGCCACGACATGTCTTTATTGCAGTCACAGACGAGTGATATGTTTGACCCTGAACAACCCGGCAGAGTGCAGTTGCAAGTAGATATATTGGGAGCTGTGAGGTGCAGCCTATAGAGCATGACAGACTGAGCACAAATAGACATAACAAGGTTGTCAGGAGAGGCATCAATCTCCAGCCATTTATTCCTGGCCGTTGTATGAGTTACGATGAAAACATACAGGGTCACTGTAAAGAGTGGTGACTGCTCAGATGAATCAGACTCTGCTGTTGATTTGTGAAAAGGTCCAGCTGAAAAAACTCTCCAACTCTTGTAAGGAGGCTGTTCAATGAGCTCTGTGTGCTCTGTCTGTGCACACAGAGCTGTGTGTTATCACTGTCAGCTGTTCTCTTGGATGATTTTTTTTTCACAATCACATGCTCAGTGGATCCTGCGTCACACAAACTTGAACACAACACAAACACAGGCAGGCTGGCAGACAGTTAGACTGTGTGGAAACCAAATTTTCATGAAATAACAAACAAAAGAGCTCAGCTGGTGTCATATCAGCTTCTTCACTCTGATTAGGACATAAGCTTTAGTGATGAAAACAGATGTACACTAAAGATTAAGATGACTGATTTGAACATTTTATCATTAGGTGGGTTTACATGACCTTTTTAAATCAGTTTAGTGAAGAAAATGGCCCGATCAAAATGAGAATGATTTATAGAAATCAGAGTGCAATTGCTGATATGATTGGAAATTTAATGGAAAAAAAGGAATGATGCATTCCTTTAGCCATCATAAATAAACTCACTCTAATTTTACTCTGCTGGCAGACTGTCTGGACATGGTAAGTTTTCCTCTCTCATGACTTACAGTCATTTTGAAGCAACATAGTGGCCAAAAACTGGAGAATAAACTGAACAAGGTTTGTGTTGGACATTTGAAAGGACTAAAACATTGACCTCACTGTAAGGCATAATTAGTTAAAAAGGATGACCCAGTTTGTCTCATCTTTGAGAGGCTAGAAAAGTAAGGGATTAATTTAGTACGTTTACATGTACTTTCAGTTCAGCTAATAGATGGGGACTACTGTCCTTGTTTCAGTTTACATGCACCAGGCAGGAATCATATTAATGGCATGAGCATGTCTGCAACTGCTACAGTGGGTGGCGTCATGCCCCCTTTCAGCTTGTTACTGCTAGGTTGTCTCCCAAATCACCTGCTGCGAGTCATTAAGTGGCTAACGAGATGTTCGTAAAACAAACTAAAAAAAAAAAAAAAAAAACTGTCCCCTACATCTCTTCACATCTTTACACATAAAAGTCAAAACGTCATAGTCCTTTTACTAACCAGCTGTCTCTCAGCATTGAATTGAGCTGTGTCTAGGGTTGGGTATCGTTTGGTTTTGAACGATTCCGATTTCGATTCCTCATTTGGATTCCGATTCCTATCGATTCTCTATTTCAATTCTTTTAAAAGGCAGGATATCAAAAAAGAAAAAAAGCAAAGGTTGGATGAGGGTGCTAACCGGAGCTCTCCTTTTTGGATGAAATTTCTGAACTTCTCCATGAATTTTTAAATCATATTAACTTTTTAAGAACTTTACTATGAATTTCTCACAGGGCTATTTTCAACCAATATATAAATATCAATTTTTGTTGTCAGGTCGTTTGTCTATGAAAACGTACAAGGGCTAACGTTAGTTGGATATTTAAGTTTACTCACCGTACACAGTACAATTTGTTTACCGCTTCAAAGTTAGCAGAGGACAGAAGTAATTTATTGTTTCACTTATCTGATCCTGACTGGTTAGCGGAAGACAGGTGTTGTGCTGTAGAATGCACCCCTGCCATAGAATGCCTCCCCGCCACTCATTAACTTCTTACAGTGGAAGACAATGATCTCATATTTAAAAAAAACAGAAGTATTAGATCATGAAAACATGTCAAATGGAGCAGTAAACTTTCGTTTTGTTTTTATGTGTCTCAAAAATGCACACATAGAGGTGTATTTGGGTATATAAACTGTACAGTAAGCTGTTAAGGTAGAGAACATTATATTTTCGGGACAGTAAATATTCCGGATCAGATGGCTGTTGTTTTCGGCATATCTGAATAGCCTGAATGAAATCATTAAAGGCACACGCTTTAGATTCCATTCAACGGTAAGGAAAACTTGGATTGCTTCGCCTTTTTGTGTACTTTCAACCGCGCTCCTGTCAGGGGTGCGAAGCGCGTCAAAGACGAGCACTCGGGTATTTCTCCTCCATGAATCCTGAGGCGTTTAATCATGTTGGTCATTTACCCTCCTTTGCATGATATAACTGTATTGCGAATGTTGCATTGAGATAAGAGTTCATTCTTCCTGCTAAAGTTTGCCAAACTTTTGACCAACGAGGACGAAGTCGCTTAACACCAACGAGGCAGAGCGTAAGACTTCACGATAAAACGATATGTTTCGTCTAAACGATAGAAAATTTCTATCGGGATACATGAGTTCTATCGTTTCTATCGCGGTATCGTAAAAACACGCTTTACGGCAGTGTTTTACGTCGTGACGCTCCATATATTGCATGCCCGCACGCGCTACTGCCACTGTGAAAAACACAAACAAGCATGGAGGAGCCGGGTTATTGTGGCGAAAGAGATGACAATTCTCGTGCATCAAATGTCGGTTGTGTGGTCGTGGTTTGGTTTTATAAGGAGCGACACGGAGCAGACCACTGTAGTTGTATTCTGAGTCAGCACATACATGTAGATCTATATCGATATATTCTGATCTATATCTGATCTGATGAGCGCGTTTGGCACGGGTTTGGACACCCCACCTGACCGAATTAACACAGCTGAAACCGCATCAAATTAAATATCCAGTAAACAGTCACACATGATGAAATTAACAAGATATTTAATTCGTCTCCCCGCTTATCCTCCTCCTTCCTTGCGCAGCTCGATAGGTGTTATGCCGTAGAATGCATCCCCTGCATCCCATCCACTCATTAGCTTCTTAAAGTGGAAAAAAAATTATCTCATATTTAAAAAAAAAAACACGAGTATTGGATCATGACAACATGTCAAATGGAGCAGCAAACTTTTGTTCTGTTTTTAGGTATTTAAAAAAAGTACATACAGAGGTGTACTTGGGTATTTAAACTGTACAGTTAGCTGTCATGGTAGAGAAAATTATATTTTCGGGGCAGCAAATATTCCGAATCAGAGGGCGATTGTTTTCGGCATATCTGAATAGCCTGAATGAAATCATTTAAGGCACACGCTTTAGAATCAGTCCAACGGTAAGGAAAACTTGGATTATTCCGCCTTATTATGTACCTTCAACCGCGCTCCCGTCAGGGGGGCATTCTACGGCAGGGGTACATTCTATGGCACAACACCTGACGTGTCTCCGTTGCCTCTCTCCGTCCTGCGGCAGCTGCTGCTGCGGCGGTGGCTGAACAGATGATTTGTTTTAATGATCAGATGAGTTTTTTACTTTAAGCCTACATACAAATATTATAATATTCAGTTTTGTGAGCCAAATTTATTTTCTATGCCAACATCTACGAAAGAAAGAGCCAGGCCACGGAGCGCGATGCGTCATTATGCACAGATGGTTGCGATTTTAATGCCATTATTGGAATTTATGTTTTGATCTGTGTGCACAACCCACCTTTGTCACGTGAGGTTTGAATATGTGCAACTTTATGTGAGTGTCTTTATTTTTGGAAAGGGTGTTTGTCTTACCAGTGGGTCCAACATTACACACACCAAATCCATCTGTGCTTATATGAGAGAGTGTGCTGGACGCCCCTTACAGCGACACTTGTTGAGGGGCTGCCTTCTGTCGCCATCGAGTGGCATTGCTGTCTTCAGACATCTCTTGATCTCTTTGACTACTTCACGAAAATTGTAATACACCTCACTGGTGGAGGATTTAAAGGCGAGGAGAGGAGCTGATGTTATTGGCCCTCTCTCCTCCCTCACTCAAATATTTAGTTACTCAAAATCCGTTCTACATTACATGCTGATGTCATGTGAATGAGCTAGCCTATGGCATGTATGGATGTTCATTTCATTATTAAACCTTGTGTATCTAATTGTTGTTTACACAAATGTTGAATTATTGAAAAGTGTTTTCAATATTTTTCAGAGGGTTCTAAATAGAAGAAGTCTTGTTTAGTAACGTAACTTGTTGAATATATAATTTAAACTACATTTCCACGTGGCAATTTTATATAAACTATGCATCAATTGAATTTACAAAAAATGTACTATATCGTGATGTATATCGTATTGGGATATAAAATGAGCCATATCGGGATATGACCAAAATCTCATATCGTGCAGCCCTAACGGAGCCTATGAGACGAAGCCACACACAGAGAGAGGAGAGAGACAGAGTGAGAGAGTGCATTGTAACCCACAGCGGCTGCATTGCTGTGGGTTGCAATGTACTTTCCCTCTCTGTCTCTCTTCACTTTCTGTGTGGCTTCGTCTCATACGCTCCGTCCTCGTTCGTGTTAAGCGGCTTCTTCTTCGTTGATTTTCGGCAGCTATTTCTTTCGGTCGGTGAACTCCGGCATTGAAACTTGGAATCGAAATTTTAATATTTGAATGATACCGGAAGAATCGAAATGTTAGTCCCGGTCCCCATCGATACTCGATTCTCGATACCCAACCCGAGCTGTGTCCTTTAGTAGATTAGGTTCAGAGGTCTTCTGACTATTGAATTCCACTAGAGGCCCAGTGACAGGGGTCAAAAGGTTGTTACCTAAAGGCTCATGTAAACAGATTAGGAAGGCAAACAGTAGAACCAGCTCCAAACCAGTTCCTGCCCCCTGCTTCCTTTCCTAAACACATACACTCTGAGAGAAACCTAACATACCAATGTGTTTGGATTTGTTTCTAACCTCTTCTTAAATCACTTTAAGGCTGAACAACATCCTCCACCCTGACTCTGAGTGCTGCAAACATACATGCAGTGACTCGGCACTTTATTTAAAGTTACCTCTGATGAATAAATCTATATGCAGCAAACATGTTTTTCAAATCATAATCACTTATTGTAGTCTGATCAACTTTTTTTGGGGAAGTATTCCTCAAAGGAATCAATGACTACCATAACAGCTGTTGATCAATCACTGTTTCCTGAATTAGACCAAAAAAATGTGTTTTGGTTTTTAAACAATCAGTAACAAACCAACTGAGGAGGGCCAAGCTCAGAGAGGCTTCCTTCATCACCCTCTACAGCAGCTCAATCCCAGCAGTGACGCTGAAGGGCCTTTTTACAGCAAACTGCTCACACTGAATAACAATGCTCTGGGAGGAAACCTGCCTTGTGGAGGGAAACTGATGTGATTCCAAGAGGCATTTTGACCTGATTTTGGTTGGAGTCTTACTGCTTTGCTGAGACATCAGTGCTGTTCCTCCCCACTTCCCTTGCAAGGTTGCGGTTTACTAATTTTGAACATTCACACACTGAAATTCACCCTTTTCTGCTACCTGTGTAAGGTAGCTTCTTTAACTGCAGTGTTTTTGGGATAACCTCCAGACCATGAAGTGCCAAAAAACATGTACTCCACATGGACAGGAGATGCAAAGCCTGTCTCCTTTCTCAAGTCTTTGTCAAAACTGGACATTTTTACTCGCGCCCTACCGATTTATCGGCAAGCCAATTAAATATTGGGTATTTGAAAACACTTTTCTGGTCTGAGTTTGATCAGTAGGTCTTCCCGTCGGCGTGAAGAGCAGTAGCCTACAGTATATCTACAGTATAGTATACTGAAGATATCTACAGTATATATATGTTTTATAACTTCATAAAAAATTTTAAAAATCAGCCAATTAATCGATAATTGGATTTTTTTCCCCCCCTAATAATCGGCATCGGCCCCAAAAAATCCATATTGGTCGGGCCCTAATTTTTACTGTAAATGTCACCACATCTTATCATCATTACTGGAAGCAACACATATTTGAAACAGTTAGCACTCAGACAGAGTGAGTGGAGGATAACTGCATAAAAAGGCTCAAAAGCATATTTAGCATGTGAAACAGACTGCTGCTGTTGATTTTTTACACCTTCTAAAAACTGCACACCTGCTCAGGCATACTAGAAATAGCTGTGCATTTTTACATCAATCACGCAAAATTCCGATCGATCTATCTTTATTTAAAAAGGGCTGACAGCGTGCATCCATCCTCCAGCTGTTTTTAGCAAAGATCAACCTCTGCTGATCGGGAGGGATATCCTCACTGTCCAGTTAGTGTGTGTGTGTGTGTGTGTGTGTGTGTCTGCGTGTGTGTGTGTGTGTGTGTGTGTGTGTGTGTGTGTGTGTGTGTGTGTGTGTGTGTGTGTGCGTGTGTCTGCATGTGTGTGTGTGTGTGTCTGTGTGTGTGTTTCAGCAATGAAGTGAAGTAATTAATATTATTATTATTATTATTATTATAAAAGAAAGCAAGACCAAGTGTGGTTGCGGAAAAATTATGAGGTTTGCTGCAAACAGTACAATGCTGTGTACAAGAAAAACACGACAATGACTCCAATGATGTACCTCTTGAACCACAAACATTCAACTGAGGTTAATGAATCCTCCGAGTGCTCTGATCTGAACCTACTGACAGCTCTTTGCCAGCAAGGAGCTGTCAGCTCCCCATTTTGGATGATCTGTCCCCAGCTAAAGTTGAAATGTCCCTGATTTAAGGGTTTCATGAATGAAAAACAAACATTATTATGGTAACCGGGCAGGTAGGAGGCTCGAGGGAGCATATATCGTGCAGAACGGGGGGGGGGTATTTTTTGCCATTCATATAAAAAAATGATTAAATCGATGATTGATCGTTGATATATTTGATTAATCGATCAAGGCACTGTCTTAAAATGCCCATCCCATGTGCCTTGGCTGGAACGATAATCAATATATCAAATAACCAAACGAAGAAATGAAAATGAACTCAAAAATTTTTCCGGCCTCCATATATTGACATGTGCATGCGTGTACTTGTTTTCCTTGTCTCACACCTCCGAATACGCAGGATGGCAAGGGGGTTCACCCTGCGCATTGTCTCAGCATGTGGGTGCGTTTTTGCCTTAGTGGAATGAAATGAAGGAAGTCCATCTTGTCACTCATTAAGGATCTTTGTATCTACGGGGGAGGGGCCACAGAGCCACATACACAGAGTAGACCGCAGTTAGTGACCCATGTGGGGAGCATGGAAGAGCAAAGCCAAATGCCACAGCCCTGGTCTGGGAATATTTTGGCTTCAAGCCCAATGAGCAAGGTGGGACCATCAACACAGACGAGCCAGTATGCTGACTTTGTTTAAAAATGGTAGCGACAAAAAAAGGCAACACAATGAACTTGCATGCCCACCTCAAACACTATCACCCGGTCGAGTATTTCGAGCTGGGGAAAAAAAAATGCACCCCAAGATGCAGTGCCGCCGGCCCAACACTCAACACTTAATGAAGCATTTGATCGACAAAGCAAGTACAGTCAGAACAGCGCAAAATGGTGTGGGCTCTCAGAAAGTGTAGTTCACTACATTGCCAAAGAAATGCTGCCTTTAATACGGTTGAAAAGCCAGCATTTTTATTGTTTCTTGTTTGTTTTATTTTTAGCGACAGCAACAACAAAAACTTTATTAGAAAAACTCGAGTTTTCAGTGTCGCTTCTCCGTATGGCGCGGACACTGTACGAACCATAGACTGTATATAAGATACATATATATAGTCTATACATATATACTTATATACAGTCTATGGTTTCGAACCCCGGCTTCCTGCGTCCCAGTCGTCCGCGTTACCCGTATGGCCAAAGCACTTCATGAATAGATAAGGTGCCATGGAGTAGTATGACGTGTGCGCCTGCATGTGTGTGTGCGTGTGTTCGTACAGTGTCCGCGCCATACGGAGAAGCGACACTGAAAACTCAAGTCTTTCTAATAAAGTTTTTGTTGTTGCTGTCGCTATTGTAGGTAGTTATTAACACGAAACGTCACCCCAAGTATTTGTTCCCCCCTTAAATTGGTTTTAATTCGTTTTCTTCGACACAAGAATCATCAATATGACCTTCTGGAGCTTTTATTTTGGCACTTCCGGTTTCCGACCGTGAATTTGCATATTAGCTAAATATTTAGTTTCGCCCAACACATTTAGATTTAACATTTAGATTTAACATTTAGATTTATATTTAACATTTAGATTTAGATTTAACATTTAGATTTAGATTTAACATTTAGATGTAACATATATATTTAAGATTTATATTTAGCATTTAGATTTAACATTTAACATTTAGTTTTAGTATTTAAATGTTGTTGTAAATGTGCAAAAAAATGACTGCCGAAAATTCACATCACTTTTTTAAGTGCTGTTTGAAGCTAAATGTGACTAAATCTTGCTGTTGTTTTGCTAAATATGACCAAATCTTGCTGTTGTTTTTATAATGGGCTGCTTTACAAACGGCACCCCATATTTGAAAGGGTGTACTTGCAGTATTATGTTTTATTAACATTACATAAGTGGTTATTTTGGTCTAGATAATGTGAACAATAATATTGTTTATAGTCAATAATTTGTGGGACAATATATCGCCCAGCAATATTTATTATCGTCCTTGACCTAAGTGTTCCCAAGATGTAGATGATTTCAGCTCCATTGAAAGTGCATCACCAACTTGCATCTAGATGGACTATTGCAAAGATGCAGACACACAACATGCACAGGTGAAGTTAAGAGACTGTTGAGATCCTCAGAAACAAAGTTGATCTGTGATGATATATCAGAATCAGAATACTTCATCTATCTTGGGGGATGAAATTCAGTAACGTCTTGTGTCCTTTTTTAGTGAAACAGGGTCATTTCTGTTTGAAGCAGACTACGTTCAACAGAGCTGCCATCTTTGTCTTGATCTGTTGACCAATAAAAGGTTATACTGTGATTAGCTGACCTTAAAGAGGGGGTATTATGCATTTATTTTTAGACACTATACTTACTCTAGACTTCCTTTTTGACTACTTTTTAATTATGTGATTTTCAGTTTAAAAAAGCCTCCTGTTTCTCACAGTGGTGTATTAGAATATCATTATTTCAGCCTCTGTCTAAAGGCTTTGTTTTAGCTGCTGTCTCTTTAACGCCCTTCCTCCACAAGCCCACTTTTTTCTGATTGGCCACCTCTCTGGAGGCTTTCCAGGAGCAGGCCAAGTGCAGAGCTTGATGTTTTGGCCCCGCCCCCTTTATTGTGGTTCATCAGTCGAGCAGCAGCAGCAGCAGCAGCATTATCCCACTCCACTGTGGGTGTTACTTCACCCACGGAAGCAGTCTCTCTCGTCTCTAAAGCTTGAACATTAATTGAGTAACCTCCTCTCCCATCCTCCCTTTCCTTATTGATCACTGGGTTATTCTGTCAACAATTAATCAGATGCTCAGATGTCTTTTAGACTTTCAGCCTCGTTAGGCCCTCTTGAAATCAATAAATGGTGACACAAAGTTTGAACTGTGTTTTAACTAAATAAAAATATGTATTTAAGTTCTCTTCCACCTTAAAACAGGACTGATATTACTCTGTATCTAGCTTTTTAAACCCCTGTGGACAGGCCCCGTGGGGACATTTAATATGAAGAGTACAGTGTGGGTGTTAATGAGCATTGCACGCGTGACTGGTCATTTCCTGTCAGCACCCGGTAGGAAACGAATGGCCCTCCCATACTTTTCACCATTATCACATCACCACCCACAGGAAAACAAATTCACACTCGCCCTCCAACATGCTGTTCTGACCTTACACTCCCGTTCACACTCTGACACATGGTGGAGATGACGCAAGACCATAGACTCACTCAGACCACCTTCTGGATGAGGGTGGAAGAAGAAGACGTTCAAACCTAACAGGTTCCCATTTACACTATTGTTAACCTGCTGCAGACTTTGGATGAGGTTACTTAGAGATAGCACCAACACTAGTTTCACCATTTGCTCCACTCCATGTCACCACTAACACAGACAGAAAGCTCCATTTTCCCTCTGCAGGGTCATGCTGGTTCTCCTGAGGTGCAAAAGTCACAGCCATTCTGCAGTAGATACGAGCTACCATTTTTTCTGGACTATAAGTGTGGCTGGTCATGCAACCTATATTTGAAAGCGACTTATATATAAAAAATACACGGCATATGACCACAAGAAGGCACCCTCCACACTCGTGACCACTGAACACTGCTACTGCATCACTGAAAAAATTACACTACTAAACCATAAAGACAGAGAGAACACTGATAAAATGTCTCCAAAAAGGAAAAAGCTATATCACAGAATTTAAATCACAGATAATAAAGTAAGTGAGAAACTTACCAGGGACTGGCAAAAATCAGAGGTAGTATATCTTTCTGCTCTGAAAACATAAAAGGCTAACCAAAAGCACCATGGCCAGAGCTGGAGGAACAAGTCCACAAATGGATCTTTGAACAGTGTGCTGCTGGAAGGGGCTTATCAATGGACAGTTACATCCATGCCTAGGTAGAAATGAAAATTAATTATTTTGATGGCAAGCCTTCATGATGCCATTGCTTCATGCAACACAACCACCTGTCAATCAGAGGATGAACCACAATGGACTCTATTTTCGTGCCCGCCGATGGCATGGCAGAGGGTGGCGCACCCCGCTAAGTGTTTTTTTTGTCTAGCGGAGCCAGGCGCACAGCCAGTTTGGTATTTTGGTAGACTGAGGCACACCAAGGTACACCAAGCTGGGCGTGGTGGCGTGGTAGGGGGAGGTGTCGACAGAATCAGCTGGCGCAGTGACATTTTCGTGCTTGCTGGCAGCGTGTAAAGTGCGCTGAAAGCTCGCTGATTCAAACTTGGTCAGCTTTCAGCGCAGGCGAAGAGCAGCTCGTCTAGTAGTATTTTAGTAAACCGGTGGCGTAGTGCACATACACCACTGATGCCTCACCGGCAGGTTCCCACAATCTCAGGCACATTTCAGTGCAATAAATAATCAACAACAACCAATATTCAGTGCAACAGTCTGAGTTAGCACATACATTAAGATATCGATACATTCTGATCTATATCAGATATATATATATATATATATATATATATATATATATATATATATATATATATGATGAGCGCATTTGGCACACGTTTGGACACTCAACCTGACCAAATTAACAAAGCCAAAACTGCATTGAATTAGATATCCAGTAAACAGTCACACATGATGAAGTGAACGAGATATTTAATTCGTCTCCGCAATTTTCCTCTTCCTCTTCTTTCTTGCGCAGCTCGACCTGGACAGATGATTTATTTTAGTGATCAGATGAGTTATTTACTTGAAAATTTGAAAAAAAAAATTAAAGAAACTTTTATTCAAAACTACCTATTTATCTGATGTTTTCACATCCTTAAAATTCTGTGAATATTCAATCCGCAGTCAGTCCCAAATACGAATATTATAATGTTAAATTGCGTGAGCCAAGTTCATTTATATGCCAACATCAATGAAAGAAAGAGCCAGGCCACGGAGCATGAACCCTTTACACATAGGTGGTTCCAATTTTAATGCCATTATTGGAATTTGTTTATGTTGTGATCTGTGTGCACAACCCACCTTTGTCATGTAGGGTTTAAAGATATGCAACTTGATGTGAGTGTCTTTATTTGTTAAAAAGGGTGTTTGTCTTACCAGTGGGTACAACCTTACACACACCAAATCCATCTGTGCTTATTTGAGAGAGTGTGGAGGACACCCTCTGCAGTGCTTACAGCAACATTGTTGAGGGGCTGCCTTCTGTCACCATCGTGTGGCACTGCTGTCTTCAGCCATCTCTTGATCTCTTTAACTACAACTACTACTACAAAAATTGTAATAAGCCTCGCTGGTGGTGGATTTAATGGTGAGGAGAGGAGCTGATGTGATTGGTGAAAACAGGACTGTGTTAAACCCACTCCACACCTTATCCCCTCCCTCTCTGCTATCTACACCACGGGAAGAAGCTGAGTTAGGGAGGGGGGATACTTACGCCAGGCTGCGCCGCTCACCAAGATACCTAAGTGTGCTTGGGCACGCCTCATCAGTGCGGCAGACCTGACTTATGCTGCGCCTGCACCACACCGCCGGCGAGACACGAAAATAGAGCCCAGTGTGTCTGAAACTGCCATCAGACTTCCGAGCCCACAGTATCTGTGCTTTCATACAAAAGTTGTAATGACACATAATGTGTCGCTGGGTCATATAATTAATATTAACACGAATGAGGTCCCCCTTTTGTTTTACATCCCCATGAGCCAAAGTGTTGCAGATAAAGGGCAAAAAATGTGAGCATAGTGACAACTGGTCATGAGAAATCAAACTTCACAGTGTTGATTGCATACAGTGGAGATGGTTCCAAACTGTCACCAATGGTCATTTTAATGCCAAGAGTTAATGGCTTTTTTAAAACATGCAAAGCCCTGCTTGTGATGGACAGTATGTGAGCACATTTAACGGCACACATTAAAGACAAAACTAAAACCCACAACTTCATACCTGCCATTATTCCTGGAGGCTGTACAAAAATACTTCAGCCACTCGACATCGCAGTGAACCAGAATTTTAAGGCAGTCTTACCTAAGGCAGTCTAGCCTCTAGCCAGAGGTGTGCATAGTGACTGGAGCACACAGCTATACGGCGACCAGCCAGATGTGAATACAGATGCGTGATAGATAGGAAAATTGATTGATTTTTATTTTTTTAACATCGTCATAATCTAAAGTCAATGAATCGTGCAACCCTAGTCTGCACCATAAGTTCCAAGCCTTTTTTATGTGATTTTTTAAATCTATTTTTGTGCTGCTTCATTTATCTCCTTAAAAAGACACAGCTCTGGTGTTGGATTTTAAAAGTTTAGGTTTGGGATTCTGGGAGAAACAGTGAAAATGCACTTTGATGGATTTCTCAGCCCGTATTCAAGAACTTTTGAGATGCCTGAGATTTCCCTGCAGCAGTTTTTGTTTAATCCAGCTCCACCTTGACCTGATACACAAAAATTTCTCAGTAGCTACAATTTTATTTAAGTGCTATAACACCGACACAGTAGTACTATTACTGCTGCAATGAAAATACTCTTGCATTGACTTTAATTTACCAGTTTTCACATGCAATCGGTTAACACAGCATTTATTAATTTATTATTAATCTGCTGGTTAAACATAAATATTACTGGCACTGGGGCAGCAGTAGCTCAGGAGGTAGAGCAGTCGGCCAATAACTGGAAGGTTGGCGGTTCGAGCCCCGTCCTATCCCTGGTCTGTCCATTGTGTCCTTGGGCAAGACACTTAACCCACCTTGCTCCCAGAGTGTGTGTCCTCCACTAGTGTATGAGTGTAAGTGTTGTGTGGTGGTGGTCAGAGAGGCCATAGGCACAAACTGGCAGCCACGTTTCTATCAGCCTGCCCCAGGGCAGCTGTGACTCCTAAGGTAGTGAATGTAGTGACTCCTGTGTGAGCGAATGAATGATGTATCCAATGTAAAGTGCTTTGAGGTCACTGACAAAAGCGCTTTAAAATCTGATGCATTATTATTATTACATCAGTTCTGTTACAGTCCTGAAAAATGAATTTTTCCTGCATGACCACATTTGGTTACTGTGTTTCCATTAGCTTATTAGTTTTCCCACAACAGCTTCCTGATTACTGCAAACTGACAGCAAGAAAGGAAGCTGTTGTTCATAAACATAAACAGAATTCATATTCTTTCCATCACCGTTGTTCTCTCTCTCTCTCTCTCTGTCCAACCCAGGGGCGGCAGGTAGCTGTCTGACATGAGTCAGGTTCTGTTTAAGGTTTCTGCCTGTTAAAGGGACGTTTTTCCTTGCCACAGTAACATGCTAAATACAGCAAAGTGCTTCACTCACATTGAATGAGATGGGTAAAGTCTTCTCCCATCTCGGGGTTGAATTTTTGTAATACGTCAAACAATGAGTCAGGTCTGTACTTGCTCTTTTGGAAAGCATCTTGGGAAAACGATTGTTGTGATCTGGCGCTTTATGGATAAGAATTGATTGATTGATTGATTGATTGATTGATTGATTGACTGACTGACTGATATGGGAGGTCTTCAACAACTGCAGCTGATGTTTAGACAAACTGGTAGTGCATTGAAAGAGGATCCACAGCAGCACTGTGTTTATTGGTCTAATGGGTGGCTTGGTGGGTGGGTCCGCTGCACAGATGTTGCAAGCTCTCATTATCTGTTAATTCTGCAGCAGCGCAATAACCCACTGTCCTGCTACTGCAACATTAATTAACTTAGCAACGCATTGGTGATTTGATGTATTGTTCTCTGTGTTTTTCATTAATGTATCTTACCGTCGAGGTTTTCTCTGTCGCTGATGTGCTGGAGGTTGCAGCCCGTGTCCTCCCGGCTCAGCTCCGGCTCTGGCCGGTAGGGCTCAAGCCTTGAGTGGTTGTTTCTCCGATGTTTGGGGCTGGATGACACGCAGCAGGAGGTGGTATTCCCCATGGTGCCAGCTGGTTTCGGTTATAATCCAAACCCAGAACCCGGTAGGCTATCTCCAGCCTCCTCCTGTCTCCCCGGGCTGTTCGCGTTACTCCAAGTAGAGAAAAAACGGGGCGGCAACGCGGATAACCAGGCAGCCCCAGTGCAGATACGAGCCCCGGTACCCGTTACCTTCCACCCGACTTTAAAATACACTCAACTGGATGTTGTAGTCATTTCCAAAGCCGATGAAACCACAATTGGGTTTCATAAATCTCAAAAAGAGTCCAGTGTCCCTACAAACGTCCAGGAGGGCAGATATTTCACAGGCGTTGGTTTCGATTCCTCCGACTTGTTTTATGTTTCTCACCGTCCAGTTTTCTTCACAAACACATTTTTACAATCTGTAACTTTAAGGCGACACAAATTAAACTCGAGGACACAATATCTAACCGAGTCATGAAGATATTTCAGCCCGCAGAGCTACATGGTTGCCGATGTACTGTAGACTGCTGCTGCTACATCCGCTGCCGCGTGACGTTCAGGTACGCCTCGAATAAATTCTAGATCGACAACGAAGTAGGTCTTGTGGCGCTTTAAATTCGTTATATAAGCTTTATTTGCCGGAAAAAACAACCTGTGTTTGAAACTTTTCCATGGTTATCAAAACCACATTTAAAAAATCAATATATGTCACCGCACATTACTAATACATATCAACTACTGATCAATTTCAGTAATATTTTATGTCTTGCCGTCCAGGTGCGAAGTTTGCTACAAAAAAAAAAATATATATATATATATATAAATTTACATGTTTCTACTATTGTTAGATTACACTGAGATGGTTAATTACCCCTTCATTTGTGTTCATCTTTAAAATAAAGTTAAAAGAAGCGTCGATTATGTCTAAAAGCTAAAATGACAGCACTAGGGATAGCATTTGAATATATCTCACAAAACCTACAGTGCCGAGGCTGTTAAGAAAAAGGTTCCGGTTCAAGTGGGTGGTTACAACCTATGGTTACAACAGTGTATTAAAAAAGACAAAATCATAGAAGGGAAGTATTAGCTAAATTAGTAATGAAGAATTTAATTAGTATAAAAACACAGTTAAGGGCCCAAATTCACTATTGATGTGTTTAATTTCAGCAATATTCCCCCCAGTCACAATAATTACCGCACACTTAGGCATCCTTACTTTAACAGACGTGAATTTAATAGCTGGGTTTAAAGGAAAGGACACAAATACTGAAATATGTCACGTCTGTTTTAACCAAATTAAGAGTGACCGTTTATTAACTGATCTAGATTGATGACTAAGAAGTGCACAAAGACTTTGTTGTTCATTCCTAATCTCCCCGTAGAATTAGATTAGGATTAGCAGCGATTAATGTAAACAAAGTGAAGTCTCGAGGAGTATCCTTAATCCCATGAGATGCCTCCTTGACATGCGAGACGGTGTGCACAGGATGTTTCCTCAGTCTGCTCACTGATAGCCTGATGCAGGAGGATGAATGTGAACTGAGAATGGGCTTTTAGCCTGATTACACTGGTTGACAGGATCAGGTGAGGACACGGTGCAGCAGTGCCGCCTGCTGGTACTGTAGCTGCATTGCATGTAACGATAGAAATGGGATCCCATTGTCGCCTGTTTGTGTTTAAGTCCCAACCATGGACTGTATATAAGATGGACAACCTGGTTCCACCTTCCGCCTGTATACGGCTTTGAAGCCAAAAAGCTCTCGGTAATTCCGAGTTTTTCTCCACCTCCTTGAAACCAGAGCTGCGCAGTAGCGATGCGCGCATTCGGCCGCGCAGTCGCCGAGAGTCCCTGTGATGACGCTCGGCTCAAACAGCGTATCCCCCCGGGAGAGCTACGCAATCCCTGAACGCCCATAGGCTGTACCAGGTGTCAATCATGGAAAACATGAACCCCCCTAATAACTTTTAAAAACGGAGCTGTACAGAAAAAAAAGGACTTGGGCACAAACCAGTCTTACTGTAACTACATGTCAACATCACAAGCAGGGGGGAGAAAAAAATGATGTTCTGTGTAATAAATTTCTAAAGTTTGTCCACAGTCCCAGGCGGGATTTATGACCTGTACTGCAGCCCACCATCAGAGGGTGCTGTTCTCAGAGTGGCTTCACCCAGCGAGGGGGCAGACTCTGTCCATCTTATATACAGTCTATGGTCCCAACCCCCAAAAGTTGAGGAAATGTTCAGTTTTTATCATTCGCACATCATTTTAACCGGATGTTAAAGTTTAAAAAAAAAAAAAACTGTGCAAAGAACAATTTAAAAGTTTACCAATTTTAAAAGAAAATGTGTAAGTATACTCTTTGTTTGCATTTTTAAGTTTTAACGTCAGAATTATCTTTTATTGAGCTAATTTGGAGGGCGTATTTTAGCATCTTTTAGTATTTATTATTTCTTAAAGTTCATTTTATGTCACTTTGTCCTTAGATTTAAATCTATCCTCCAGTGTTTCCTCATCTTTACTTGTAAAATGATGTTTCCTCAGCGTGCATATTCCTGTTTTGACTAAATCAAGCTCATTCAAGTCAAGGTTAAAACTCACTTCTACTGTGCTTGGATTACAGGGATGGGGTGGGGTAGAGTCAGGCATTCTTTCTTTCTGTCTGTCTTTTTTTTCATCTTCTGTGTAAAGCACATTGTCTTGTATGAAAAGTGCTATATGAATTAAGATTAATTGATTGAGGTTGATCCAAACAGTGTATTAAGAGCATGCCGCTGGTTGTCTGTCACAAGGCTGCAAAAGATGTTAAATAGAAATAAAAAGAGCAGGAGAGTTTGGCCATCACTGAAAGGACATCAAATCCCATTCTGAGCAGAAATCCACAGATGAGTTTGGTGATAAAGGTTGGCTGTAACTCATTTTTTTAAATAATCTGCTTCACAACTGCTTGTCATGTAGCAGCATTACTCTTTAAGATACTCAGCACAGTTTTGTTGCTCTAATACTTACTGTGTGAAAATAAATCACAGAGGTAGAACAAGAACTTTATTGAAGCAGATACATTTTAAAAACCTCTATAAAACTTTAAGATAAGGTGTGATTATAACTAAACAACTGCTTAGTTGATGTTTAAGAGAAATAAACCACCAACAAAGATTATCCCAAATACATCCTAACTGACAGGTACAAAAATGACTCCGAAATTCAGCTGTGCGTCACTGTGATGGAGCAAAAATGAAAAAAAAAAATACAACAGTAACAATGGATTTACACAACTGTGTAACTGTCGAGAGGAATTACAGTATATTTAAACCACAATCTTTGTGTATAATTACACCCATTTTAAGTAGGTTTTTGTCATTTAAAAACTCAAGATTTTAATTTCAAGTGTCTGAAAACATTACTGGGACATTACTCATTGATGCAGACCTTTGGGTGGATAATAAAGATGTTTTTTTGTTTGTTTGTTTGTTTTTCCCAAATAAAAGAAACATGTCTTGCATCAGTTTTTTTAAAGCTACCAAACTCAACTGAAAGAAGTGCAAGTGGCAGGGAAATCACTCCACTTTGGGTCGGTAGATGTTCTTTAAGGCTCTTAGCTCTGTGATCAGAGTCTTGTTTTGATTTTCGAGGACAGCCACACGATTCTCAAGGCATCTGACATATTCCTTCTTCTTTCGTCGACACTCCCGGGCAGCTTCCCTAGAAGCAACAACAACAACTGTGAAAAGAAGAGGCCTCTAAATTCTTGGCTTTTTTTCCCAGATAAAACAGAGAGCTCATTCAATCCATAAATCAGTTTAAATCGAAGGAGAAAGGAGGCTCACATTACAAGGAAGGCAAGAGGCTTGTGAGGTCATGTTGGCACACTATGCTTGGATGTTGCTGTTTATGTTTGTGAAATTAGATATATGTGGTACATGGGTTGGGTATCATAAACAAACAAACAAGAAAATGAAGCATCTAGTTTGATTGAGTGATGATTAATGGGAGTAAAATCATGATGAGGGAGGACAGACATTATGCAAAAACAAGAAACGTCGGAGTCAGTGCCAGCAGTGACACGTGGCTGTTTACAGCAAACATACAAAAAGCTCAAAGTCCTCTACAGACAGTGAACAACAAGCACATTAAAGACAGAGTATAATCCACCATGCTTAACAGTAACCCATACTTATATACATACAACTCACAAACAAGCTCCTGGAATTACTTATGCATCACAAAGCAGGTGTTGTGATGTCAGATAAGCTGCAAATTAGCTGCTAAAAACACAGTGTGGTGAAGAACTTTGCCGTAATGAATGACAGCCTTGTGAATTCTATTATTATGCAGATATTGCCATCTACTGTTATTTATACAGTGATTTTTGTATTACACAGCAGAAAGAGCATCACAGGAGAACTGTGCTAAGTTTAAAGTGCACGTGTCCAATAGAGCAAGACTGATGTTTTATTTACAATCAACAAAAGATATTATTTAAGTTTTATGTTAATCAAGTTTCTCAGAAAGTGGTGCCATATTTGTTTTCTGAGTGATAAATAGGTAACCAGCAGCTAGGAAATATACTGTATTAGCTTAGATGTAGTCCCTGCAGGCATACACAGTGTTATTAAAATACATTATTATTGTTTCCTACAAAGCCACCAAACAAAGTTGACTCAAACAGTGATCTTGCTGTGTCGAACTCAGGAGTAGCTCTTCTGCCACTGCCATCACTGGTCAGTTAATCTGTGTTCTTTGGCAGTTGTGGTGGTTTAAATGATCAATTGTGATTTTTAAGTCGACATTGTTGTAACACTTATTAAAACCTATAACCCAGCTGATGAAAACAGGAAAGACTAACCGTCGCAGTTATTGCGGCTTTCCTAGTACCTTTAAAAAAGTCGCTTGAGGCAGAGGATAGGTCCTGTATTTTTGTGTGACACGCCGCTGCTGTTCCAAAGAAGCACCCACAGTTCATCCAAGTTTTGTAGCTTTAATAACATAGAAAACACTTCTACACCGGCCAATGATTACAGGCGCACATCAGATATGATATGTGTACACTTTGCGGCGTGTATCATTGTAAAACAAAGAACATAAGGCGCAGTCAACAAAAATTACGGCAACCTAGACTCACCTCTCCGCCCCCTATATAACCTACCGGCTTTCAAACAGTGCCCACATTACCCTAGCCCAGCGAAACCAATTGCAACCAGACAAAAGCAATTGAACACAGGATAACCAATCAGCAAAGCAACATTATGGCTCCTACAGCCGTCTTTTCAAACTAGAATATGTCTTTACAAATGAAGTCTGATGGTGTCAGAAAGTCTGATCTTACAGCTGTTCTCTGCTGTCAAAAGTAGTCTTTCCTAGTGGAGGGGATTTCTATAATTCTGTCTGAAACTTCAAACCTCAGCCTGTCTGCAGCATCAACAAGAACTCCAGTAACCCATATTTGATCACGTGAACTGCCTGCAAGGACAAGTTTGTGACTATCATTTCATGGCTGCCTCCTGAGGCAATATACTGAGGTAATGCAGAATTGGATTTATTCCTGGTCATTTTGAGTCCAAATCATGCACAAATAAATGTTGAGCTCGATTTCAAAACACCAGAATTACCCTTATCTTGGGATGCAACAAACTCGATATTACAATATAATAATACAATACAAGACCTTCATTGATCCCCAAAAGGTTATTTGTTTGGTGCTAAGATAATCTGCAGGTATTCTGCTTCATATACTTTTTTTTTTGGGTCATATACTTATGATCTTGATTGATCTGAACAAACACCTCCCATGTTATCCTGTTGTGGATTTTAATGCATTATAGCCACTTTGTCTTATGTTTGTACGTTTGGCTGGTCATTGTCTGTTAGAAACTTTGTAAACTGTGCTGCTGCCTGTCTTTGCCAGAGCACTCTTGGCAAAAGAGTTTCATAGAGTTTCTCTCCTGGTCAATTGCAGGAAAAATGAAAATATTGATAGGCTGATTGGTGGCTGTAGTAGTTTATGTTAGTTATGATGAACATTAATGGCAAAAATTCATATGAATCTAATATTAGCTGTCTGTATCAGCTTGCAGTGAGTTTGGGTATGGATGTGTCAGTCCACCTGTTCTTCATCAAGCGCAGTTCTCTCTTCTGTAAAGCATCTCCTGCAGGTTTCTTCCGACTGTCAGCGCTAGCACCTACCATCTCCTGAGGAAGATTGGAGCTGGGGTTGTGCAGCTGGCAGGCAGTCATGTCATCTGCAGGGCCTGGAGACACAGAGCAACATGTATGACACGCTCATATCATCAGATTAGAGTTTAACTCCTGTAAGTCTAGTTTTTGTTCTGGTTCAGTGAAACTCACGGCACGTACAGTAAACTTGCTTGTCATCGGATTTAAAATTCTGAAAGAAATAAAACTATGACACTCTACTCTGTCTAAATGATGCAGTGTGACCTTTCCCCTAAAACAGAGCTCTTATTCTTAGAGGCTCCATAAGAATGCAAAGTTCATCAGAGAACAATAAACAGATAAATTCAGAGTGAGGCGGCTTAATCGCAGATTTCATTTGAACAACTTTTGCCTTATCAAATAAAGAAAAAAAAAACAGACAGTTGGTGCCATTCTTAACTGCTTCTGTTCATTGTTGACCTACTACCAGCAAACACTGGCCCTCATATCATGTAGCACACAGATGACTAAGTCTGTGATGTGCTGGAATTGTGTATTATCACCACATGGCCGGCAAATGACGTCCATGCGCATCTCATTCTCTGGTTCACATTTACATGTCGCTGTTGGGGATCTGTTCCTGGAAAAGCAGCGACGTCAGCTACTGCTGCTTTGTGCTGTGAGTGGGCAGTGTGCTGAAGCATTTCACAAAGAGAGAGAGAGAGAGGAAGACGGGGGAGAGAGAAAGGGAGGTAAACAGACCCTGCAAAAGGATTTCTTACTAGACGGAGGTTGTTGCCACTCATAGTGGAAAATTAAGTTCCATCATTTCTGTCTTTCTTGATTTCAGAGGTATCTACTTATGACTATTTAAAAGATAAACTAGTTTAGAAACAAAGGTTTCAAAAACTTGACATAAAGGAAAAACTATATGCAATCTCTGAAAAGCTTCACACCAGAAACTGTCCACTTAGTCAGTAGTAAAGTCCCTATCGTGATTACCATTACTGCTCACTGTCAATTTTTTTAGATGTTTTTGAATGAGTCCTCCACAGAAAAAAATCTCTCAGCTCAGGCAGTCAAATTAAGAATATCAAACATACCTGTTTCTGTCTCCTCCCCTGTCACAGCCATATTGTATCTACTCCCAGGCTTTCCAAAAGAAACTGTCCCCTCTCAGTCTTCTCTCTGACTGATGTCTTACTACAGTCAACAGTGAGGCTATGCAAGCAATTTACAATTAGAGGCAGTGACATCACCATGACATCACTGGCTCCTGATGTCAACACTATGGTTTGCGCTCTCCCCCAACACAACGCTATGAGTCAGGGGCTCTGCTGATTGTCTCTGGAGGAGGAATTCTCTTAAGCTGAAGGATGTAGCTTCTTGAGGATGGACATCAGCAGAGCCTTGAGATTACTCTGAATAATGCCATTCAATCCAGTGTATTACGTAAATGTAAAATTTTTATCTGTAATAGTACAAATGTTTTATAACCACAGTATTAGAGACACACTGACCACTGTCGTCCTGTTTTCCATTGGCAAATGAGACCTACACTTTGAAGACAGGCCAATATGGTCACTAAGGTGGTATTCAATCAATCAATCAACTTTATTTCTATAGCACATTTAAAATAACCACAAGGGTAGCCAAAGTGCTGTACAATGATACATAAAAACAAATAACACAAAGAACAAGATAAAGCGAGCAGAAATACATTAATGCAAGGGGATAAATAAGTAAATAAATAAGCAGGCTCACGGCAAGTGCTAAAATGATAAAAAACAAAATAACACTAAAAAGTATCAAAAGCCAAGGAGTAAAAGTGTGTTTTTAAAAGGGATTTAAAAACAGGAAATGAGGAGGCCTGTCTGATTTTCAAGGGCAACTCATTCCAGAGCTTCGGGGCAGCAGCAGCAAATGCTCTGTCCCCTCTGAGCTTCAGCCTTGTATTTGGGACCGTCAGTAGCAGCTGATCGGCTGGTCTTAGGGGTCGGGGTGGGCAATAAGGCTGGTGCATCTCAGAAATGTAAGGTGGAGCAAGATTGTTCAGGCTTTTAAAAACAAATATTAAAAGCTTAAAATGAATTCTGTACTGTACAGGGAGCCAGTGTAAGGATGCCAGGATGGGGGTGATGTGCTCACGCCTGTGGGTCTGGGTGAGGAGACGTGCAGCAGAGTTCTGCACAAGCTGCAGGCGGGCAAGGGAAGCCTGGCTAATCCCTACGTACAAAGAGTTGCAGTAATCAAGACGGGTAGTGATAAAAGCATGGATTAATTTTTCCAGGTCAGGTCTTGATAAAATGGGCTTCACCTTCACTATTTGACGTAGCTGATAAAAACTTTTTTGTACCACCCCGCTGATCTGCTTCTCAAATTTAAAATCAGGGTCAAACTTAACTCCCAGATTAGTGATGACATCCTTCAGATAGGGTGAGAGGGAGCCTAGGTTGATGTTGGGGGGGTGGCCGCCACTTGGTCCAAACATCATTACTTCGGTCTTGTTCTCATTAAGGCTGAGGAAGTTAAAAGAAATTGACATGTATTTCTCGTCATTGTCATAGCAATAAAAGCTCCCGTCAACTGACTTGTTTCAAACCCTGCCTGAAAGGAGCTGGCTCCCTCTGCAGGTGTCACAGAGTCTAACAGTACTAAAAAATGCTGTTATATGAATACCTGATGTTTTACTTGAAGATTTACTTGGTGTAACAGGTTGAATGTCACCTTTCACTTTGCATAATTTTATGCTTATTGCCAATTCTAGAACAACTAATAAGCAGGAAAAGCTCTGGAGAGCATAAGGACAAAGTGACAGAGCAATAAAAGATGTAATGTCTTTAGTTTAGCTTTTAAGTGTCCACTGAACAGGCCTGCTTGATGTCAAGAGGTTAATGTTGGAAGGTAATTTTTTTTGTGTTGGGGCACAAAAAGAGAAAGCCCGCTTACCAACAGTCTTTTTGCGGACCTTGGGTACGCACAAAAGGCCAGACTCTTGGGAGCGCAGTGAGCATGCAGGCCCATACGGTTTCACCAAGTCTGTCAGATATGAGGATGCTATACCACTGACAATCTTAGAGGTGAGAAGTAACAACTTTAAGTCTGCTTGTGCCTGTACTGAATGCCAGTGTAATAGTAGTGGAGTATATGCTAAAATCAACCAGCTCTAGTCAGGATATCAATCAAATCAATCAAATTTTATTTTTATAACGCCAATTCACAACAGTCGTCATCTCAAGACGCTTTTCAAAGAACAAGAGCAGGTCTAGACCATGCTCATTGTTTGATGATCAAGATATGTGATGCAGCATTTTGGATCATTTGGAGATCTTAAGTGCTCCATAATTGAATCGGTGGCAAAACCAGGGTAGCAATGTTGCAAGACAACCTGTTGAACTACAAGGCTGTGTTAAGTGTTTAAAGCTCTCTTGAGGCAGGTGTCAGCCCAGAGCCCAGTTTTTACATTTTCTACATAAATGATATTCACACTACATAATACATCTGACTGTAAAAAGTCAGGAGGATACATTTATTTCTATCAGAAAAAAACTCCCACATGTTAAGGACAAGTTCCTCAAAGGAGAGGTTTGTTATGACAAGGAAACCTACAAAAAATGTAAGAAGTAAAAACCTAACAGGACACAGTGTGGGACACAATAGAGTGAACAGACAGATAAACAGTGACACTGACAGTGCCAGAGACTCTGAATGTAAAACTTAGGTTAGGTCAGGGTAAAGTTGGGTAGGGATGGAAGGCAAAGCTTTCAATGTGACAGTCTGCTTACTACCCTCACCTATGCCCATGAACTCTGGGAAATGACTAAAAAAGTAAGATTGTGGATACAAGCATTTGAAATAAGTTTCCTTTGAAAGGTACCTGGGCTTAGCATTAGACAAAGGGTTATAAGCTCAGGGGTAGCTCGGAATGGAGCCACTGCTTCTTTACATCGATGGGAGTAAGCAAAGGCGGGTTCGGCTTTTGATAAGGATGGCTTCTAGTCTGGACTCCCTCTGGGGATGTTTTGGGCACATTTGAATGGGAGGAGACTCGGGAGTAAGCCCAAAGCTCACTGGAGGGATTAAGTATCCCACTTGGCCTGGAAACACCTTTAGATCACAGATGAGGAGCTTGAAAGTGTTGTTGGGGAGAGACTTAAGCCAAGTTGTTTAGACTGCTGCCCTTGTTACCCGACCCCAGATAAGCAGAGAAAAAATGGATGAATGGGTGAGGTAAGGTGTTGGTTCAGTTCAAAGCATACCTGTTAAACTAAAATTTGTCACGATATACTATATATGTCTTTTGTATTAGAAATGGTTGGCATTGTCAAGTAAAAATATGTCAGTATTAACAAATATTTATAAAACTATACCCCAAGCACTTTTAAGAAATTATGTCTCTGACCTTGTTTCATAATTTCCTGTACTCATATGGACCTGCAGTTGACCTACAACCATAAAGATGTACAATTCATACTGTTCAAAAGGAAAGATTTTGTTTATAATATAGTATAATAAAGGTATAAAATCCATTTCTAATCCTCTTAAAAAGAGGCAGCAAAGCCAACTTCTGCACACAGGTGTTTGATTATTGAGTGTTACCTGGTTGGAGATACACACACTGGTGCTGAATGGTGTCTGATGGAGGTTGCAGTATGTGTGAGCAGGTCATGCCAGCATATGGATAGTTTTGTGTCCCCCAAGGCAGGATGTGGTCAGGACCAGCTTGACAAGACACAACTGAGGGGTTATACCACAAAAATGGACATGGGTCAGGTTATTTTATTACACAGTTTTTATATGACATTGGAGACAGAATAATTTCAAGTAAAAGCTAAAAGCAAACATGTATTTGTAAAAAAGAAAAATCAAACTTTTGTCATATATTGCTGGGGGTTGTCAGAGATGAGTCAAATGCAGCTTTTAAGGCATTCAGCCATTTCTGTTAATTCCTCATTCTGTATTGCAGTTCATTCATTATACCAGATCCCTATTTTATCTTTTATTTGAGACTTATTTCTTGAGACTGCCTGTGTATTTTAATAGCTAAATTAAAATCAAAATTTGGGGATTATTTTCTCTATGAATTTGGAAACAGCAGTATCAAGCAGATTTCATGTAGTATTGACTGGCAATTGTTAAGTATCAAACACTAAAAAAGGTACATCATTTACAGGTTATGCTTTTAAAAACCTTGAATAGAGCAGAGGAGGAAAATTTTAGACTGTCATGAAACCCATTGAATGTAACTGAAAACAATGTTTTACTGACATGTACAGATGCTTGGGGATGCACTGAATGAAAAGATCTGCATGTGATACAAAATACAAATTCAGCTAATAGCCAATTCTACTGTCCTTTTCCAATTGGTTTCAGTTGCATGTTTTATCTCATGTTATGTTGCTATTTAATTCCTTGTCTGGGCAGTTGACCCAAATTAAACTTTATTGTAAAAATACAACAGTTGAAAGATCATTCAGGCCTTCAGTACAATACCTTTGAGTATGTACACCAATTTAAATGTCACTCTTGTGCACTCAGTGCAGTACAATAGGCAGTAGAATCAGAGTTGTATGTGGCCCTAAATGTACACTCCTGATCAAAATCTTAAGACCAGTTAAAAAATTGCAAGAATTTACATCTAGCACTGCTGGACCTTAAGATGGTTCTTAGTAGAGCTTCAAAATGCAAAAAGAAGAAATGGGAATAAGAGACCAAAAGTTTCGAGCAGGCAATTTATTGAAAACAAATATTTAACTGAAATCGGCTGTTCATTAGCTGATCAAAAGTTTAAGTATCAAAAACTGACTCAGTATTTAGTAGCTCTACCATTATTGTTGATTAATTAAAAAATTCATTTTAGCATGCTTGATGCAAGTGTTTCCAAAAGGCTAGTGGGAATGTTGCTCCAAGTGGTGAAGATGGCTTCACGAAGGGCATCCACTGCTTGGAACTAATGTTCATTTTTATAAATGTCCCTTGCCATCCATCCCCAAATGTTCACAATTGGATTTAGATTAGGGGAACATGCAGGATGGTCCAAAAGAGTAGTGTTGGAGTGTTGGAAGTTGCCAGTAGTGTTGAAAGCCATCAGGACCATCAAGGTTAATTTTTTTCTCATAAGAGAATAAAACTTTCTTCCACCTTTGAATGTCCCATGTTTGGTGTTCCCTTGCAAAGTCCAAACGGGCAGTTTTGTGGCGGTGAAGGAGACATGGCCTTTGAAGACATTTTTTTGTTTTGTTTTTGAAGCCCTTCCTTTGCAGATGTTGTCTGATTGTTATTGGGCTGCAGTCAGCACCTGTAATGGCCTTAATTTGGGATCAGGATTGTACCACGTCTTGACGGACACACATTCGGATCCTCCGGCTCAGTGCTGGTGAGATTTTTTTGGGTCTACCACTTGATTTTTTTGTTCCATAACCCTTCAGATCTTTTAAGAAATGAACAATGACTGTCTTACTGCATCCAACCTCAGCAGCGATGGCACGTTGTGAGAGGCCTTGTTTATGCAGCTCAACAATCCTACCATGTTCAAAGGCAGTGAGCTTTTTTGCCTTTGCCATCAAGAGATGTTGACAGTGTGACTGCTTGACAAGAAATGACATGGAATCCAAATTTTCGCACAGATTTGGGCTTTTAGAGGCTGTGGTCTTAAACTTTTGATCAGCTGATGAACAACCTGTTTCAGTTTAATTGTTGTTTTCAATAAATTGCCTGCTCAAAACTTTTGGTCTCTTGTTCCCATTTCTTCGTTTTGCATTTTAAAGGTCTACTAAGAACTGTTTTAAGGTCCAACAGTGCTTAATATAAATTCTTGCAACTTTTTAATTAGTCTTATGATTTTGATCAGGAGTGTATTTTACCAGAGTCAAATTCCTTCTATGCGTACACATACTTGGCCAATAAAGCTGATTCTGAATTGACAGAGAAACAAACTTACAGCCCTGGTTGTTCCTGCCCTGTGGGTAAACAGGTGACCGATATAAAGGCACAGGTGCATAAAGGTGGCGTACTTCTTCAGAGCTGATTTGACTCATTCTGGCAGAGGCTGCTGATCCAGACATTCACTTGACTTTCTCCCACTAAATGAAAAAAGGTTAGAGTTTCTATAACTAACCAGCAGTGCAAATATAACAATGTTGTTATAAGTATGACAGTGATAGAGAGCTGCTGCTAACTGCTTATACAATCTATTTTTAATATTACTCTATAAGGAGTTTTCAAAGAGTTTAATATTTTATTAGACAGATCATGTTATTTTTTCAGACCGTCTATTTATTTTTCACTCTAAGATGTGTATTTCACATAAAAGTCAGTGATATCCGTACGTTGCTCTAACGTTTATGTATAAGCCTTTTGTTCCTGCTATTTCAAATGTGCTCCACATCAGAGCGATTAATAGAGTTATCTAAACTGCAGTGTGCTTAAGTTAAATCTTATAACATATTGACTTTAATAGTCACAGTAACACACGATTAAGATGATGTGTCTAATATTTTAACTAGCTAGTTTCTACGGTTGCTATTTGGTCAACATTAGCCGGACGCTAATGGAATAACTCACAGACCAACACCTTTAAAAAATAAAATACATGGTCTTTTTTTACTGCCTCTGTACTAACATACAGATATATTTTCCCTCAACTAGAATTTCCAGCGACGCTTACCGTAGTAACAAACTGCTATCATTTACAATCCTATTAACAAAGATACACAAACGTTTCACTTCAGGTAGTTTAAAATGTATGCTAGTTTATAGACGGTCATATAAGAACCATTGTGATTGGTTGACCCCCCCCCCCCCCCCGTCGTTTTAAAGGAAATTATTTATTTATTTATTTAAACAAACTAGTTTTACTCAATCCGTTGATTAGTTTTTGTTACATGTAGTATTAGCCTATCTATTTTACTTTGAAATAACTCTATACTTACTGTATTATACCATACACTACCGTTTTATACTGTTTTGATATTATAATTTTAAACAGTCTTTTTTATTATTATTATGACCTTTAGTTACCAATAAATTTGTTTCTATTTGCTACCTAATCTAACTTAGACATATTTTCATATTATTGCCCATGTCCATAATGATAATCAGGCATATAATATAGGGTTTAACCTTTTATAAGTACCAACCTGGTACTAGTGGTACTAACTAACCAATGTTTTGTTTAAAGTAATGAGGGAAAAAAAATCGGGTCCTAATAGTGCTAAATAGTCTGTATAGGTGCATTACATCTGTATGCTTCATAGACAGGGGTCTTGTGTAAACGAGTTTCAGTATGGCAGTTTTATAGTTGTAGTACAATTAAACCATCAAAAAAGACAACAGTGTTTTTGTTCAGAGTTTCGGATTTAATAAAACCGAACTACACATTTTTTGATGAAACAATACACCTCATACGATTTTGCAGTGAATATGTATTTCCAAACAATGGCAGCATAAGGACATTTTTTTAAGAGAAAAGTCTGTAGAGTTATTCGTACTATCATCCTTTGTGGGTTGTTGTAAATTACATTTTTGTCAGGTAAACATCGATGGACATGTTTGGGACAGACATTCCGAGGTTTGTTTGAGGTAAGGTACCTGCACATTTGACCCAAACTGTTCTTACAGGACACTTAGGACGTATTTTCTCTGGTACCTGTGGCCATTTGTCATGCTCAATTCCTCAGAGCTTTCCGTAGTTTTAGGGCGATACCATGGATATACGAGTGTTCTTCTGACTTACGTCCGTGTGCTTTCTGTTTTTGTTATCATACAACGATCTAAGATGCATTAATTTTGATTTGATGTATTTCAAAAGCAATAACGACGATATAAGTTTGACGATCGTAACGGGCACTTTGAGGCTGATCGTAACGCTCCCCTACAGACTACAATGGTATGATCCAAGAGGTAGGGAAGACCTGTGAGTGAGACAAATCAAGCCGTTGACAGCGGAGAAACTTGAGTTTTCTAACAAATAAATACTAAACAGGGGTGAGTATTCTTTTAAAGCCCATGCTTGCCTTTAGTAACCAGTTTTGTTTAATACCAGCGCCATGTCTTGCCAAGCTGTCAGTCCAATGATGTGGAAATTGCAGAGAAGATGATCATTTGCTGGCGATAGCAGAGCTACTGTTAGCTTGCTGCTAGCTTGTTAGCAGTTAGCTTGATGGTTCAGAACTACAGGGGCTCGATCAGGAAGAAGGAGCCTGTTAGCTTCTAAGCTAGCCAGCCTATTTTAGGATTGGCATTCCGCTAGCCGGTAACCTTAATTTGGCCGCCTTTAACATGAGCGTAAGCAGGTTGTTTGTTTCGTTAGTGGTCAGACATGTGTCCATGTGAAGTAGTTATTCAGAAAAACTGAACATGATGATGTTGAAATGTTTCCCTGACGTGAGATCAGCTGGTATGAATGAGGAGAAACACAAGGCCTAGTCTCAGGTAATCTGTGGTTCTTCTAGCTCAGATCAACAGCTGCATGTATTGAATCATAGGCGGACTCATTGATAGATTTTTCTGCTATAATAATATTGATACCTGAGAGTTTATTCTCTGAGTTGACTGCCCCTAACATCAGTAACACCTACATGAACTTGAACTCAATTTTAGGCTCCTCTGCTGCTGTCATTGTTATTTTCAGCAGCTGTTTTTAAAGCAGACTATTTTCTTATTAGACTTACATCTGTGACCTAACCCCACGCTCAAACATCAGTGATAACCTGCCAATCTTCATTACTTCAGTTCAGATTATCAGCCTTTTTCAACAGGGACATCCACAGCACATCTGTTTGGCCAGAGGAGCTTGATAGCCAGTTTATCTGTTCTCCCCAGACAGACAAATCCAGAAACCTACTTTTCATAAAACAAGTTAACCAACACAAATAAACAATTTCACACACAGTAAATCATGAAGAAAATTAAAAGTATTAAAAACTGCACTAAGGAAGAGAGTGTGATACAAAAGTAATTAAGTCAGTTATCGTGCAGAGATGCATAGTCTTATCAGTATAATGTTGATACAAGCAAAATGCATGTATCCCTTGTGATCCATCTTTGGAAATGTTGACAATCAATTATTGATTACTCGTTCAAGAAGAGCTCAGTTTTTTTCTTTTTACAAAAATAACTTTAAATGTTTTTTTTTTTTTTTTTTCAGTCCAATTAATGGCATCATGACATAATTAGCATTCTTATCGGCATCCACCCTTACAAGATCATATAACCATCATCTTTCTAAATGACAACCTAGTCTCCTCATCACCCATCAACAGCACATCAAATCCAAATCAGTCATTGACTTGTGTTATATTATTGTATCATGATATTTAGGACACATTTATCTCGCCCTGATGGATAACATTTTTTGTTTTTTTTGTTTTTTTTAATATGTTCAGAACAATCAGTCACATGATACTAGAAGAGTTGTCAACATCCCTAGTGTAGGGTAAGCAGATAAAAACTTCAAGTCAGTATCAGCAGAGATGCACATTTCTGCCAAATTATGAAGCAGTTAAGTGGCATATTATTCACACAATAAAAGCTTATTCACTCTGACAATAAACCTCATCTTATTAGCTGTATGGAAGTATCTTAAAGTGTCGGAAACAGACAGCAGAATAGTCTTTTGTAATTTTTGTTAAGCACAGGTGATGTGAGTTGGAACCAAACAAAACCCTTTAAGACCACCAATTTAAGTGTGCATCTCAAAAACGTTCTCATGAACAGTATCAAGAGTTTCTGAAAAATAGTAATGAAAGCGGTTGTACAAGCGAAAAACTGTCATGAGCCCATATTATGGTCATTGGCATAGAAATGTAGAAGCAAATAACTGAAGGTAAAAATGCTTGAGAAAAAAATCGTTAAATCACAGTTTGATTGTATAAGTGCAGTTTTCTGAAACTTAACCGACAGTCACCTCTTACTGATGCCATGGTCTGCCCTGTGTTGTTTCTACAGAGTAGCACACTGTTTGAGTTGTGGCGGTACATCAGTTGATGTTTCTATCTCCCCTTGGGTTATTTACTCCAAATGTTAGCTTTAATGTTAAGGGATTAACTCAGTGAATATATTTGGAGGAATATGTTTGCTGAAACTTTCCAAATTGTTGAATCACTAATAATGAAAATGAAACTAAACAGGACCAACACTTAATATGTTTATTAATCCTGTACTCACTTCTGTATTCCTGTGCCTCTTTTCTTCTGTCAGGCTGAAAGAGAAACTGTACAATGTCCTTAAAGCCACGGGTGGTGGATTTTGACGAGACATGGAACAAGCTACTGACGACAATCAAGGCTGTTGTGATGCTCGACTATGTGGAGAGAGCCACGTGGAATGACCGGTTCTCGTATCCTATCCCAATGTAGCTGTATGAGCAGGATTTACAGATAAGACCCCACACAATTGTCCAGTGCAGGAAACAGGTGATAGATTTCATAAAGGCTTATTTATTTGGTTCTGCACACATTGTGTAATGGTCAAGTTTTCTCGTAGTCCAATCTCGAGAAAAGATTAATAATACAACACGAGTTGTCAGTGTCATGCAGGTCCTGTATCTATTACTTCATTATGTGTATGCTTTGATTTACACTCCCTTTTTTCCTGAGCACTGGAGCCAGTGACATTTATGCCTTGTGCGTTGCATACCCAGAACCTTTGGGTGAAAGACTATACACAGAGACCAAGGTGTTTCTTGAGAACCATGTCCGGCAGCTTTACAAGGTAAAATAAGACTCTGTAAAGCAAATTGAATTTCATCTTCATAATGTAGCCCCTTTTTAACACTGCCATGTCTGTGTGTTTTGCAGAAAGTCCTGGAATCAGAGGAGAAGGTTTTAGTGATGTATCACAGGTACTGGGACGAGTACAGCAAAGGAGCGGACTACATGGACTGCTTGTACAGGTAAAACTGATTCATGATCGAAGGTGGTTCTCTACTCTGGTTATACAAACACAATTTTAAAGAGGAAGCAATAATTTTCAGGAGAAAGATGTCAATATTTTCAAATAAAATATGCACATTGGCAAAATTAATAAATAATAATAATTCATTTTATTTGTACAGCGCTTTTAAAAACACTCAAAGACGCTTTACATAGTACGTAAAATTCAAGATAATAAGACAAAGACATGAAAACAGTAAAATTGACACAATCAACATAGAGATGTACATATATGAAGAACAGTATGTGCATTAATAATGCACATGAGATTATCTTGATATTGCACAAAGTGGCTGTATTGCACTTGTGTGTGGATGTCTCTGTATTTGTTTGAGAGTCAGGTGGTCTCATGAAAGGACCTGTCCCCTTACTCTGCTGCTGTGTGATTTGTGGGACTTGTAGCTCTAACCGGGGGGCAACAGTGAGATCAGATTGTTGTGTTGGTAGGAGGAGACCTCGATGACCATCAGAGACTTTCTGAGGCACCCAGCTCCTGTGTGTCTGTGCAATGATGTGCCAGGCCCTGCGCACCACTCTCCCCAGCACCTGTGGTCCATGATCGTGCAGCAGTGTACCAGGTGGTGAAGCAGCTTGTCAGGATGCTCTCTATGGTGCCCCAGTAGAATTCCCTGAAGATTCGAGGCCTTCGGCCAAATTTGTTTCTCGACAACTGAGGCATAGTCACTGTGGGGCTTTTTATGGTGGACAAGTACCATGTTGGGTACTTGTCAGTGTGCATTGCCAGGTATCTGAAACTGTTCACCATCTCCACCACCGTCCCCTTGATGGTAACTGGAGGGTATGTACCTGCTCTCCTCCTGTAATCTACAGTAAGATCCTTAGTCTTGGAGATGTTCAGAGAACGGTGGTCACCTCCTCTGTGAAGGCTGTCTCAGTCCATCACTGCTGTAATGTCTGCAAACTTGTGGTCTTTGCACCCTGTAATGCCACACAGTTGTGGCAGCTGTCTTCCCGCCTGATGTACTCACACATAACATACAGTGTCAGTTAGTAATCTTGCTTAATCCCTTAATTTTTCATCATACATTAGACTGCAATTTCAAAATGGAGCAAAACACTTTTTTTTATTAGTCTGTCATGTTCTAAGTCTGTTTTCTGAGCGTATGTGGAAACTGTTTCCCTTACATTTTACAAGCCTGACTTAAAGCAGGAAACTTGAGCCAAAGCAGCCGTCTGTTTTGGTCTGTGTTGGTCTGTGTTGAGTCAGTGAAGTAAGCTTTGTACACTGAGTGTACCAATTCAATCAAACTGCAGTTTGCCAGTTTACAGTCTTTGTACTCCTAAAATATTACCTTGAAAAGTGTAGTGTGAGGTGACAGCAGGCATTAGGTGTGTCCTGATTTATTCTCAATCAATATTCCCTTGGGGAAGCTTTTAGGTCTATTTTTATGCGTACTTCCCACCAGTCTGTCTTTGCATACATATGCCTTTGTAATTAATTATGTCACTGTGAGCAGGAGAAGAGGAGGCTGCTGGCTTCAGTGATGACATAGCAGAGTTCAGTTCTTAATATAGAAGAGTGTAGTGTGCTATTTCCAGCTGATGTCTGCATGAATGCATACTGTATGTTTGCATCCTGTCAAACACAAATTATGTCGTGGAGGTTGGCTTCAAGTGCGAGCTGAATCAAAATAGCCTTCAATGGAAAGCCTGTCTAAAGGGCCTCCTGGTTAGTGTACTGAGGTCAACACGAGCTGTTAAATTAGCTGTCCTTTAACTCATGCTGCTCGTGCCCTGTGTATATCAAAGTTGAATGAATCAGGGCTGAGTGTAATCATTACAATGCCAACAGAGAAATACACACAGCTGCAAAAACTACACATAACATCAGCCTAAGGACCCTACAGCCAAAATACGAGTGTTGGTCCTTCTGGCTCGCTGTCCTGCTTCTAAGTTACTCTGTGTTTCCTTTGAGAAATGTTGAAACAGCGCAGAAAAGTGTTGAAACACTCTTTACTGTACATATTTCAACATCTGTGCAGCTCTCGTGATTTCATTACCCCACTTAAAAGAATATTCTCTTTGGTGGAGTGTTAAAGTTTTCCGGTGAGGCACAGACAAACTGTTTTTCAAAGCAGTCTTGAGAGCTGTTTACTATCTACATCAGACAACACGATTACTCCATCTGCAGCCCAGCACTGAGCAGGTAGTGTGAAGTGATAATATCAGAGCTTTTGCTGAAACTGCTGCCTACAAAGGGTTAATGAGAGAGTAATGAAATACAGCCATACTGTAGATGTGTAGGCTGCATGACCCAAACAATGTGCTAAAGTGCACCACAGAGCTGCCGACTCATTATGTCTTCTCTGAATCCTTTTACATGACTCAGAGTATTTGATTTGAGTAATAGTATTCTTAAACTGCTAATACACCTTTGTGAGTACATAACCCACTTCTTCATATCTCTTCATAGCAGTCTGGATGACTGTGACTTTCTTTTGTGATTCACCAGTTTCTCTTTTCTGAAATGAGCTTGTTCCACAGAATCTCTGACAAGTGACAACTATTTTCACAAAAAAAGGCTGACACTGTCACTGATCAAACCTCATACATTGTGTTGGATTTGAATTTTATCTCTATAAGTTTAATGATTTTTTCTCCCTAGTGTTTCACTGTTGAAGGAGATTGTAGCCACTTATTCACTGAATCTCTGCAACAGTGCTGGATCAGAGTTGGCCATTACTATGACTTTGTATACAGTGCACCCTGAGGCGGCCCAATGTTAGTGTCCCAGTGTATGATTTCATATCACTCTACAGCTTTGCAGAAGCTCCATATACATGCACTCTCACACATATGTGTACAAACTGATGCTCCAGTGCTACACTTGCCCCAATCTTTTATGTGTACTAATTGCCTAGCTAGTTGTACTGAGACTGTGGAGGTGGCTCAGAAAAATACTACATCCATAAACTGTAGGCGGCGTAATGATTAACCCACTTTCTGGAATCCCAGGTGAAATACCTGCACGAGATCTGAGATTTCCAAGTGAGAAGTGATTCATCAGCTGTAGCTGTGCCCAGTTTAACCAGGCATGTCCTTTGTGACATCTACAACTGCGATAAAAACAAAGTCGTGCTGGGCGTACAGGGCTTGAATTTGACACTGAAGCCAAAGTACGTGGGACTCCAAAAGCTGAATGAGCTGCAAGTGGTGACCCCCCACAGTGCAGTGGTTTAAGTGTCTCTTGACTAGCACACACAGACACAGACACACACACACACACCAAACACACTCTTTTTCTCCCTCTCTCAGAATCCTCTTGATGGTGTTGATGTTTCAGCATCTTGACCACCTGTCCCTCTCTGTTCAGGTATCTCAATACTCAGTTCATCAAGAAGAACAAACTAACAGAGGCAGACCTGCAGTACGGCTACGGTGGAGTGGACATGAATGAGCCGCTGATGGAGATTGGAGAGGTATTTAACCATCTTTTTTTTCCCTATAGTCTTAAAGGTCCCATAATGTTATACTTTACAATGGGCCAGATTTAAATGAAATCTCTTTTGCACAAACGTACATCCATGATATGACAAAGTTTTTGAGTAATGTTTAACTCAGCTAACAGGTATGAAACCAAACCAATTAACGGAGAGCTCTAAAGTTTGGCAAAAAACCCTCAACTGTCATCTGGTAAAGAAAAAAAAGGTCTTTCACCTTTAGTCACACCCAAACTTTGGAGCAAGCCCAAAAAATAAATAGTTATCCAGAGTGGAAATCCACCTCGAAATGAGGAATAAAAGGCAAATTCGTGAACTGAACAAGGTTATGGTTGCATTATGTTCAAAGTCTGGTCAGTGTCAGGGGAAATGAACAAAACTTAACCATAATGTGTTTAAATGTCACATAAGCAAAGAGAAAATTGAAGCCCCAGTTAGGGCTGCACGATATATCGTTTTATCGTTTAAGCCTCGTCATCGCGATGTACGTGTGTGCAATAGTCACATCACAGAGCCTGCGATGTTGGAGGCGAATGAACTCCGTTAATTTCAAGGGTAGCTGACTAAGATACACTGCATTTGACTCTGCATGTGCTGTGCAGCGATCCACCAATCACCTTCGTCCTTTATTCATTTGCCAATCAAACTCAGTTCTCAGTTGCCAATCAGACTACCCTGCCAGCTGTCAATCAAAATCAGAAAGGAGGAAACCACACCCCTGCACATGTTCTGCACATGGCTGCTGGTGTTGAGCCGAGAAATGCATGTCCACTGAAAATTACTTTCGGAACTTTAGTCATGACTGTTAAGCCCAACAAATAAGAATTGTATGGGTTTTAAAATTTATATTTCCGTGGACCAATCTGCTCTACGCGGTGCGCGTTTTGCAAGGTGCATGCAATTCTTGGAGGACATGCGTTTCTCGGCACAACGCCGGTAACAACAACAACGATTGTTAAATGAGCAAATAACAAGAGAAAACCACCAAAGATGAAGATTTGTTGCCAAAAGAAAAGGAAAGTCAGTTATCTGAAATTATTTCGGTTACAAGATGGATGATGTCAACCAAAACACGTGTTCTGTGATCATCTGTCACCACAATAACATCCCAGCACAATAAAAGCTAAAAATATCTCTAAGACAGACTGAAGCCACCCTACTAACATTCACAAAAAGAGGTAAGATCAGTGCAGGTTAACTGTCCTCAAGACTTCAGCGGTGCAGCTTAACATTAAATGCTATTCAGGTCATCTGGTGAAAATTCCTGTATTTTTTAATATCGCAATATATATCGCAGGGTTGAAAACAATCGCAATGTTAGTTTTTTCAATATTGTGCAGCCTTTGTCCCAGTTGATAACTTGAATAATACTTTTGTTTCTGCAAGCAATATTGATGAACTTGGGAAAGCAAATTGATGTCAGTATTGCATATATTGTTACATAAAGTGTTCTATTTTCGTGCCTCGCCGGAGACGTGCCGCAGACGTGGCGTAAGTCGGGTCTGCCGCGCTGACAAGGCGTTCCCAAGCACAATTTGGTATTTTGGTGAGCGGCGCAGCCCGGCGTAGGTTTCCCCCCTCCCTAACTCAGCTCCTCCCAGCGGCGTGAGTGGTAAGAAGGGAAGAGAGAGGGCGTGGAGTGGGTTTAACACAGCCGAGACCTGTATTGACCAATAACATCAGCTCCTCTCCTAGCCTTTAAATCCGCCACCGGCGAGGCGTATTACAATTTTCATGAAGTAGACAAAGAGATCAAGAGATGTCTGAAGACAGTAATGCCACACGATGGCGACAGAAGGCAGCTCCTCAACAAGTGTCGCTGTAAACCAGGGGTGTCAAAGTCAAATGGACGGAGGGCCAAATAAAAAATTTAGCTACAAGCCGAGGGCCAGACTGATCGAATGTTCATTGAAAATTTTTTAAATGACGCATATAGTCTAGTGAACCTAATTGAACCTACTGAAAACCTAACAAATAAATTCCAATATGATCAGATAAATAACGCAATATTTTCTTATGGCTCTGTCAGTAATCTTTAATTTTCAACAGACACAAAAGACAAATTTCCTTTATATAAAAATCCCCATAACATGAACATTAAATGAAAGAAACCGGTGTTATTCAAGGCACCATCAGTAGCCTATATTTTCTATTTTAGCAAAAGTGGGCTAAATTTACTTCAAAGAAAAAAATAATAATAGCAATTTTCTATCATCCACTCAACTGAAATATTTTTAAAATATAGTTTTAATTCCTCGGCCTTCTGTAGCCTTTGTTCCATGTCCATATTCTTGTTTTTGTCCGCGTGTTTGGTTTCATAATGTCGTCTCAGATTATACTCTTTCAGTACCGCCACACTTTCTCCACACAGAAGACACACAGATTTTCCAGCTACCTCCGTGAACATATACTCCGACTCCCACCTTGTTTGAAACCCCCGGTTCTCAGTGTCCACCTTCCGTTTTGCCATTTTTGATGGGTATCTGAAAGTTAATTTTACTGTTATGCTGACGACTGCTGTGCTAATAAATATTGAAATGAAGCAGCCTACTGCTCCGTGCGTCACCGTTGCATTGTGGGAAATGTAGTATTGGTGCGTGTAAAAGATCTGCGGGCTGCCGGCTTGCTGCGGTCTGCGGGCCGGTTCTAATAATAAATCAAGATCATCCCAGGGGCCGTAAAAAACCTTCTCGCGGGCCGGATGTGGCCCGCGGGCCTTGACTCTGACATATGTGCTGTAAACGCTGCAGAGGACGTCCTTCACACTCTCTCATATAAGCACAGATGGATTTGATGTGTGTAAGTTTGCACCCACTAGTAAGACAAACACCCTTTTCCACAAATAGAAACACTTACATGAAGTTGCATATATCCAAACCTCACGTGACATAGGTGGGTTGTGCGCACCGATCGCATCATAAATTCCAGTAATGGCATTAAAATCGGAACCATCTGTGCGTAATGACGCATCACGCTCCGTGGCCTTTCTTTCATAGATGTTGGCATATAAAATAAATTTTGCTCACAAAACTGAATATTATAATATTTGTATGTAGGCTTAAAGTAAATAACTCATCTGATCACTGAAACAAATCATCTGTTCAGCCGCCGCAGCTGCAGCAGGACGGGGAGAGGACACGGAGACATGTCCAGGTCGAGCTGTGCGAGAAATAAGAGGAAGAAAGAAAGGGAGGGAGACGAATTACATATCTCATTAACTTCATTATGTGTGTCTAAGATATTTAATTTAATTTAATGCGGTTTCAGCTGTGTTGATTCACTCAGGTTGTGTGTCCAAACGCGTGCCAAACGCGCTCATCAGATCAGATATAGATCAGAATATATCGAAATAGATCTAAATGTATGTGCTGACTCAGATTATTAGTTGTTGATGATTATTTATTGCACTGAAATGTGCCTGACACCGTGCAAACCTGCAGGTGAGGCATCAGTGACGTATGCCGATACGCCGCAGGTCTACCAAAATACTACTAGACCAGCAGTGCTTCGCCTGCGCCAAAGGCTGACCAGGTTTGAATCGGCAAGCTTTCAGCGCGCTTTATATGCCACCGGCGAGCACGAAAATGTCACCAGTCGCCAGCTGATCCTGTCGACACCTCCCCGTGCCTCGCCACCACGCCCAGCTTGGCTGACCTCGGTGCGCCTCAGTCCACAGCGAAAATACCACTGCGCGGGGTCCACCACCCTCCGCCGCCTCACCGGCAGACACGAAAATAGAGCCCAAAGACTCAACAAACTTTAAGACTGTAATCACATTATTGTGTTTACAAGTTCACATTTCAACCAAGAAACAAAGCAAATCATTTCAGTACTCAAGATCTGTCTGTTTATAATGTTGCTCCTCCAGGTTTCTTTTTCTTGAAATAGTCTCAGCTTGATTTATTCATTTATGAACATGGGGAGCTGGTATTGAAGAGGGTGACAATAAAATATAAAGTCTGTAAAAATAAAGACAGAGCAAGCTTGTGGATGAGAGACAGAGCAATGAAATAGTTGCAAGGTATGAAAACTGCCTGTTCAACTTCCTATTTTGAGCTTTAGAGAAACAGAAGTTTAAGTTTCACAGAGACTTCAGAAAAAAGAGAGAAACTCGCTCACCACAGAGGACTGGACTTAACTCAAAGTCCTGACTTGTCTTCCATTAAAAAAAAAAATTGTTTTCATAAATATTGTATCGCAGACTTGTTATTTTCATTTCTTTACAACTTAAACTTCAGAATTTTTCCTAGAGATTTGTATGGAGAACAATAACAAAAGACAAAATCTAACTAATGAAAAGGACGGAGTTGAAGTAACTGGCTGTCATTCCTGTGGCACCATCTCCTGACATCATGTCGTCTTTTTGTCTGCTGTTGCAGTTGGCGCTCGATATGTGGAGGAGGCTTATGATTGAGCCCCTCCAGGCTGTCCTCATCCGGATGTTGCTGAATGAAATCAAAAAGTATGTTTTCTACAAGTCTTGAAGTCATCAGAGACAGTGTGTGTGTTAGCCTGTTTATTTATTAATATGTTAACTTACTATTGATCATCATTTCAGGACAAATTTAACCTACAGTTACAAATTTATACATATAGTATTAAATTTAGACCTAACACTTACTTGTTTCTGTGGAACAGTGATCGGTGTGGCGAGAACCCCAACCAGAAGGTAATCCACGGGGTCATCAACTCCTTTGTTCATGTTGAACAGTACAAGAAGAAGTTTCCACTAAAGGTGAGACAATAAGTAACAAGAAAGTTCATATTCTGAGGGTTTTTACCTGGTCATAAATCAAAATGTGGAAAAAAGAGGGTCAGATCTAAAGATATGAAGGTGACTCTCACTTTGTTGTTGTCTATTTTGTTTTCCTTAAGATGTGCTGTATGTGTTCATTAATGATTACACTATCTTCTTTGTGTTCTGCAGTTTTATCAGGAAAACTTCGAAGGGCCATTTCTGATAAAAACAGGAGAGTATTACAAACAGGAAGCCTCCAATCTACTGCAGGAATCTAACTGCTCACAGTACATGGAGAAGGTAGGAGAGATGGACAGATAGTGCAAGTATGTGCATGCAGTGTGTTGAAGCTATCATGTGAGTTGAGAAGCTGATTTAACTCGGTTATACCCTGAAAAACTGAGCTCAGCTGCTCTGCTCTTCATCTCTGTGAAGTTTTTGAGGACTGACTCTTCAACATCCATGCTGTATATCAACTCAGAGAGTGTGAGTGAGTGTGTGTGACTGACACTCACACACAGTCACTGTGTGTGTGAGTGCGCCATCAGGTCATGTCAGTCCACCCCTCTGACATAAGAGTTTTAATCCCAGTATTAGCGCTGCTATTACCCGCTAAAGCTGACATCACAGACCCCCACATAACCTCTGTCTGTCCCTCTCCATTTGATCTTTGTCTCTTCTCTCATTCTGGCAATAATCTGATCCTCTGGTAGTTTTATCTCTCCAGCCTGTAAACAGGATCATTGTTAAAGCTGTACTGAGACATTGGAGCCTAATGTGATATCATCATAGCAGACTCTGTGAGAAAGTTCAGCCCCCTCCTGCACAGACTCATTCATTGCTATTTATCTTAACCAGTTAATGCCTAAGAGTGTGTTTGGGAGAGGATTATATCGGTTTTCTGTTTGCCCTGAGTTATTCTTAAACTCTGACCATCAAGTTTTTGTTGGTTTTAAAATTCTTCCACACTCAAACAATACTTTACTTTGTATTTATGATGGTTGTTTTTGAAGAACATAAAAAAGGGATCCAGGTATTAGTTAAATATGACAATCAGTAAGGGTGTGCCAGCTTAGGCACCTCACGATTCAATCACAACTCAGGGTGCTATTGTTCGATTATTAAACTATTATTACGATTTTTACGATTATCACTATTATCAATACCCATAAAGGATTTTTTTTAAACTAGGTATATTTGTCAGCATCCATTAAACAAAGTAAACAAACAAACCTCCATTATATTTAATTGTTATTAGACAAAATGATCAAACGCTTTGTTCACAATAAAAAGATGCTCTTGTAATAAAAAGTGCTCTAACCATTAGCTTGTTGAGCTTTAGTCTGATCCACCATAAAGCAATAATAACTGAACCTCAGTATTAATAAAGACTTCTAAACAAAGTATTCAGTGAGCAGCAGAGCATCCCACAACAATCCAACATTTTGATTTCCACAACCAAAAGCAGCTTTAAATCTAAACAAGTGGTGGATGAACAGTATGAGAACAGAATGAAGTAAATCCTCCACAGGAAATACCTCCAGATGCTGGAGTTCAAAGCTGGAGCATGAACCTCACAATCAGTTACAGTGGCCAGAGAGTTAGCTGCTGCCATGTTGGTTAACAGTCTGTTATGAGTCTGTCCCTTAAAACTGTCTGGGCAGTTTATTTTTTCATTCTGACTAACTTCTGGTGTTTCTGTAATTTCACTATCATGGGAAATAATTAATTTTTTAAACATTTGCCAATCATAATCAATCACCACGTGTCGCATCAGGATGCATCAAAGAATCAATGTATAGGCCCACGATCAGTGTGCTGGTAAATACAAGGGAATTTAACAAGGTTATCGATGGTAACTAGTGAGTAAAGGAGTAGGATTAAATAAGTTCATACTGCTTCCACCTGCACCAGTTTTATGTAGGGGTGCAGATGATTGTGTTTATTCCAGTTCAGATAAAGGATCACTTCATGACAGGAAAATCAGGCACATTTATTCACTGTAACCCTTTTTCCTCCTCTCTAAGTCATAGCTCAAACTGTCCATTTTCCAGGCACAACAAATCACATTGGACCTTTTACAATGCAGACGAGGACTTTGGATGAGGGCTGTTTCACTGCTGCTTGTATAATAAAATATTGTGTCACATAAGAAAACAATTGAATTACTTAACTCAGATCAAGAATGAGCTGCACCTGTATTAAAGAAGAAGCTGTCCATCTCAACACTTTCTCCCCTTTTCCATAAAAATCCTGATGGTGTGTTGGGAGAACTTTTTTATGCAAACTTTGCAGGCATCAGGTGTGATTGCAGTCACAGATGTCTTTCAGTATTTCCCCTTTAAGTCTGTAGTGATGCTCACCCTCCAACCTGGAGTTTGTGTCTACAGCTCCTCTCACTCAGAAACTCAGGTATGCAGTGTGGGGTTAAAACAGACAGACATGCATCTTTCTGATGCTCGTATTGAAGTGAAGTGAAGGCAAATGCAGGAAACAGCAAAAGTTCATCTTAAGTTGTAGTACACTGTGATTTTTTTTGAATGATCTACAGATCACGCAGTCTGCTGGGGTGGTTCAGAAAGATCATGGTCCAAGTTTGAAGAGTTCTTACCACGTCGCATGTTTTATTTGTGCATAAACAGGTTACCATTCTCTGTCAGGAAACTTAGAAAAATAAAACAACACTTCTTCATTTTCAGTGAAGTCCAACTTTAAGAAAAAGATTCATATTCTGTCAGTGACATTATTAAATGTGTAATAAAAGAAGTTTACAATGACTAAGTAATGTAACCAGCGAATGTCATATTACTACATCACAGCAGATTTGGTTTCACCTTCTAACATGTCAAGCCTTTTGCAGACTGCTTTGAAGTACATTTTTATCATCATGTCATTTTCTCAGATGCGTGTTTTTCTCTTCAGTGATAAGCTTTATGTTCACTCTTAGATCGGGACTTCTTACCTTATACTCTTGTCTCCTCTTGTTTTAGGTTTTAGGGAGGTTGAAAGATGAAGAGATGCGATGTCGGAAGTACCTTCACCCCAGCTCCTACGCCAAAGTCATTCATGAATGCCAGCAGCGGATGGTGGCAGATCACCTGCAGTTCCTGCACGGGGAGTGCCAGAACATCATCCGGCAGGAGAAGAGAGACGGTCAGTCCACCACAGTCCTCTTTTGCACTCCTTTATAAATCTGCTAAACATGAGTCATCTCTCTTACATGGCTATTAAACCGAGTGTCTTGCTGGTTGTTTTCTGCAGATATGGCCAACATGTACACCTTGTTGCGGGCAGTGTCTAACGGGCTGCCCCACATGATCCAGGAGCTTCAGGTCCACATCCACAACGAGGGCATTAGAGGCACCAGTAACCTTTCTCAGGAAAACGTCAGTACTACTTCACACATGCAAATACCTCTAAAAACAGTGCACTGAATTATCAAGATGTGTTACTAATCGAGTTTTTATTTCCTGTTTCCCGTGAGTGACGGACGATAATTACTGTTAGTCAAACATCTCTTTGTGAGTTCATGTTTATCACTGATGAAAGTTGGAGACCCTTTAATTCTGTATTGTTAGTTACCTGTCTAACTTTGGCCAAATAGGATTGTTTTAGGGATTTTCTTGGTTATTTACCATAGGGGTTGTTATTACATTGATAAAATATAGTAGCAGTAAGAGTAAACGATATCAGTATATTGATTCCAAAAATTGAAGTTCTTGGCACCTGAAACATGTTAACTCTTGTTTTGCACACAATCCTCTCTGCCTGGAAGAGACACGAAGCTAACGGTTGTATTTTTATGAGACACTTAAAGGACTTTAAATAGTGGTGGGACTGAGAGCAGATGAAGCACCGCTTTCATTGCAGTTAAACAAATTCTAGCTACCTCTTGCAGGGTCATGTCAGGGTCATGTGCTACTTAATCACTGCGTCTGTCTTATTGCGCTTTTGAAAATTTGGCTGTAGTTCTGGAGTAACCTTAGTTCCATTCAAATACTACCTAACACAGATTAGTGACTGAACCATTTAAAACATATAACAAAAAAAAGTATTCAACTTTTCACCTTCTGTATGACTGTAATTAGGATGAGGTCATATGCACTTCCATACAGATTACAATCTTCTGCCTGTATGGTCTTGTTTCTTCAGGTTATGCTCTGTTTACAATCATCTACACGTGCCTCAACTGTTTTTTAGGACAAGAGTCCGCATCTCATTATCATAATTCCCTGCTGACAGAAGTGCTCAGATGTGAGCAGGATTGCCACTGATCACCAAAAACACAGCATGAAACTGCCACAACCTCTTTTATATGACATGAAACACACCTGGTCATCTGAGCTCCAGGTTTTTTATGAATCCATAATAATCTGTGTAGAAAATGTGGTTGCTGTAAGAATATAAAATGTTGGATTCCTGAGGGTTGTCCTTCTCATGTTGATCCAGCTGAGGATCTGTGTTTTATTTAATGATGATATTGGTTTCAATGAAGGCTCTGCTCTAGCTTGATGCATTGCTTCTTTCTAAAGTTAAGAACCTCTGGTAACGTGTGAATCAGCCCCTGACGTCAGTGTTTGGTCCTGTATATTTGCAGTTGATAAGAAAGTTCAGAATTTACTGGAATTAACTGACATTTGCTGAGGTACTGAGGTACAGCATCCGCCTTTTCTCTGGGGTACTCATAGCACACAGTTTGCTCGAAATTCATGAAAAGAAGAGATCCCTTATTCAGTAAATGTCCTTAAAGTACATGCATTAAGAACTGCAGGACATACCGTTGAAGTTGAAAACTTAAGGTCATAAAAAGCTGAGAAGCTCCTTCCCCTGATATTAATTTGAAAGCCTTTCTGCGGGTCATTTGGTTATTGCTTTGCAAATATGAACAAGGCACTGTGCTTCTCTTTGATTCTACACAAGAGTTAAGTGGTGCACCTCAGGCTTTGCAGGTGATTTTCCCTTAGTTCACACATACTGTCAGAACTGAAGAAGCAATAGACCTGATAGAAAATGTTCCTTCCTGCATGTTGCAAAGCCTTTCATCTACTTAATCGCTCTTCAACATCTGGATCTTGGGATGGATCTTAGTTTGCTGAAGTCCCATACTGAGTGGTGAAATGTTTCACCTGGATTTGCACCTAAATGCTGCTAAAATCTTTCTTTACAATGTCCACCACAGCCTCCATCAATTATGAACCAAAAAGAGGCAGAAAAGCTGCACAGACCTTCTTCCAAAACAGGGCTGCATGATATAAACGTTTGAGCATCGTCATTGCGATGTACGTGTGCGCAATAGTCACATTGCAGAGCCTGCAGTGTGGGAGGCGAATGACCTCACCTAATTTCAAGGGGAGCTGACTGAGATACACTGCATGTGACTTTGCATGTGCTGTGCAGCAATCCACCAATCACATTCGTTCTTTACTCAGTTGCCAATCAGACTAACCTGCCAGCCGTCAATCAAAATCAGAGAGAAATGAAACCACGTCCCTGCACATGGAGTGAGTCGCTAGCACTGCTGGTGTTGTGCCGAGAAACGCATGCCCACCGAGAATTACTTCCGGAACATTACTCATCACTGTTAAGCTCCATGAATAAGAATTGTATGGGTTTTACATTGTACGTTTCTGTGGACCACTCTACTATAAGCGGTGCGTGTTTTGCGAGGTGTATGCAAATCTCGGTGGACATGTGTTTCTCGGCACAACACAGATAACAACAACAACAACAATTGCAAAAGGAGCAACAAACAAGAGAAAACCACCGAAAATGAAGTCTTGTTGCCAAAAAGAAAAGGAAAGTCAGTTATCTGGAATTATTTCGGTTACATGAAGGATGATGTCAACCAAAAACATGTTCTGTATCGGCAGTGCCTTTTATCTGTTGCCACAATAACGTCCCAGCACAATAAAAGCTAAAAATATCTCTGAGACAGACTGAAGCCATTTTACTAATATTCACGAAAAGAGTTAAGATCAGTGCAGGTTAACTGTCCACAAGTTTTCAGCCCTATTCCAAAATGACCTCTTCAAATTGCTAAGAGGCCCATTCAGGTTGGATCAGTATTATCTGAAGTATGGTGGGTGATTTGACCTGTAAATCTTTACTTCAAAGAAGCTAAAATTGTCAATTCTCACAGGATTAAAAACATTCATGTCCTCTGCAATTATTCTGAATTACCAGAGGTCCCTCGGTTATACAAATTCTGTGAAAATAGGGCTTATTGTTGGTCTGCACCTGTGTTTGGAATCCATGTACCTCTTAGTTTTAGCTCTACTCAGTCAAAATCTCAGCAATGATCATTCAAAAAAGGTCCCAATTTCTTTACTCTTTGCTTAACAAATTGCATCAAGTGGAGTCAAGCCAAACCATGGAGAAAAGTGAGAATAAGTCAACAGACCCCCAAAAGAGGGTGCTTGAATTTAAGGGTTAACCCCAGCCTTAATTGTGTTTTATCTTTTCTCTCCAGATGCCAACCCTGTTTGTGGAGTCAGTGCTGGAGGTTCACAGTAAATTTGTCCAGCTCATAAACACGGTCCTAAATGGAGATCAGCACTTCATGAGCGCGCTTGATAAGGTGATAAGCCTCATACTCTTATTGCTGGTACAGAGAAAGTACACCACAAAGATGCTGCCATAACTTGTATGTCTGCAGAACTTCATTTCTGCATGTGATAAATGAACACTTGGACTGTAAATATTTGATCCTAATTTCACTGACTGTTCTTGTTGTATCTCTGTCTCAGGCTTTGACATCTGTGGTGAACTTCAGGGAGCCTAAGTCTATCTGTAAAGCCCCTGAGCTTGTAAGTACACACTCACTTAAACACACATACCCAGACAGTTTGACACACAGTGCCTTGACCAGGCAGTGTCCCTCTTGGTGTCTCTGTGCAGCTGGCTAAATACTGTGACAATCTGCTGAAAAAGTCTGCAAAGGGAATGACGGAGAACGAGGTGGAGGACAAGCTGACAAGCTTCATCACAGTGTTCAAATACATAGATGACAAGGACATCTTTCAAAAGGTGACAGGAGCTCTTCTTATGCTGTGTTATGTAACAAAAACACACATTTATACTCTAACATCTGGTTATTGT